GCAACCATGATCCGCTTTTGACACCTTGAATCAATGGGTACATCATAAATGCCATACTTTAACTCGTTAAAACTCGAATTTGTTGCAGTTTGACTATTATTTGTCACCATATTGTTTTTGCGATCAAAAAAGCAAGACTGCAGGGAGCCTCAACGGTATTCCTGAAACTGTTCAATACATAAAAAGTAACTGCCAATATACCAAAGTGCTACACTTATAGTTATTTTAATTGTATATACAGTAAAATCTGAAACTAAAATATAACAATAGAATGTATTATTCCTTAAAAATAAAAGTTTCATATACTGTTTCTTCCAATCATTGCGTCTAAATTATCTTTGGTCATATCATTGTGTATTTTTCAAGTGAATCACCGGTAGATTAGAAGAAAATCTGTATACAGCTGATTGCTATTTTCGGCTTTGTTTACAAGCCAAATGCATAAGGTAATTTTAATCTCAGCATATAAAACAATGCCTAGCAGAACAGGAAATACAAATGAAATGGTAAATCATCATGTCATCATGTTTTATCGCAAATTTCACATTTTCATTGACCATGTTTGTTATCTCCTGTTTGTCCGCCTGAAGCAATATGACGTAGTATTTGACTGCATACCATACACAAAACAGCAATTATAAGTGGGCACTATAGACCAAAAACCAGTATCACTATCACCTGACCAACAGCCACGCAGGTGCATGATAATGTGTGGAGTGAGTGAGTGAGTGAGTGAGTGAGTGAATCACGGCGCCTTAGACGACTGGGCCACCCGTTCCCCCGACAATGTGTGGAGTCATTTTTGCAGGGGAAGACTGTCCGCGAGTCATATAATATACTCACCAACAAAAGAAACATGAATGCCACACATGTTGGTTAATATATGAAAAATTACATATATTCAAGAGATATTAGATTGGTTTGATGCACAAACAACCATAATGGTATGTTGTGTGAACCGACACTCGTGAATGCATCACATGTGGCGTCACAGATCCATGACTCGAGATTCACCAATTTTCTAGTGCAGGATCAGCGTGTAAAGTTTGGACAGTATGTGCAGCATATCTGTGATAAGAATAATGACAGTCTGTGTTAACACTTGACTGATTGTTAGTTTGTCATTAAGTGGTACGCATTGGAAATGTCTTCTTGACGTACATACTTCTCTATAATTGTTTCTGTTGATTGCGTATCTTTTGGTGGTGAGTATTTTTCAATTGTTCATAACTCAACAGAGCTGCAGTATTCTTTCTTAAAAGTTTATCCCAAAGGATTAAAGCATGATGTCCCTCCAATGATAACTGTTGACTATTGTTTTATTAAAAAAATAAGAATGGGAGTAGTGAGGTAATCTTGTGGTGAAAGCGCTACTTTGTTTTCAGGGTTAGAACTGAACTCAAAGGCTTTACTGGCTCAGGCAAGATAAATTGCCCATGTAATGGCAAAACTATTTGTAAATTTGTAATAGCCCGTAGGAATTTGTACAAGCCCCTGGCCAGCAGGCTAGTGTTCAATTCTAACCCTGAATTATGCTGTAAGCCCGGGTGCTGGTCTGTGGGTACCATGCATGAAACCCATTTCTGGTGCCTCTGGGAATGTGGCAATATTACTGCAAGAAGCACAAAACCAAACTCTCACAACACATTTCCAATAACAAAAAAATACATGGTGATCACCTAACTTCCTCTTGACTGAAACAAGACAGCATTCCACTGATGACCAGTGTCCAACATAACTGCCTGCCCGTGACTGGCAACTTTTCTGTCAGGCTGCATGAAATTTTCCACAATCAGTCCGACTATCTGGCAGATAATTTTCAGACTACTTGTGACTACTTCAGACTATCATAGCCTCTTGTAGATTCTCAAGAAATTGTTTGCATATTATTTCACCTGAATCAAGACATGGCTTGTCTCTTAGTTTTTGCTGTTTTCAATATTTATAATGCCTGAATGTGGGCAGGTACATTAAAGATGGGCAGGCAACACTTATGGGTCACCTGCCCAACTGTCTTGTCGGGTTTTAAAACTATTTCGAACACTGCTGATGACAGTCCATCTTTAGGAATGACAAGATCCAGTCAACATGTTAACAATCACCATTGTACATGTGTCGCAGTAGAACTATTCGTCTGAGGCCTGCTAATGACCTACTTGATCTACTTCACCGTTTATAGTCACATGAATCTTATGCAACCGCTTGTGCAAAGGTCGTTGCATGGTAGCTCCCAGACAGGATTTTGTAAGTAGAAATAACTCAAATCTTCCATGTCTAGCACATGCTTATACCCAGACCAGATGGATAATACATTATATACACAAAGGATGAACAGGAAGCAGAAAAGCAAATCCTATGTAACATCAAGTGTAGGGGTGTAATGATTTACAGATACCTTTGATGTCATGATGACATTGTCATCGATACTTAGGTACACACGATACTTTAATTGTTAGTTTGTGAGATCGCGATATGCCATAAATAGAACAGGAACTAATAGAGTTACCTCCCATTATGGCAAAAGTAGCATAGCGCCACCTGTAAGCTTGGCAGAACACGAGGATGTTGTGGCGAGGGACATACCGAATAACTGTTACATTAAATAACCATCCCTTCATTTAAAACTGTTTTGTTCTTGCGATTTTCTTTGTTAAAGTTTTGAGATAACAATAAATACATGTATGAAGAAAGAGGTATTAGAGCTATATTTCAGTGATTTCATTATGTCTTACTATTTGATGTGGTGTATCGTGATACCAGTAATATGTTCAGTCTGTATCGTGATACAAATTGTATCACAAAATACCAGTCGATACTCAGCTCTAGTGGAGTGCCTGTACACCTCTCTGTGTGTGAGACAGGCTATACCAAAGAACATACTTTCTTCCTTGACAACAAGACAAATGCCACAGACAAGTCATGCATTGCACAGATTATGAGATACCTTGGCAACTGGGAAACATCAGATTTTACAATTACAGTAATTTTTAAAAGCCACTGTATGTCATGTGGGTTTTTTAAGCTGTTCTTAGTGTTTCAGATCAGATGTTTTTCTGGGACATCTCTAGCAAAATCACTTACTCTCTTTTTTCACATGTCAGGGTTGTAGCCAGGATTCCAAACTAAGTGCCCCTGGCAGACAACTTCAGGACAATACTGTTATTTTGTGAGGAAGAGAATTTATGGATGTCAGTTTCTTTATTACGAGGACACAAAATTTCAGAGTATATTCCTGCTCGTTCATCAGGTGAATGGTACCATGACACAGGTCAAAAATGTAAGGCTGTGACGTAATGACACAGGTCAACAATGAGGTTGCAACGTCATGACACAGGTCAACAAAGAGGTTGTGATGTCATGTCACAGGTCAACAAAGAGGTTGTGATGTCATGACACAGGTCAACAAAGAGGTTGTGATGTCATGTCACAGGTCAACAAAGAGGCTGCAATGTCATGACACAGGTCAACAAAGAGGTTGTGATGTCATGTCACAGGTCAACATGACAGGCTAATGTTGTGACACAGATCAACAAAGAGGCTGAGACGTCATGACACAGGTCAACATGACAGACTTGTTGTCATGACACAGGCCAACAAAGAGGCTGCGATGTCATAACACAGGTCAACAAAGAGGCTGCGATGTCATGACACGGGTCAACATGACAGACTGTGACGTGTCACAGGTCAACAAAGAGGTGATGTCATGACACAGGTCAACAAAAAGGGGATGTCATGACACAGGTCAACATGACAGACTTGACGTCATGACACAGGTCAACATGACAGCCTTGACATCATGATCCAGGTCAACATGACAACCTGTGATACCATGACCCAGGTCAACATGACAGGCAGTGATACCATGACCCAGGTCAACATGACAGGCTGTGATATCATGACACATGTCAACATGACAGACTTGACGTCATGACACAGGTCAACATGACAGGCCGTGACATCATCACACAGGTCAACATGACAGACTTGACGTCATGACACAGGTCAACAATTAACTATAGTAATATGAAAGAATCTGGTGTTCTTTAACTTCTTTTGATAAATAAACTTAAAATAATATGTGTCAACAACGCCCCCAAGCATCTGAAATCATTAAATATGTGTCCTACATATGGATATTATCAACAGGCTTGCTGTGTACCTTACTTACAATAAGGCTGAATATGTTATAGTAGTATTTAAAAAGATTTGATATTCTTGTTATACTCGCTCTATTAACTTTCAATCAGACAATAGAATATTTTTGCATCAGGTTTATATGAACAGGAACAGTGTGAGTATTAAAGCTCTTATTCATTATCCATGTGGAAGACAGCAAATACCTCCATGCATACGTGGAAAGACTGTCACATAAAACCTCGGGCATGGTTGCCACAGAGCTGGGGCATTTCATCACTCTGTTGTGTAACGTGTGCAACTTGAATACGCACACATTCATGTTCAGTATTGTCAACAACAACACACATCACTCCAGGCTGAGGAATAAAATAAACTACTGGTTTGAAGAAATACTCAAACCGCCATTTCTATAAATTTGGTGAGCACTGGAACTGCAAAGGATTCCAATAATCATAATAAATCGTAGATGGATAGATAAGGGAGGTAAGTGGTGTAGGTAAGAGGTAAGAAGTATTGCCATGTGTCTCGTAAATAGGGCGAACAGTCGCCGAGACTTGTGCCAGCTGCAGCCTAAACTACTCTCGAAGACTCGCCAGTTTACCAATATTCCACTGTCTACGTGTTTCATACAACATACATATTAATTTGTGACATTGTCACTGAGCACAAATACTGAAATTAGCGTAACAGTAGTGGAGTCTCTATTTTTGTCTGTCAGGTGTCGTCACCTAACTCTGAAAACAATAACAAATATTAGGGACGTATTTCCTGAAAAGACATTATTGGCATTAAAATGCACGCAGAAGATAATATTACATGAAATATATTTTCCTTCAATTTAGCAATGGTATATTTGTTCTTACCCGAGATCCGACACACAAAGTTCTCCACACAGCCAACATTGCGGGAAGTGACCTCTCAAGATTTACATGGTCTAAGGACAAGGCCGCATCACAGGACCAATGTGAAGGTCGCCCAAAGACATTGTATTCCAGTCACGTTTTATCATTTAGTGGAGATTTCCCAGCCAGATAAATCGTCAATTGAATGGCGCGATAATCTTAAGGACTTGTAAAGATAACCCCTTATACATCTAGATAGATGACACATGGCAACACAATGATAGATACTTACACTAGATATAGTTGGTTGGTTGGTGTGTTGTTAACGCCGCACTCAGCAATATTCCATCTATATGACGGCGGTCTGTAAATAATCGAGTCTGGACCAGACAATCCAGTGATTAATATCATGGGCATCGGTCCACGCAATTGGGATCGATGACATGTATCAACCAAGTCAGCAAGCCTGACCACCCGATCCCGTTAGTCGCCTTTTACGACTAGCATAGTCGCCTTTTACGGCAAGTATGGGTTGCTGAAGACCTATTCTACCCCGGAATCTTCACGGGTCACACTAGATATAGGTGCGGAGTGACGGGCGAACGCTTTAACCATGTATAGGCCACCTCACCGCACACTAGATATAGATGCGGTGGGGTAGCCTATACATGGTTAAAGCGTTCGCCCGTCACTCCGAAGACCCGGGTTCGATTCCCCAGATGGGTACAATGTGTGAGGCCCATTTCTGGTGTCCCCCGACGTGATATTGCTGGAATATTGCGGCGTAAAACCATACTCACTCACTCTATAGCCATTCATACATTTATCAGCGTATTGAACATGAGAAATGATATAAGTGTACACAAATGCATTTACAGGTAGTCTGTAGGGCTGGGACGAGTCCAAATGTACTACCCGGGTACCCACCAACCTATTACAAGACCCTACCCGCGGGTACCCGCTGTAGATAATTTAGAGATAGGTACAAACTGTCCGATTTGGAAAAGTTTGACCTTAGCCCTGGCAAAATGTATTCAGATACCCGTGTAAAACGATCATGCATACACTGAAGTTTACTGCATGAAGTTTTATCTTCATTCAAACATATAAAAGTCAGAAGGAATGGGTGCATTAGTGACTTATACTGTAACCATAGAGTTTTAGATAATGTTTGTCATTAAACAATATATCACGTGACTAACCACGGGTTCGGGTAGTCCTGTGGGTACCCGGGTCCTACTCAGAACCCACCCAACCCGAGTACCCGAGTTACCCGTCCCAGCCTTACTAGTCTGTATCTAGTCAGTTGGCCACCAGCGGAAAAGAGGCTTAGTTAAGATTTTCGTTCCCACATTTTCCTGTATACCTTAAACCTTTTCTATTGCATAAAGGAGGTATCTGTACACAATTTACATTGGGTAGTAAGCTTGCAAGTGTGTGCAGGAATTTTCAGGGGGTCAAAATTGCATAAATTAAAGGGAAAATGCATAATTTGACAAAATTGGCTGTAACATTTTTATTAAGTCATTAAACTATCCAAATTATGTCTTTGATTACAGGTAATATGTTCGGTTATCTGAATTTGGCACACATTTTGTTTCATTTTACTGTTATTCTAATTCTCAATGGAAACACTGGTAAAAATTATGTTTTTTTACTTCATTTTCAAGTCTTGTGAGTAGGTAAAACACTAATTCCATTGAATTGTGACAATAAAACCACTATAACTGGGTATTAAAATCTGCCTTAACCATTGTACTATCCTATACAAAAAACAAAATGAAAGTATATTACATTGGGGTTGAGATATTGTATACAATGTTACCCCACCCCCCAATATGTCTATTATAGTGTCACTGGTGTGTGTAAGAAAAGGTCAGGTCGCTAATGAACCTGCACGATCAATGAAATCGCATGCGTGGTTACACTTTTTTGAACTGAGGCAGAAGACGAGGTCTAACAGGCCTGCCACACAGCAGGGTGTTTGTTTGTTTGTTTGTTTTGTTTGTTGTTTAACGCCGCACTCAGCAGTATTCCAGCTATATGACGGCGGTCTGTAAAGTAATCGAGTCTGGACCAGACAATCCAGTGATTGACATCATGAGCATCGAACCACGCAATTGGGATCGATGACATGCATCAACCAAGTCAACGAGCCTGACCACCCGATCTCGTTAGTCGCCTTTTACGACAACTATAGTCTCCTTTTACTGCTAGTATGGGTTGCTGAAGACCTATTCTACCCCGGATCTTCACGGGTCAACAGCAGGGTGTCATCCAAAATTAAGCAAACGCGTTGTGATATTATTGAAATATTCAAATCGGGGATAAACCAACTCTCTCACGCACACTCTGCGCTAGGGATCTCAGGATACATGTTATACATATATTACTCATAGGGTCAAGGATATCGGAGTAATTCTCACTGAGCAATGTATCTTTTGCTAAATGCTGACTGACTAATTCAATCCATTGTTTTCATTGTTTGCAAAGCGGCCCATTGCAACATGTTGTCATATCAACGCATTTTCGAAATAAAAAATATGACGTCATCCATTGTGTTCATGACGTCTCAGATGGTTTTACGTGACGTCGTTACAACAATTGGTTGACCGAGTTGATATTATAGAGGATATAACATGTAGATTCGTGTTCATGTCATACTGTTTACGACACAAGAGTCTAAATACCGATATTTAGCCTCGTAAACATAGTATGACATGAACACGAATATATAGAGGTTATCACGCGAGTGTGTTTGGGGATGGTAAATATCCTGCATTAGGAATAAACATTGTATTTAGCGAGCCTTGGCGAGCTAAATACATAGTGTTTATTCCTAATACAGGATATTTACCATCCCCAAACACACAAGCGTGATAACCTCTTTATCATATAATGTCATTCTTTAATTCTGTGCTTCAAAATTGCTTTCCCTCTCTCACAATCATAACCGAAACATTGCGAGTTTTCCTGGAATGCGCGCATTAATATATATTACGTCATAGGGTAAGTGATGTGTCAGTCGGACAGTGACAGTAGCCAATATAGTTCCAACTGAAATCTGTTTCTTATACAGTGGCGAAGGAACATATACGCAAAACAACAATTGTTTGTAATTGCCTTTCGCGTCAATCCATCGGTCTGTCCGCTAGAGTAACTGCCCTTTGTCAAAGGGAAGCTACTCTAACCCTAGTCTATGAGACGTCACGGCCACGGTCAGACGTTGTTGACAGTCGGTCTGTCTTGTCATAACGTTAAGAAGTGTAGTCAGATGTACCCAAAGCGACAAAACGAAACAAGGTAACAATTCGAACATACTTCGGCCAAATCCAACTATTTTAATTTGTGGAGAAGGTTTCAAGCCGCAGAGGGTTACACGCACAGTTATGGCTACTGATCCCGCTTGGCTAGGCCTCGTGCCCTCGCAAAATTGTTCGAAATGTATATCTCCAAAGTTGCTAAAACTTATAAAATGCCTTAGCTACGTCACAGTTAGACACTGATTTTCAGTATATTAGACTGTTCTTTTTGATAATGATAGCATTTATCCCTGTAGTTTATCCAGATTCGGGATGGTTAATTCTGACTCGATCGCCGAATGACGCGGGCGACGCCATGTTTGTTTATAAACAGTAAAAGTAGTCCCTACTTGACCTTTGATATTTGCATCTCTATCCGCATATGACCCCAACGGATATCGTTTTTATCCGTTGGCTTTATCCTGCCGAGAAACCTATCCATTGTATGATAAAATGTTCTACTTACTACCGGCGAAGAGGTCTACAAACAGAGACAAATTTTAGTGTTTACCTATAAGGACAAGTCGCAAGTCGCAAGAGCAGCGGAACCACAATTTGTCGCATGACGTTAACAATTTTCAGCCATGACGTCGATTTTATTGTGACGTCATTCCGACAACACGTCACAATAAGATTCGAATGACGTCAACAATACCGCCCGGAAGACGGAAACAATACACTGTTGTCTTGTGACGTGATATGACCCTAGATTTGTATGAACCCCTGTTATTACATATAGAATCCTAAACGATCTCCCGTTCAATACCAGTTTTATGAGACCCGTGAAGATCCGGGGTGGAATAGGTCTTCAGCAACCCATTCGTGCCGTAAAAGGAGACTATGCTTGTCGTAAGAGGCGACCAACGGGATCGGGTGGTCACGCTTGTTGATTTGGTTGATGTACGTCATCGAATTCCAATTGCGTGGATCGATGCACATGATGTCAATCACTGGAATGTCTGGCCCAGACAAAATTATTTACAGATTACCGTCCTACAGCTGGAATATTGCTGAGTGCTGCGTTAAACAACAAACAAACCAATTTTATGAAACGGGTGAATAGTTCTTGTACCTGACGAGCGAAAGCGTCATCAGCTTGGACAGTTTTTTTTGCATAAATGCTCAGAACTCGAGAAATAAAGGAAAATGCTACGCTCAAACGATGTTTGCAAACATACTTCTTACAGAAGAAAGCGTTCACTTTACTTGTGGAAATATTGCCTGCAGTACACTATCGCAGGGGTGAGTGGTGTCGGGCTATTCAAGCAACACTATACTCGTCTGTTTTCCGAGGTTCTAGGGGGCACGGGTGGCCCAGTCGTCTAAGGCGCCGCGATTCGCTGTGCAGAGTTGCGTCCCTTGGGTACGCCAGAAACCTATTATTGTGGGTTCGAATCCCGGTTCGCCCCGATTATGTTTCTAGGTTTGTCAGCACCATACCCGTGCTCGTGGGTTTCACCGAAGTGGTAAACGTCTGAGACCTGCATCACTTCGGGCTTTCCTCCCACATTAAGCTGACACGACGCGATATAACTGGAATACTGTTATAAGCGGCGTTAAACCCAACTCACTCACTCATTCACTCACTCCACCGAGGTTCTTGATCGATCTACGGCAATCAAAGATTACCCTCATGATATATTTATTGCAATGTTCCAGTTTCACACAAGCGTGTTCAGACCCATTTAACTGGGCACCGGGCCATGGAGGTTTCTCTATAAAATGATTTAATTGCTACAGTATGGAGGCAGAGGCGTGAGATACACCTCTACTCAGAATTTCTTTTCGTTCCATGTCATTTTTTGTAAGTGACAAAGTTGGGAGAATGGCGGCGAATGGTCGCTTTATACATGTAGATGATACAGTCAAGCGGCTGCCAGTGTGGCTGCACTGTGTTCCCATGTGTAAAAGTCCAGTTTCCAACCTTGCCGAACTAATCTGGAATTATGGAGTTATACTTTGGCTGGACTAACGACTCGATGCATAGTCCCATCAAAATCGCGTAACGACATCGACATCCGGTTCGTAAACTATACCGTGCAGATTTCGATCGATTGCAGAATTTGCAAAGCATGTGTATCGCAAACTCGGCGGCAACAGATATTTTCCAAATCCTTTCGTGTTTTTAATCCAAGAGCTCACGTGACTGGTGCACTTTACGAAGTAAGACCCGTTTTATCACAACATAGATTTGATTATCGATCAGATCGTCTTGACTGGGCGCAGCCATTTCGTGGAATCTGATTGTTCAGTAGGAGGGACATAGAAAGGACATCCGTACCAGGAAATATTACCTACTACTACACCCCCCCCCCCCCCTCTCCCCTAATCCCATGGCGAAAACGTTACTCATTTACCCCATATTACTTACACGTATATGTTGTCAATACTTCACGGCCTGTTTAATATACACAACGTTCCTCTATCACGTATATATATGGCGTGTGTATACATGGCCGTGGAGTATATTCACTATGGTATATGGATGTATATATATATTTGTGCGATATTTAGGCCAGTAGATTTCCTTGATCATAGAGCAATATTTACGTACCACCCAAAACTCAATGTGACGAATGGTATCGCAGTATGTGCGTGAGTTAGTTTGTGCGTTCGTGCGTGCGGGCGTGCGGGCGTGCGGGTGTTTGTAACAAAGACAAAACCATGTATAGTTTTAAACACGAGGAAATTGAAGTGACCCCAAAAAGTAACAATAAATAAAAATGGACTTTACACCGAAGTGGACGTTAATCACTTCCGACGCAACCACTGCTCGGGAGTGAGCCCTTACAATTTGTGTAATATTAGCACAGATACCATCCATTCTCCGAATACAGCTTGGGAACAGTATGAAGGTAGGTTTTTATCGCAACCAAAGGCCATTATATATATATATTAAATTAATTTTTTTTTTATATAATATAGTTTGAGGGGTGGAGGAGTTGGGCGGGCGTCTGTCCTCGAGAACACCCAAGGATCATACATAAGGTACATTAAGTAATTCCACAGGCTGCAAAACATAAAGTATATACTGCTGTTCTTGACGATTGTGCATGTGAACACTGGGAAGTATATTTTGGTAGGTATTAATGCAGCGACTTATGTACCTAACGTCAACTTGGTCTTGATATTTAGGTTGATAAATAGAGAAATGTATGAGGTTGGTGCAAATAGCTGCTATATTCTGGTCGAAAGAGCAGTACGACAGGTGGCTTGCACACTCGTCAGTCATGCAGGCAGAACGTGAGGAGAGACATGTTTACGTGTTATCTCGCCATATCCCCCATGGAGCTGTGGGTTGTCAAATATGACGTAACATTATAGTCCCTGGGTGGTCTCGGGGCAGAGATACGGGCATTTGTCAACTGTAGGTATGTCAGTACTCCGTGGTATACTGATCGTGTTATAATGTATGTATATATAGACGTCGACTGATTCGCATCGTTTGGGCTTTGGATCATTGCCACCTGCACATACAGATTCCAGTGATAAATACAACTTCCGTCTTCACAACATCAACATAATATTTTCCTAACAAAGATGGCACATATTGCACCTATTATATAGTTTTATTAGTGTACAAAACTAATCATGACAAAAAATGTACAATGTATGTATGCATGTTCGTATAACTTAACAGCTGTTGTACATTGTATTATATTATATTATCATTGAATAATGAAGGTGCGGCTGGTGCATTAAAATCGTTGTAAAATTGACGGGATCTTTTATAATATTGCACTCGTGAACATGTGGTATTATTGATCTTTCTGTAACTAAAGACTGCTCAATTGTTTTATTTCTTTATTTTGTAAAATGCTGTCAACATCAATTAATACAAATTATTTCATAACCCTCCAAATATAGTCGCATTATAGACACAGTATGAAAATCCTATTCTCAAATACACAAGAATAATGTCCGGTACATAATCATTTGTGATATTTTCAATGAAGTTATTTATAAAAAATGACAATCAACCACATACTGTATGGAATCACAGAAATCCTTACTAAAGTTAAAAAAGAAACTGAATGCAGCAGTGGTAAAATCCTTCCATATATATACAAACAATAAACAAGCTTTGTATAGGCGACCTAAATATAATTTGTTTTTCCTTTGGATATACAAAATATACAAAATTGTACATTTTGGATATATTGGAATTTTCCCTTGTGTAATATCAAACAATTATCTAGCGTTGACGGCCAAATACCTCAAATATGTTTTACGGTTTAGAACAAAGGTACAAAGGATGTTGACTTGCCAAGCAGTTTGCGGCAACATCCCAGGACACAACATGTTAGCTGTGTACACGTGAAGATCTCACTGTTAACCTCATGCTTTGTTGTACTCAGAAACATTCCAGCTGAATGACAAGGTATGGAAATAATCGAATCTGGACCAGACAGTCCAGTGACTGACTGACATCATGAGCTTCGATCTACGCGACTGGGATACGATGGCATGCATCAACCGCCCATCCCGTTAGCCGCCTCTAACGACAAGCAGCGTTGCCTCTTACAACACTGAAGACCAATTCTAACCCGGATCTTCACGGGTTTCAAAAGGGGCTGTTAACGGGGAAATGTTCAATAATTCTGGCTTCTGTAAATCAATATAGTTTGTCCATGCATTGATTGCTCTGACATGGGCAAAATTAGTGTCAACACTGGTATATTGTGGTATATCCGTACGTTAACCAGTTAACGTCGTACCGGCATCGTCTCAGCCATAAAGCGACGAGACGAGATGAGGAATGAAATGCATCCCTGCTACCAATACACCAAAGGAATCCGTCACACGTGTTAACATAACATAGCTGCTCAAACACGGGTCACAGGCCACTGGCAACTACAGCCAGCCAAGCCCACTGGGGAACACGGCGACCTACATCACCTCAGCCTCTAGCAGAGCCCTCAGTACACTTAAGAATTTGTTGACAACATCGCACTAAATTTCAAAACAAGCAAATAGTTGCTAAAACACACATTTAAAACCTATGCAACTATTTATAATATCACTGCATAACATATAGTCTGTTTATTTTTTTCATTGTAACTTTTCTTTAGTAATAAGTAAGCCATAGCTGAGATTAAGTGTGAAGTTGGGGCAAAGACGACTCGGAATAGAATAATACAAAGTGTAGCAATTGGATGTGCAAAGTTGTCTCCCCTTAGGTACACCAGGATAAGGTGACCGTTAGTACTAATAATGGTATTCCTCCTTGCTCACGCACTGTGATAATACTGACAAAATTTAAAAGCGGCGTTAAACCCAAGTCATTCAAATCCAAAACTCCAATATTTGAAACTTAGTACTTTGATTTTCCGACTCTATTAAGTAAATTTCAGTTATTATAGTTTTTCAGCCTGAAAGTTGTAATACACCTACATGCGTGTTTGCGAACGCATGTAACATCGCTCGAATACTTGTTCATAATTGTATGGAAACTGTGATTTGTATATTTGTTTGTCTTATTGTATACGACAACTTATGATTATCAAATGTAAGTTTTGAGAGGTGGTGGATGCGACCTAGACAACGGTCACGAAGTTTGAAAATGGAATATTGGCATCAGATATGCAAATATGGCGTATAGAAATGTCCTAATGATATGGGCGTGGTGAGAGCAACGTGCAAGCATCTAGATATACTACTCCACTTTAAATAGAGATATATTTTATCTCCGTGATGCACAAAACTGATCCTCATAATATGTCAAGCTTATATTTAAATATACTGACATCTCATTATCCCTATCAAAAGTTAGGTACTACATTCTATATCATATACAATGAGGGGGCACGGGTGGCCCACTTGTCTAAGGCGCCTCGATTCGCTGTGCAGTCTCGTCCCATGGGTACGCCAGAAACCTTTGATTGTGGGTTCCAATCCCGGTTCGCCCCGATTATGTTTCTAGGTTTGTCAGCACCATACCCGTGCTCGTGGGTTTCACCGAAGTGGTAAACGTCTGAGACCTGCATCACTTCGGGCTTTCCTCCAACATTATGCTGACTCGCCGTGATATAACTGGAATACTGTTAAAAGCGGCGTTAAACCCAACTCACTCCCTCATATACAATGGCGAACTAAACATTATAAGGAAAAGGTATACTGCATGTGCTGTGATTAATATCGCAGGAAATGGGTGTCACACTATTCAACTTCTTTGTTATTGGAATGGATATTACTGCTGGGATGGGGGCGGTCGGGTAGCCTAGTGGTTAAAGCGTTCGCTCGTCACGCCGATAACCCGGGTTCGATTACCGACATGGGTACAATGTGTGAAGCCCATTTCTGGTGTCCCCCGCCGTGATATTGCTGGAATATTGCTAAAAGCGGCGTAAAACCATACTCACTCACTCACTACTGCTGGGATGGTATACAATACATACTCACTTTCTCCGTGCCGACCTCTGACCTGTTATCTCCAGGAGATGGCGATAAGCATGCATGAATTCAAAGTTTTATCCTGCTCGCTTTTATTTGAAACTTTTTCCTCGTTTGATTTTATATCCTCAACAGGAACTCATTGATACACACCTGTCTTCATGAGGTAGGTAGGTGGTCGCCATTATACTATTTCGGTGTTGTAACATAGCTTTAGAGCTACAAGTCATTACCGTGCCATTGATTGTACCGTGTGGCGGACGGGATTGAGGGCGACTGAAGTTGAATATACCATAAGAACAATTGGTATTTAAAGGGTGAAACTCGATCGCTAGTATGTTTCGAAACTTAAACTACAACCATGCAGGTTGGGAACGCAGGGTCGCACATCGCCACCCATGGCCTGGCTCTGCAGCGACATCAACGTGAACAGAGGTACAAAACTGACAATCTCTTTCAGATACCTTAGTTGCACAACATATAGACGACCTATAGAAGGCATGTTTTGTAGAACAATGCTAGGTTCATGTTGAATCTTGGAAGTATTCCTTTCATGTTCAGATTCTACAGTGTTGGAGAATGTGGAGTATAACTTTCACTGTGTAGTATTTTTTAGCTTGTTTATTGCCACCTTAATAGGAAATAACGCGGGTTTCCTAGCCACCATCTCTTAATAGGAAACAACAGGGGGCTCTAGCCATCATCCCTTAATAGGAAACAACGCGAGGCTCCAGATATCATTCCTTAATAGGAAACAACGCGGGGTTCCCTAGCCATCACCCCTTAATAGGAAACAACGCGAGGCTCCAGACACCATTCCTTAATAGGAAACAACGCGGGGCTCCCTAGCCATCACCCCTTAATAGGAAACAACGCGAGGCTCCAGACATCATTCCTTAATAGGAAACAACGCGAGGCTCCAGACTTCATTCCTTAATAGGACACAACGCGAGGCTCCAGACATCATTCCTTAATAGGAAACAACGCGGGGCTCTAACCATCTCCCCTTAATAGGAAATAACACGGGGCTCCCTAACCGTCACCCATTTTGTATGAAGGATTGTACGGGGAAACATATATACGCAGTCGTTTGTAATCTTTATAACTACCTGCCACTGACACAACACCGGGAATATTCGACAGGACATCAGCAATTAATAACTCGGTTATGAATGTGAGTGATTGTAGTCAGCATTATTCCATCATGATAGGACCGCCTCCGTGGTCTAGTGGTAGAGCGTCCGCCCGGAGAGCGGAAGGTCCGGGGTTCGATCCCCGGCCGCGTCATACCATGCAACAGACGTTAAAAGATGGCACTTGTTGTTACCCTGTCTGGCGCTCGGCATTAAGGGGTTAAAGCGAGGACTGGTCGGCTCGGAGTCAGTATACTGTGTCTGAGTGGGGTATTCATGTTAAACTGCGGCAGTGGGCTAGCACTATAAATCGGCATCAGTCCGGACTAGTACAAGCAGCCACACAAACACACACACGTGCATGCACGTCGCTATATAAGTGCAATAATCTTGGACGCGACGTTAAACCCAATTTCACCTCACATCACCATCATGATAGAACTCCACGATTCCCCGTTAGATACGTATGTTTCAAAACATATCTAAATCTAACGAATTGTGTCAGGACACTCGATGCGATAAACCTTTTATAGGCAGGCAACTGTATATACGATATGCGTGCGTGCGTGTGTATGTGATGATGTGATGATGAACGCTGCATGTAGTCAGTAATAGTATCAGCTATATGACGGCGGCGTGTAGAGAATGGAATCTGGACCTGAAATTGATATTATGAGGAACGAACCAAGCCAACGGGGTACAGTGCAGCGTGACAACGAAGTCACCGAGCCCGACCACCCCATCCACCAGGTCGTCTCTCACGACAAGCACGATAACGTTACACGACTACTCGGTGATTGGTCATTTGTAATCATAATCACTCTACAAGACGGCTTCGCTGCCACTGCGCCAATTATGATAAATGCGCACAGTGTACGCATATCCGCATATTGTTGAGAGCAGATCAGGCATAACGGTGAACAGGGTGTTCGTTTTCAAAACCAGAGAGAACATATTCATGACAAAGGCAAAACTGTGTGCCTTTAAGAAGTAAACTATGAAATTACTATTGGAAATTGTTATCATATATAACTGTACTATCATTTCGATCTTTTGCATGTAATAATAGTACAGTTAGATCTATATGATAACAATTTTGTCGTTTTCAATAGTAATTTCATAGTTTACTTCCTAAAGAATATAATTATAGGCAAAAGTGTATTTTTTTCATCATGACAGAAGTCCAAAACTTGCAAGTGTGCGATTGCAAAACGGCTAGTTGTCAGCAATTTCAACAAGTCTGAATTTTTTCATTTCAATTTGGCCTTTTTTTAAAGTTTTCTGCAACGTTGTTAAAAAATAGGTAATTTCTGTAAGCTTTCAAATGGACCCTAATATCCTACCTCGGCATTTATATTACCCACACAAAAGGCACATGAACTAATTATCTGATGATGGGTTAGTTAACAACAGTAACACAAATAAATAACACGTCATGGTTCAGTAACCTTTATAAGATGAGGACGCTCGAGGACGACTCATTGTATTTAAATCTATATGGCCTACTCAAGAACAACGCTTTTTCAGACTCCATCTCACATTTTGGTGACACTCTAATATTCAATTCCGATATATTATTTTCACAATTAAGTTCTATAATGTCAGTCAGATGTATATTGCAGATGCTCCACTTACAGCACTAATTATCCGCATCTCTTTACCCAGTCTTTTAAAACGTGAAAAATCAACCATAACGTACTTGTGAGGGCACTTGTTCCTAGCAGCCGTCGTCATGACAACGCAACAACAACTCACTCACTCAGGTCAAAGTTCATCAGCAGTTTTCGTTGTATTGTAGGATTTCAAGACTGATGTTGACTTGATTCAGGTAGTATTTGAACATATTGAACATGGCTCCTTTTATTGAAAATATCTGGTGTTCGTTATACCCACTATATTCATTTTTAGTTCACTTACGAAACAAACCCACACAGCTCTGCTTTGTCCGCCATAATGTTTTTATCCTGAGAGAGACAAGCACTTCACACGCCAGATGTGAAATGGCAGTCCTGGTTCTTAACGACACGGGTATTTATGTGATCTTATATGTTCATATCAACTATTTTAATATTCGCCACGTTAATACAGAGACTACAACATTTTTTATTGAAGTTAACATCATATCACGGTAACCCGAAGCCTGTGTTTAGAGTTTGATGTCATCAGCAACGGTATATTCACCGGCCCGCGACTAACTGTACAGTCCAATGCCGATCGTAAATAAATGTAGACCACAATTTCATATACTTTCATTATTAGTTTTGTTGATATTCAAAACATATTTATAAAGCTTATATAAAGACACCATGATTAGCGTTTGTATTTCGCGGATAGCTAGAGTAGGCCTATAGATCTAGGCCTAGTTACAGTTATCATAGGAAGGTATGCAAGTTGTGGGACATATCCTATCATAGGATTCATTGTGTAGCCTATTATCATCTGTGTGGTATTTACTGGTTGGGGCTACAGGGCGCCCTGAAAGAAGGCTTGAAAAGCCAGCCAATGGAAAACAAGAGGTGATAGAGATTTTGGATGAGGAGATCTGGCTGTTGTCTGTGTCATAGTTTATTGATTGCATGCGATTATAGAATCTGTTCGCCACCCAGGAGTATCGGAAAGACTCCTGCCCGTATCCCCTCTCCCAAAGTTGTATATGTATGCATTGCCGCACAGTCCTTTTAATTCTTTATATTTTTTAGGGGGGATAAATGCGGAGGTCTCACCATAGTATTATAAAAACAATATTTATCTCAAGAAAAAAAAATTCATATTGGAAAATACATATTTACACATGCCTCTTTGATCATTATGGTTAGTGACCCGTCAAGATCCGGGTAAGAATAGGTCTTCAGCAACCCATACTTGCCATAAGAGGTGACTATGCTTGTCGCAAGAGGCTAATAATGGGATCGAGTGGTCAGGCTCGCTGACTAGGTTGATGCATGTCATCGATCCCAATTGCATGGATTGATGCTTATGATATCAATCACTGGATTGTCTGGTCCAGACTCGATTATTTACAGACCGCGGCATATAGCTGGAATACAACAAACAAACAAACAAACAAACACTACTGAAGTTGATGAGGCTTTTTCTTTACTCAAAAATATGAAAGTCAGAAGGAATGTGTGCATAGTCAGAAAGACATGCAAACATTAGCAACTTGTCATTACTTTGAGAGGCATTGAGAATTTTGAATACAAAGTAAGAATAAGATATATGGTCATTGGATGAACATCTTCTTTATTATAATTAGGTAACACCATTATCAAGCAAGTGACGTACAGAGTATGGTTGACAAGCATATCTGCAGGTAGGAGATAGTGTTTATACAGATGAGGCAACCTGCAGTGTAACCGTGAAGTGTTATTGTTATTGTCATCAAGCAATATAACAATATATCATGTGACTTACCATGTGTCTGAGTAGCCCTGTGGGTACCTGGGTCCTTCTCAGGACCAACCCCACCCGAGGACCCAAGTTACCCGACTCAGCCCTAATGGATAGGTACCACCCCCCCCAACCAACTCTATGTTTAGCCTATTGATCCTTGAACAATAATAGTGGCAAATATGATATTCTGTAGCAGCTCCACAGATGGACGTGATGTAGCAGGAATATTGCTGCCACCAGTGTTGCCACCAACTATTGGTCCATTAACTTAACATATATATGATAAATAAAATTATGTCAGACAATTTATGTTATTGCCTTTATTTTATCACAGAGAACTTCATATTAAACAACAAATGAAATTACTGTGTCATTTCAGAGCTTCTGATAAGCTGTGTATTTGCGTAAAATACCCCCTAAAAATATTCAAAACCCAATTTCTTTCAATTAACTTGCATACAGAAACGATGCATTAAATGAAAAACTCAAATGTATAAAAACAGCTATCTGGAGTTATCTGGAGCTGTGCATTTTTATTCCCCCGTTTTGAAAAACGAGTGGATAAAGCGATCATCATGTCTGTTTTTTGTTTCCTAAACTGTTGAATATTTCTTGTTGCTGTACAGATGAGTCTAGTGGTGATAATTTGGGATTTTTCTTCTTCTTTTTTTCTTCTTTTTTTTCATGACAACAAGTTGGACATGTAGATCTAATTGTAAATCTTAACCTCTGCGTATGAAACATTGTCCCGCATACAGTTCACAAATACCATTGAATTTGTAAATCATCATGTCTGATGATGTTTTATTGCAAATTTAATGTTTTCATTGACCAAATTTGCAAACCTATTGCCGCCATGACCCATAACCATAACCATGATATTGGAAAAAAAATAAAATTATAAAAAAAAAATAACCATGATAACACACGAGATGCGCAGTAAAGCAGTGCACATGAAAAGGGAATTAACTGCACATTATATTGGATCGCATTGTTTTTAAGTATTGTGGCATTTCACTTTTGGGGTTGTGTGTTCGAGACGCCGAATATTTAAGGATTTTTTTTTTAAGTGGAAATAAAAACAAAACATGCGGCGGACTTTGTGATGGTGCAGCCCACATGAAGCCCATTTCAGGTGTCTCTCACTGTGATAGGGGCGGTCGGGTAGCCTAGTGGTTAAAGCGCTCGCTCGTCACGCCGAAGACCCGGGTTCGAATCCTGACATGGGTACAATGTGCGAAGCCCATTTCTGGTGTCCCCCGCCGTGATATTGCTGGAATATTGCTAAAAGCGGCGTAAAACCAAAACTCACTCACTCACTCTCGCTGTGATATTGCTGGAATACTGCTAAAAGCGGCGTAAAACAATACTCACTCACTCACTGAGTCCAAGAGGAATCAGAAAAGCAATAGTTTACAATTCCCCTATAATTTCATCTATTTTAATGTTTTCTTTGCTCTCAGCTTTGAGGTAATGAGCTTGTACAAGTGAGATCCAACATGGCCGCAGCACGAGTGGCTCCTAGCGACTCCATAAGGATGGAGCCGACAGGGAGCCTGCATAGCCTCAAGTTCAATGATCAGGCCACGAATGCAAATGAAGTGGGCGCAGGAAATTTGTCCCAGGTAAGACAACAGTAGTGCATAACAGGTAATTAGTTCCTGCAAATGTACCCTTCGTATGACTAGAAATTGGGATTTGGTAAGGTACATCTTCCCGAGGCAAGGGAGTTAACTGACGACAAAAGTCCAGTTTCCACCCTTGCCAAACTAGGCTGGTATTATGGAGTTACAGTTTGCCTGGACTAACGAGTCTATGCATAGTCCAATTGAAATAGCGCAAAAAAATTAAAATCCGGTTTGTGTTTGATGCAGGATGATATGGATCCTAATACTCGATGGATCATGAAGAACATCAAACGCCGAGAATGCAGGCGATATGTTGAAAAGCCGGCCAAGAAAGATGCAAGCAAAGAGTAAGTAGCAGCTTGGCTTTCACAGTGTTGTGTGTCTTCTCAGTGAGCAGAACAGCTCAGGCCTTTTTGTCAATATGCATGCAGATAATTTTATGATGAAAAGTTCCTCATCTGCAGTAGTCATACATACTTACATGTTGCTGTGTAAAAGGGACTAGTTTACATTCAGCATACATACTAAGTTTCTGTATTATTCAATCAGGCATCCATCACGATCAACATGCTGAATTAGATGTCCATGTATCCACCATGATCCACACACTGAATTATCTGAGCCTGCATTCCATGTATCCACCATGATCCACACACTGTCCATTATCCGTGCAGGCATCCGTCTTGGTCTGAATTACATGTCCATGTATCCACCATGATCCACACACTGAATTATCTGAACATGCATTCCATGTGATCCACCATGATCCACACACTGAATTATCTGAGCATGCATTCCATGTGATCCACCATGATCCACCATGATCCACACACTGAATTATCTGAGCATGCATTCCGTGTGATCCACCATGATCCACACACTGAATTATCTGAGCATGCATTCTGTGTGATCCACCATGATCCACACACTGGATTATCTGAGCATGCATTCAATATGATCCACCATGATCCACACACTGGATTATCTGAGCATGCATTCCATGTGATCCACCATGATCCACACACTGAATTATCTGAGCATGCATTCCATGTGATCCACCATGATCCATACACTGAATTATCTAAGCCTGCATCCCATATGATCCACCATGATCCACACACTGGATTATCTGAGCCTGCATTCCATATGATCCACCATGATCCACACACTGGATTATCTGAGCCTGCATCCCATATGATCCACCATGATCCATACACTGAATTATCTAAGCCTGCATCCCATATGATCCACCATGATCCACACACTGGATTATCTGAGCATGCATTCCATATGATCCACCATGATCCACACACTGGATTATCTGAGCATGCATTCCATGTGATCCACCATGATCCACACACTGGATTATCTGAGCCTGCATCCCATATGATCCACCATGATCCACACACTGGGTTATCTGAGCATGCATTCCATATGATCCCCCATGATCCACACACTGGATTATCTGAGCCTGCATTCCATATGATCCACCATGATCCACACACTGGATTATCTGAGCCTGCATTCCATATTATCCACCATGATCAAACACTGAATTATCTGAGCATGCATTCCATGTGATCCACCTTGATCCACACACTGGTTTTCTGAGCCTGCATTCCATGTGATCCACCATGATCACACACTGAATTATCTGAGCATGCATTCCATGTGATCCACCATGATCCACACACTGGATTATCCATGCAAGCATCCCACTTGGTCTGCCGTGATCATCGTGATCAGTTGGTAGTTTGGTCAGTTGAGCACAGTACTGCTGATTGTGGTCTGTGTCGTTGATGTTAAACTGTCTACTAATTAGGGCTGGTACGAGTCCAATTTTACTGCCCGGGTACCCACCCCACTATTACCCGACCCTACCCGGGTACCCACTATAGGCCTCAAGACATAGGTACAGTATGTCCGATTGGGACATGTATTAAACAATCTGGTCATGCATACACTGCATACACTGAAGTTGACTTAAGTTATATCTTCATTCAACCATATGAAAAGTCAGAAGGAATGGGTGCATACTATTCGTCATTAAACAAAATATCACGTGACTAATGACAGGTCAGGGTAGTCCTGTGGGTACCCGGGTCCTGCTCAGTACTCACACAACCGGGGTACCCGAGTTACCCGTGCCAGCCCTACTACTAACACCGATGTCAACAGCACCACCTTTGTAAGACCTGCATCACTTGGGGTTTTCCTCCCACATCAAGCTGACACACCCTGATATAACTAGAATACTGTTCAAAGCGGCCAACTCACATACTTCCTTTTTCTTTTTTCTTTTTGTCGCAACTATGAACACTATAAACAGTGGATATTTTCTTCATATAAAGTCCTTGTGTTGTGTTTGCACATTCACCAGATGAACATGTGTCATATTCTCATTTAAGGGACCAATCAGCAATAAGGTAATATTCATGTAGTACAGATTATCTGTTATTTCAATTCTTTCAACAACTGAAGCCATGTCGCAACTTCCTCTCCTTGCATGTCTGTTGTGGTTTCAGGGCAGAGTATGTCCCTGTAACCCATGTGTGTCTCAGATGGGAGGATGTTGTTGTGATGCAAACCTGGCTGTCAATGTGCTCGTCACCTGATGGTTCTGTCCCCAGTGGCTTACCTTCCCCAAACCTTAAATCCTTGTCATGCTTGTATTGCTGGAGACATATCTCGCTGTAGCTTCAGAAAGCATTCCCTCACCGATGTTGCATTACGGAAATGTCTGTTGCTTGAAGCATGTCATTGTCATTTGCATCAACACAATGTCTAACTCCGAATAACATCCCCGAATGCATGTGTAGCATGTTATACAGCTTTCAGCACTCTAACAATAAGATTTTCTGTAAACTCGTGAAGATAAATTAGATTTCTAACAAGCTTATGTTTCTTGTAGAATGTTTATTTTGATGTCTTGAGCTAGAGGCGTCAAGAACAAGTTACTGTAGAGATTGACGAATGTCAGCAACTCACACATTAAGCTCACAGTCTGGTGGGTAGAATGTTGAACAATTGTTGTGTGATGAAATGAGAATCATAGTTTATGAGATAAAACAACAGTACCCTCTGGTTCACCTGAACCCAATGTTTTTTTCAGCTGCCAATCTCATTAATATCAGCTCTTAGTTCTCGTTACCGCTAAACAAAGATCTGAGGACATCCCTCTTGGGGTCACGTCCGAACGACTTTTCATCCGACCAATCAGAGCGTCGCTTACCAGATCAGAATATGATTTCTAAACACAGGGTATTCCAAACAATAGTTACAAGCTTAATGACTGAATCCATACAATGTAGACCATCTATTAGCCATTCAAGAATGTTCTTTTGTTCAGGTTTCAAATTTTTAATCGAGAAATTGTCAAAACATGTTTCGAAGCCTTGTCGCCAATTGGAAATTAGTGCCGTAAAGCACGAGAAAGATGCCTTCTGATTGGCTAATGTCGACTTCTTGACAGTCATTCCATTGGTTGGTCAAAGTTCGTGCAAGGTCGGTTTGACGTGACCTGTAATGGGGTGTAGCGGTAGCGAGAACTAAGATCAGATTTTAATGAGATTGGTCAGCTGCATCTGTTCTCAAGGGTTTTCCCTGAAGTAGTGAATGGCTATGACACACTTTAGTTTGGACTTTCCTTCTATGGGTCCGAAGTTTTGATACGAAAATGTACTGAAAATAATTACCCTCACCTTATGCTTGTCATATTGTTGGATCACCCTCCCCATGTCTTTGTACATATTTTTCATGATCCTCATCAAATATGTGTAATATGTTTTATGACCCTCCCCCAGAGACTCGTATTGTCTGGTGACCCTCCCCAGATTCCCCCTGAACCACACCCACCCTTATAATTAAAGACCCATCCCTAAGCTGACTAAGGGATATATATATACAGGAAGTTCATAACGAACATGTTTATAAGAAACTGACGGATATGTCAAACTGTGTTTTTCATTCCGGGCCATTTACTGTATATATGCCATAAACATGCTGCGGCTATTACAAACTAAACTTAGTGGTCCCTGTGAGTTCGTTATAACTGTAGTTTACTGTGTATGTATGATAGATTCCCTTGCTGATGATTCACTTGACTGATCCATGTCAGTTGTATGAAAACAGACAATATAGTTCCCAGTTGATAACAACCTTATAAGTTATATAACAGAGAGGACAAATAATGTTTGTGTCGAGAGACAGATCCTCATCAAGAATTATGATGGTCAGTTAATTTTTCTTTGAAAGGGGGGGCACGGGTGGCCCAGTCGTCTGAGGCTGTGCAGAGTTGCGTCCCTTGGGCATGCCAGAAACCTATGATTGTGGGTTCCAAACCCGGTTCGCCCCGATTATGTTTCTAGGTTTGTCAGCACCATACCCGTGCTCGTGGGTTTCACAGAAGTGGTAAACATCTGAGACCTGCATCACTTCGGGCTTTCCTCCCACATTAAGCTGACATGCCGTGATATAACTGGAATATTGTTAAAAGTGGCGTTAAACCCAACTCACTCACACTCACTCTTTGAAAGGTGCTCCAAGTTCCGTTAGCCAATGTGTCATGTGGAACATTCTCAAGCTACAGTTTCATGTCAGATACTGCCATTTTGTACCACTACTAACAGCTTCAGTCAACATTAAACCACGGTTTGAGAATGTACCACTGTCTTCATTACTCTAATGATGACATCACTCCTTCCTAATCCTAACTCACGTTATTTTGTAGTTTGCCACCAGTGCACCCACCCACCAAGTCTAAACCTAGGTAAGACACTTGCTCTCAGTAAGGACTACCTACAGAAGTAACTGGCTATCACCGAATCATGTTCCTAAATCTGTGCTTGTATGGTGTCCTCAAATAAAACCAGTGTTTTTGTTTTCTTATTTTTACAGATTTTTTGCCCCAAAATTCATGCTGTTAGGTTGGAAAAAAGCAGTTCCTGTAGTTCCTCTCATGATTTCATCAACTTGTTATTTTGAAGTATCAAAAATATTTTTTTTTAGACAGGTTTGAATTATATTATTTCAAATAAGTTACTGACATTTTGCTGATTTCTGGTTGGCAGAATAAAGAAACCGCTGCCTTTCATTTAATGTAATTTTTCACATTTAACATTTTTGGATTCTGCTGTTTCGTAAACCAAATTAGAAAAAATCTGTCCTAAAGAAGCACATGAGAGTTGTTGGATACATGTCTTTCACCATGTGTCACAAATAACATGTAGTTTTCACAGCACTAGAACATTATCACTGTAAATATATTCACATAATGAGCAATCATATAATATTCTCAACAAATGCCATGTTAGGAATACTTTTTGTGTATTGTAGCGTCCCCAGTGACCCCTATTGCCTGTGTGGGTACCGCAAATCACGCCATCCCCAAGAATCACTTCTCCTTAAGGGAGCGGATAAATGGGACCCCAAGCAAGACACAACTGCTTACCCGACAAATGCATTTGGAGAAATTGAATTCCCAGGATTTGGTGACCATGTCAGCAAGGTAGTACTGTTTGTTTGCAGCTCACCTGAACACTCGGTTTCTCAACAATGTTTCAGTACTTCATTCATGACGAATATGTGGCCAATGTTTCAGTAGCAGATTCATGACCAATATCTGATCAATGTTTCAATACTTGATTCATGACCAGTATATGGACAATGTTTCAGTACTAGATTCATGACCAACATATTACAAATGTTTCAGTACTTGATTAATGACCAACATGTGGCCATTGTTTCAGTACTTGATTAATGACCAACATATGACCAATGTTTCAGTATCCAATTGATGACCAACATGTGGCCAATGTTTCAGTACTTGATTAATGACCAACATATGACCAATGTTTCAGTACCCAATTGATGACCAACATGTGGCCAATGTTTCAGTACCCAATTGATGACCAACATGTGACCAATGTTTCAGTACCTGATTGATGACCAATATGTGGCCAATGTTTCAGTACCCGATTGATGACCAACATGTGGCCAATGTTTCAGTACCTGATTGATGACCAATATGTGGCCAATGTTTCAATACTTGATTCATGACCAGTATATGGACAATGTTTCAGTACTAGATTCATGACCAACATATGGCAAAGGTTTCAGTACTTGATTAATGACCAACATGTGGCCATTGTTTCAGTACTTGATTAATGACCAACATATGACCAATGTTTCAGTACCCAATTGATGACCAACATGTGGCCAATGTTTCAGTACTTGATTAATGACCAACATGTGGCCATTGTTTCAGTACTTGATTAATGACCAACATATGACCAATGTTTCAGTACCCAATTGATGACCAACATGTGGCCAATGTTTCAGTACCTGATTGATGACCGATATGTGGCCAATGTTTCAGTACCCGATTGATGACCAACATATGGCCAATGTTTCAGTACCTGATTGATGACCAATATGTGGCCAATGTTTCAGTACCCGATTGATGACCAACATGTGGCCAATGTTTCAGTACCAGATCCATGACCAATATCTGACCAATGTTTCAATACTTGATTCATGACCAGTATATGGACAATGTTTCAGTACTTGATTAATGACCAACATATGGCCAATGTTTCAGTACTTGATTGATGACCAGTATGTGGCCAATGTTTCAGTACCTGATTGATGACCAACATATGGCCAATGTTTCAGTATGTGCGTGCTGACCATCAGACCAGTATGACCACCATGCTGAAGCTGATGGCTGACCGATGGGGGCTTGAGATGCCCAATCTTCTCATCTCTGTTACCGGCGGCGCCAAGAACTTCCACATGAAGACACGGCTGAAGGAGGTGTTCAGAAGGGGCCTGATGAAAGCTGCCCTCAGTACAGGTCAGTGTTTGAAATAATTTTAAAACTCAACTAGACAAAAGGGCATGTGACCCATTAATGTTGCCTGCCCATCTTGAAAGTTACCTGCCCGCTTTCAGATATTATTTTTATTATTATTTTATCTTATCGTGACTCATACTTAAACTCATGTGCATGAGTCAGGATAAGTGTAAATTATATTTTTACTATTTACAAATACATATTGAAAAGTCATGAAAAATTAGGCCGATGGACAGGCAGTTATTTCGGACACTGGTACAGGTGATTGTCAAGACGCTGCCTACAGATCAGACCCTTTGCATGCCTTAGTTATCAATGTATCTACATGTCTGGCTTGTGGGTATGCTGTAGTTTCACAGCCAGTGCTTCATCACCACATCACGTTCACTCCGTTATTGCTGACCCCACCCCACCCCATCCCGAGTACTTGTGTTACAGGAAAGGTCATATGAGCAGGATTAGTTTCATCTTCTTGAGGCAAGGGAGTTAAAACTGACTATAAAAGTCCAGTTTCAACCCTTGCTGAGCTAAACTAGAATTTCTAGGCTCGATTGCAGTGCCACCAGTGGCTATTAAGAGTTATGTCCCTTCTATTGACCAATTAGAATCCATCTCTCATTTAACTTGCAATTGCTTCAAACAAAATGACGATGCCAACTCAAGATGATATAATCGATAATCAAGATCTATTTTGTAATAAAATCGCTCTTACCCCATGAGGTGTATCAAATCACATGGGCACCCTGAATAAAAACATGAAAAGATTTGGAAAATGTTTGTTGATACTAAGATGATGGCACACATGATTTGCAAATCCTGCAATTGAGAGATATCTACACAGCAGTTTATGGCCCAGATGCCTATTTTGTTACATGATATTTATTGGACTATGCATAGACTTGTTAAAACTCCATAATTCCAGCCTAGTTCAGCAAGGGTGGAAACTGGAATTTTACACTCAGTCTACGCCCTTGCCTCAGGGAGATGGATAAGTTTTAATGTGTTGTCTTGGTGACTGGTCTCAGAAACATTTCAGAATGGCAAGATGAACTATCAGAAGCTGTGAAGGATGGTTTGGTCTCACATCATTTTGTAGAAGATGTCTTGTTTGGTGTTATTTTGTGGGAATGACACATGGAAGGCCTGGAACAGGTGTGTCATATGGAAGATGTAAAATAAGAGATGATTGTGTATTTAGATGCCTGGATTGTGACGGGGGGAACAAATGCTGGCGTGATGAAGCATGTCGGGGAGGCTGTGCGAGACTTCGGGCTGACCACGGAGGCTCACAAGAAGGTCATCTGCATCGGAGTAGCGCCCTGGGGCTGTGTCCAGGAGAAGGAATTGCTCATAGACGACATGGTATGACCACAGAATAGTTAGAGTACTTAATACCAGACTTGTTTTCTTCTTGTTTTACACTTTTTTATATAAATCTATGTGCTTGTGGATTTCTTTGACCTAAATCACTTGGGGTGTTTCTCTCACAGTAATCTTTTGAAACTTGCTATGTTGATTGCAGATATCGATATTGATTTCACCAAATTGGTAAACGTCTAAGACCTGCATCACTTCGGGGTTTCCTCCCATATTAAACTGACACGCTGTGATATAACTGGAATACTGTTAAAAGTGGTGTAAAACCCAACTCACTCACTCACTCACTCACTCACTCACTCACTCACTCACTCACTCTTGCCTGGACAACACTCCTGTATTTACAGGCCACTTTGCTCACTCACTCACTCACTCACTCACTCACTCACTCTCTCACTCACTCACCCACCCACCCACTCACTCACTCACTCACTCACTCACTCACTCACTCACTCACTCACTCACTCACTCACACCCACCCACCCACCCACTCACTCACTCACTCACTCACTAACTCACCCACTAACTCACCCACTCACTCACTCATCATATCATCCTCATCTCCTCATCGTCAACTTGTGTGTTCCGTCTACAGGGCAAGTGGCCTGCACTGCACCGGATTGTGAATGATCCCAAGCCCAAACAGTCGTGCCTTGACCCCAACCACACGCACTTCATACTGGTCGACAACGGCACACAGCAACAGTTTGCTGTTGAGATCCCCTTCCGGGGTAAACTCGAGAATGAAATTGCCAAACAGAAGACAGCAACTGGGTCTGGTAAGATGGTCAAGGCGTTGCTGTTGTTGGTGTAGTTGTACTGCGAAGGAGTAGTTGTACTGCCCATGATGTTGTAGTTGTACTGCATTATATCAAGGTGCATGTTTAGGGGTAGATTTATCAACACATTTTTATGTAGCCAGCAGGTTTTGCTCCTTTTAAATGTTACTATAAGGGTAACGCTATTTTTCAGGGCATTATCATTTGCAGAAGCCCGAGGTCTTCCATTAACTGCCCGACGAAGGAGGGCAGTTGAAAAGACCGAGGGCTTCAGCAAATGATAATGCCCTGAAAAATAGCGTTACTGTTATTATAGCTAAAATGGATGGAATTTGTTATCAAATAAATAGAAACAATGTCGATTTTAAAACATTTACTGCAATCAACACGAATGTCACTGACCCACTTTTACAAATATGGAAACGTCATAGAACAAACCAGATGACGTCACTATTGAACGTAACGTCACCTATCCCTATCCTATGACGTCACCTAACAACTGGCGTGATAATGGCCCGTCGTCAAGTAATATGAGGGCATTATCAAGTTACAGTGGCCCGCTCATTTCTGATAACATGCGGGCGTTTTTATGATAATTCTATCCATTTTAGCTATAATAGCCCTTATCCCAATTGCCTGGCCTACAACTGAATGGTGGAGGCTGTGAAGTGGCCGAACCTGTGGTTGTGTAGCCACCTAATGGGGCTCTGAAAATTTTAGAACTCCTCAAAGCCTTTCCCTGCACTCAGAGATTAAATCTTGGTTTCCATTTGTCTCATTGCGTGGTGATTTATGAGCAAATAAAGACGTTGTACACATCATTTCAAAATGGCGTCTGGTTGTCATTCTACTGTGATGATTGACATGTCTTTCTTTGAGTTAACCAGTCACATGTCATCCCCCTAAATATTTTCTCATCGAAATTACATGGTTCACAAGGAGTGTCCAATTAACTATTCATCTATTTGAGGTTTCAGCAAACCCTTTGTAATTTTAACTGGTCACAGGCCAACGGGCCAGCAGTTAAATTGACCCTTGATGTTGTGATTCAGGTGTGCCTGTGGTCCTGCTGGTGCTAGAGGGAGGGCCTGGCACCCTGGAGACGTGTAAAAGTGCCATTCAGAACAACACACCCGCTGTCATCATCAAGGTACAGTATTACGTAATATGTGTACGTTTGTGATGAACACCCATTCAGCAGTAGAAAATAACAGTTTTATTCCACTAGTTCTTATAATGATAACATATAGCAAAACCCTTAAAAATGGCAAATTTCTGCTAGTCCTTATGATAACTTAACTATTAGGCAGTTGGGCAAGGCCTACAGGACTAGTAGCAATTTGGTGCCGCCATTTGGTCAAAACTGTTTTAGGAAAGTCCAATCCTGAATACTGCAAGATGCACTGCGAGTTTGTGTAAAGACTAGGTTTGTAATAGGTTTCCCTGATTGACAGGTGCTTTTTTAAATTCCCAAGCTTCTGAATGGTCGTGCATGATCGCCTCCCTCCACATGTACAGTAGTCTGTACAGTAGTCTGAATGGTTGTGCATGATCGCCTCCCTCCACATGTACAGTAGTCTGTACAGTAGTCTGAATGGTCGTGCATGATCGCCTCCCTCCACATGTACAGTAGTCTGTACAGTAGTCTGAATGGTCGTGCATGATCGCCTCCCTCCACATGTACAGTAGTCTGTACAGTAGTCTGTACAGTACAGCTATTCTAGTCCATCCCAATACTCACAGTGACTGTATCTACAACGTTCGTGTTCTTGAATCTCCTCACAGGGCTCGGGTCGAGCGGCAGACATCTTGGCGTTCGCCTACCAGCATGCAACAGAGAAGGAAGTTGAAGTGGAAGACAAATTTGGCAGGAAAATAAAAATGTATGTCAATTATTAGCAGTGGGTGACCCAGTGCCATGTTTTATGGGATTGATGGACAATGCATGCTTATGAGACCTAACTTGGACATGTGTGTATAATGTTGTTTATAAAACAGTGGAGCTAGAGTGTGTACATTCATATGTGAGGGAAATTTTACTGGGGCTGGTGTGCCTTACATAATAGTGGGAAGCTGGGACATGGCCAATGGTCAGCCAGCTCTTCCCCACATGTCACTATCTTCCCGGGGCAAGAGAGATAACTTACTAAAAGTCCAGTTTCAACCCTCGCTGGTTGACGGATTGACGGATCTTGGTCCTGTCCATTTGCTGTATAAATATGCTTATAACAAAGTTAGTGGGCCTTTTCTGACTTACAGTAAGCTGTGTTTGTAACGAACATGCTTATAAGGAAGTGACGTATATAACAAACTCTATATATATGCATATAACGAACTACAGTTATAATGAACTAAAATTAGTGGGCCACCTGAGTTTGTAACCATAGTTTACTGTATTAGAATGCTTTGTATTGTACTCCAAGGAAAGAATACCCTGTTACTTGTAATAGCTACTGGTGGCGCTATGATCAAGCTCAGAAATTCCAACTCAGTTCAGCAAGGGTTGAAACTGGACTTTTAGTAAGTTATCTCTCTTGCCCCGGGAAGATAGTGACATGCGGGGAAGAGCTGGCTGACCATTGGCCATGTCCCAGCTTCCCACTATAACTTAAACAGGGATGTCATCGTATATCACGATATTGATGTAGTGATAAATTTTTAATGTCGATACAGTATCAGTACAAAGTTATGAATATCGATACTAAAATTAAATTAATTATTCACTGTCACAGAAACGTTAAAGCATTTAAAGGATCAACCAAGTTCATATTTAGCATAAACTTGTTTGATTGCAGGTCTACATAGACAAGTTTTATCTATACACGTACACTGTGTACCGAATAATTATTATTATTATTCGATGTATAGTGATACTTTTCAGTCAATATATCGATACAAATGCTTTCAATCAATGAACCCTCTATACTGAAATTCTGCTGACTGCACAAATCCTTGTGACTATGTGCTATTTGAAACTTCTTCGAAGATAGCGTGGTGGGATAGCTTGGTTAGGCCAAGTCCCACTTGTACATTGCCTGTGACAGCCTCATTGTCTCCATGTTGATGTGAGTGCTGATTAGTAGGGTTGGGACGATACACCAACTGTGTGATGTGATACGTATCACGATACCTTGCTCACGATCCCATACGTGTCCGATACTTGCCATGCTCTTATCTGTGGTGCGTAAGCCATCTTTTTCATAGACAGGATGGCAAAATACCTGGCACACTAACAATTTACTGTTGGCAGTGTCAAGTATGGCACAATGGATGGAGATATGTACGTTTTCACTACTCATTTTCACTTGTAATTAGTGTTTGGTATAACATTTATTAAAGAATACATTTAAGGTAAGAATCGATACATTTTCCTTAGTGTGCAATTGTGATCGATACTTGTATCGAGAAGTAAAACATCACGATCCACCAGTGCATCGGTGTATCGTCCCATCACTACTGATGAGAGAGTCAAACCATACTCACTCTTAAGAAGCTTACTTTAAAGTGTCGTCATGGACATTGCAGCATGCAGCCATATATGACATATGGCGTGGAAGCAGACATCACCGAGATGATCAGCAGAGAATTTGGAGAGAAGGAACTAGCGACGCGGGTTGGCTGGGTTCGAACTTGTCTCAAGAATAAAGACCTGATCAATATATACGAGCTGGACTCTCGTACGTCCACCAAGGATGTGGACATGGCCATATTGAAGGCACTCCTGAAAGGTAGGTGGATGCACAGTTCATGGCACCGTACCCAGACCGATGCACAGTCTAGCAATCCTGAGTTGAAATCTAACAGGTCAGTGTGAAACTGATGAAGAATACGATATCATTTTGGTATTTGAAGCTGCAATATATTGGGGGAATTCTGTTGGTAAAGTGAAAAAACATGTGACTGGCTTGCTTTAGATACCCACGTTGATGTTTCTGAGACGAGCTGTTGATATTATATATATTCTGTACCATGTTCCTCATTCAGTCTTGCTTGTCTATTCCGAAATGTCGCCTTTACAGTAATTAGAGAAGTTATAATCCATTCATTGTGTCTACTTTGTCATCGGTCAACTTGTAAGTAATGCCTATCAGACAAGAGCTGTTGGTCTTCTGTCCACAGCTAACCAAAATGAGGTGATGGATCAGCTGAGGTTGGCATTGTCATGGAACCGGATAGATGTTGCGAAGAGTGAAATCTTTACAGACAGAGAATGGGAGGTAAAGAGCTGTTAATACCTTTGGTGGAGCTTCACTTGAGATTTGATCCAACACTAAATTCAAATTTTTCTACAAACCCCTGTCTTTTACCTTGCCCTGGCAATAGTCACTTCTCAGTTGTTTAGATTTGTTATTCGTTTCTTTAGGCAGTCGTTGTCTGTAATACATAATAATGGTCGAAGACCCGGGTTCGATTCCCCACATGGGTACAATGTGTGAAGCCCATTTCTGGTGTCTCCTGCAGTGATATTGCTGGAATACTGCTAAAAGCAGCGTAAAACACTACTCACTCAATCCCTAACCTAATTGTTGTTAATTCAAATTTTGATAAATTGGAAAAAGTATAACCTTAACACAATTGGTAATAGTAACGAAATAGTACCACTATTGCCTACTTCCAGATGGGCCAGCTGGACCAAGTCATGTTCACAGCCATTGAGCTGAACCGCGTGAACTTTGTGGACTTATTCTTGGACCATGGGGTCAGTCTGAAGGACTTTCTCACCCCATCACGGCTTCTGCGACTCTATAATCAGGTAATATACTCTTGTGTCAGTCTGCGACTCTATTATCAGGTAATATACTCTCGTGTCAGTCTGTGACACTATAATCAGGGAATATACTCTCGTGTCAGTCTGTGACTCTATAATCAGGGAATATACTCTTGTGTCAGTCTGTGACTCTATAATCAGGTAATATACTCTTGTGTCAGTCTGTGACTCTATAATCAGGTAATATACTCTCATGTCAGTCTGTTACACTACAATCAGGTAATATACCCTCGTGTCAGTCTGCGACTCTATAATCAGGTAATATACTCTCATGTTTGTCTGCGACTCTATAATCAGGTAATATACTCTCATGTCAGTCTGTTACACTACAATCAGGTAATATACCCTCGTGTCAGTCTGTGACTCTATAATCAGGTAATATATTCTCGTGTCAGTCTGTGACTCTATAATCAGGTAATATACTCTCATGTCAATCTGCGACTCTATAATCAGGTAATATACTCTCATGTCAGTCTGTGACACTATAATCAGGTAATATACTCTCATGTCAGTCTGTGACTCTATAATCAGGTAATATACTCTCGTGTCAGTCTGTGACTCTATAATCAGGTAATATAATCTCATGTTTGTCTGCGACTCTATAGTCAGGTAATATACTCTCGTGTCAGTCTGTGACTCTATAATCAGGTAATATACTCTCATGTCAGTCTGTGACTCTATAATCAGGTAATATAATCTCATGTTTGTCTGCGACTCTAAAGTCAGGTAAAATACTCTCGTGTCAGTCTGTGACTCTATAATCAGGTAATATACTCTCGTGTCAGTCTGTGACTCTATAATCAGGTAATATACTCTCATGTCAGTCTGCGATTCTATAATCAGGTAATATACTCTCGTGTCAGTCTGTGACTCTATAATCAGGTAATATAATCTCATGTTTGTCTGCGACTCTATAGTCAGGTAATATATTCTCGTGTCAGTCTGTGACTCTATAATCAGGTAATATACTCTCATGTCAGTCTGCGACTCTATAATCAGGTAATATATTCTCGTGTCAGTCGGTAACTCTGTAATCAGGTAATATACTCTCGTATCAGTCTGTGACTCTATAATCAGGTAATATACTCTCTTGTCAGTCTGTGACTCTATAATCAGGTAATATACTCTCGTATCAGTCTGTGACTCTATAATCAGGTAATATACTCTCGTGTCAGTCGGTAGCTCTGCAATCAGGTAATATACTCTCGTATCGGTCTGTGAATCTATAGTCAGGTAATATATTCTCGTGTCAGTCGGTGACTGTGTAATCAGGTAATACACTCTCATATCAGTCTGTGACTCTATAGTCAGGTAATATACTCTTGTCTCAGTCTGTGACTCTATAGTCAGGTAATATACTCTCGTTTCAGTCTGCGACTCAGGTAATATTATACAATTATTGACTCTATATGAAATCAAACCTGTTTTTATAGGGGAGAAAAGCAGCAATATTGACCCAAAAGGAAATATATTGATTTTGGGGGTCAATAAGAAAACGTATTGACCTCATATAAATTCTAAAATTATTTTATTATATGATACAGAGACGAGCAGATACAACATTTCAAACTATGGTAGCTACAATAATGTCAGGAGGTTCCAGCAGTCAGACATCCGATTGGCTTAGACTGGGGAATGCCACTTCCAGGTCATTTTCCGCATTCAATGTTGAGTGACTCAAGACAACAAGTTAACTCAAGACAACACTGTAGCTCAAGACAACACTGTAGCTCAAGACAACACTGTAGCTCAAGACAACACTGTAACCCAAGACAACACTGTAACTCAAGACAACACTGTTGCTCAAGACACTACTGTAGCTCAAGACAACACTGTAGCTCAAGACAACACTGTAATTCAAGACAACACTGTAGCTCAAGACAACACTGTAGCTCAAGACAACACTGTAACTCAAGACAACACTGTAGCTCAAGACAACACTGTAACTCAAGACAACACTGTAACTCAAGACAACACTGTAGCTCAAGACAACACTGTAACTCAAGACACTACTGTAGCTCAAGACACCACTGTAGCTCAAGACACTACTGTAGCTCAAGACAACACTGTAGCTCAAGACAACACTGTAACTCAAGACAACACTGTAGCTCAAGACAACACTGTAACTCAAGACAACACTGTAATTCAAGACAACACTGTAGCTCAAGACCACACTGTAATTCAAGACCACACTGTAGCTCAAGACAACACTGTAATTCAAGACCACACTGTAGCTCAAGACAATGCTGTAGCTCAAGACAACACTGTCGCTCAAGACAGCACTGTAGCTCAAGACAACACTATAGCTCATGAGGCACCTGTTCAAGGCACGAAACGTTGTGTTCCTCATCATAAAGAAGTTGCCATCCATAACTTCTCTTCCTCAATGTAAAGATGTTGTGACAGTAACATGGTCTGTCAGTCAGGGATGATGAGATGCTGATGTTGGTTGCAGATTTCCCGGAACTGCCAGCTGAACACGCTCCTCACCAAGGTCCACGGAGCATCTACAGAGGTGAGGCTCCACAGGCTCCACAGGCTCCACAGACAACTTCTTGCTGCACGCTGGGGGGGGGGGGGGGGGGGGGGGGGGAAGTAGATCTTAGAATGCCTTGCAGTGATGTTGTGATAATCTGTTGAGTGACTTTAATTCCCAAAATGTAGATTCCCCCATGACTAGGATACATCTGTCATATACCTATAGGATATGTGTGTTTGTGGCTCTCATAATGACCTGAAGCTATGTGCTATTACTGAAGCACAGTCCATTACTACAAGCGCGTGGACAGAGTATCTGCATGGAGAGGGGAAGGTTGGTAGTTCTGTCTCTGGTTGCATCATACCATAAATTTAAAAGGTGATACTTGTTGTTACCCTGCCTTGTATTTAGCATTAAGAATATAAAACAAGGGCTGGTCGGCTCAGAGCCAGTATACTGTATGTGTGGTATCCAGATCAAACTGCTATATCCATATCAATGCCGTTATGTAAGTGCACTAATCTTGAATGCAATGTTAAGCCCCATTTCCCCTCCCACCACACTGAAGTGTGAGGCTGTAGTGAGACACGTGTGACTGTGTGAGGCTGTAGTGAGACACGTGTGACTGTGTGAGGCTGTAGTGAGACACATGTGACTGTGAGGCTGAAGTGAGACACGTGTGACTGAGTGAGGCTGTAGTGAGACACATGTGACTGTGTGAGGCTGTAGTGAGACACATGTGACTGTGTGAGGCTGTAGTGAGACACATGTGTGACTGTGAGGCTGTAGTGACACGTGACTGTGTGAGGCTGTAGTGAGACACGTGTGACTGTGAGGCTGTAGTGACACATGTGTGACTGTGAGGCTGTAGTGACACATATGTGACTGTGTGAGGCTGTAGTGACATACGTGTGACTGTGTGAGGCTGTAGTGACACACGTGTGACTGTGTGAGGCTGTAGTGACACATGTGACTGTGAGGCTGTAGTGACACATATGTGACTGTGTGAGGCTGTAGTGACACACGTGTGACTGTGAGGCTGTAGTGACACACGTGTGACTGTGAGGCTGTAGTGACACACGTGTGACTGTGTGAGGCTGTAGTGACACATATGTGACTGTGTGAGGCTGTAGTGACACATGTGTGACTGTGTGAGGCTGTAGTGACACATATGTGACTGTTGGAGGCTGTAGTGACACAAATGACTGTGTGAGGCTGTAGTGAGACACGTGTGACTGTGAGGCTGTAGTGACACATGTGTGACTGTGAGGCTGTAGTGACACATATGTGACTGTGTGAGGCTGTAGTGACACATGTGTGACTGTGAGGCTGTAGTGAGACACGTGTGACTGTGTGAGGCTGTAGTGACACAAGTGTGACTGTGTGAGGCTGTAGTGACACATATGTGACTGTGTGAAGCTGTAGTGATACGTGTGCCACGTGTGATGCTGTAGTGACACATATGTGACTGTGTGAGGCTGTAGTGACAAACGTGACTGTGTGAGGCTGTAGTGATACACGTGTGACTTTGAGGCTGTAGTGACACACGTGACTGAGGCTGTAGTGACACAAGTGTGACTGTGTGAGGCTGTAGTGACACAAGTGTGACTGTGTGAGGCTGTAGTGACACAAGTGTGACTGTGTGAGCCTGTAGTGAGACACGTGTGACTGTGAGCCTGTAGTGAGACACGTGTAACTGTGAGCCTGTAGTGAGACACGTGTAACTGTGTGAGCCTGTAGTGAGACACGTGTGACTATGTGAGGTTGTAGTCACACACGTGTGACTATGTGAGGCTGTAGTGACACACGTGTGATTATGTGAGGCTGTTGTGACACATGTGTGACTGTAAGGCTGTAGTGATACACGTTGGACTGTGTGAGGCTGTAGTGAGACACATGTGACTGTGTAAGGCTGTAGTGACACATGTGTGACTGTGTAAGGCTGTAGTGAGACACGTGTGACTGTGTAAGGCTGTAGTGACACGTATGACTGTGTGAGGCTGTAGTGACACATGTGAATGTGTGAGGCTGTAGTGAGACACGTGTGACTGTGTGAGGCTGTAGTGACACATGTGTGACTGTGTAAGGCTGTAGTGAGACACGTGTGACTGTGTAAGGCTGTAGTGACACGTATGACTGTGTGAGGCTGTAGTGACACGTGTGACTGTGTGAGGCTGTAGTGAGACACGTGTGACTGTGTAAGGCTGTAGTGAGACACGTGTGACTATGTGAGGTTGTAGTCACACATGTGTGACTATGTGAGGCTGTAGTGACACACGTGTGATTATGTGAGGCTGTTGTGACACATGTATGACTGTGTGAGGCTGTAGTGACACACGTGTGACTGTGTGAGGCTGTAGTGACACATGTGTGACTGTGTGAGGCTGTAGTGACACGTGTGACTGTGTGAGGCTGTAGTGACACGTGTGACTGTGTGAGGCTGTAGTGACACACGTGTGACTGTGTGAGGCTGTAGTGACACGTGTGACTGAGGCTGTTGTGACACATGTATGACTGTGTGAGGCTGTAGTGACACACGTGTGACTGTGTGAGGCTGTAGTGACACATGTGTGACTGTGTGAGGCTGTAGTGACACATGTATGACTGTGTGAGGCTGTAGTGACACACGTGTGACTGTGTGAGGCTGTAGTGACACGTGTGACTGTGTGAGGCTGTAGTGACACGTGTGACTGTGTGAAGCTGTAGTGACACGTGTGACTGTGTGAAGCTGTAGTGACACACGTGTGACTGTGTGAGGCTGTAGTGACACACGTATGACTGTGTGAGGCTCTAGTGACACACGTGTGACTATGTGCTGCAGGCGCGGAAGTTCAGTCTGGCAGATGTGGGACATCTGCTGCAGGAGCTGATCGGGGACTACTACCAACCATACTACCTGACTGACAGCCGCTTCAAGAACCTCAAACCGGAGCAGCTTCTTAGTGCACCAGGTACCAGTACATGCTTGTTGTCATCAAGGTACCAGTACATGCTTGTTGTCATCAAGTTACCAGTACATGCTTGTTGTCATCAAGGTACCAGTACATGCTTGTTGTCATCAAGGTACAAGTACATGCTTGTTGTCATCAAGGTACCAGTACATGCTTGTTGTCATCAAGTTACCAGTACATGCTTGTTGTCATCAAGGAACCAATACATGCTTGTTGTCTTCAAGGTACCAGTACATGCTTGTTGTCATCAAGGTACCAATACATGCTTGTTGTCATCAAGGTACCAGTACATGCTTGTTGTCATCAAGGTACAAGTACATGCTTGTTGTCATCAAGGTACCAGTACATGCTTGTTGTCTTCAAGGTACCAGTACATGCTTGTTGTCATCAAGGAACCAATACATGCTTGTTGTCTTCAAGGTACCAGTACATGCTTGTTGTCATCAAGGTACCAATACATGCTTGTTGTCATCAAGGTACCAGTACATGCTTGTTGTCATCAAGGTACAAGTACATGCTTGTTGTCATCAAGGTACCAGTACATGCTTGTTGTCATCAAGGTACCAATACATGCTTGTTGTCATCAAGGTACCAGTACATGCTTATTGTCTTCAAGGTACCAGTACATGCTTGTTGTCTTCAAGGTACTAGTACATGCTTGTTGTCTTCAAGGTACCAGTACGTGCTTGTTGTCATCAAGGAACCAATACATGCTTGTTGTCTTCAAGGTACCAGTACATGCTTGTTGTCATCAAGGTACCAATACATGCTTGTTGTCATCAAGGTACCAGTACATGCTTATTGTCTTCAAGGTACCAGTACATGCTTGTTGTCTTCAAGGTACTAGTACATGCTTGTTGTCTTCAAGGTACCAGTACGTGCTTGTTGTCATCAAGGAACCAATACATTCTTGTTGTCATCAAGGAACCAATACATACTTGTTGTCTTCAAGGTACCAGTACATTCTTGTTGTCATCAAGGAACCAATACATGCTTGTTGTCATCAAGGTACCAGTACATGCTTGTTGTCTTCAAGGTACCAGTACATGCTTGTTGTCATCAAGGTACAAGTACATGCTTGTTGTCATCAAGGTACCAGTACATGCTTGTTGTCATCAAGACTTATACATGCGGCTTATTGCCATGTATTGCTCTCATATGATAAAACTCAGAAAGTCTTTTCATTATGAGATGCTGTAGGATCAGTGTTCTGAATTTTTGGTAAATTTGAGACAAAAGATATATAAAAATCCTCATTTAGTTTTCTAAAAGAAAGAGATCTTGAGAAGCATCAATTCTGGCCTGGGAAATGTGTGTCTGCAATGTCAAGGATGCTGTTAACACATCACATATTCATGAATGATGCTTTGTGCTGTGTTACAGAGCCGGAGCCAGGGTCTGTTCCACAGGTCAGCGGGGACTTGCAGTTACATCGGCCCATCCAGGAGCTGTTCATCTGGTCGGTCCTCATGAACAGGCAGGAGCTCGCTAAACTGTTCTGGAGAGAAGGGAACGTAAGTCTCATACAGGCTGGGAACTTTAGTCTCATACTTGCAGGGAGCGTATATCTTCACAATGGGAGGGAAGCATGAGTCACAAACTGACAAAGAATGTCAACAACCTGTACACCATCATGTCTGCCCCATCCTGTGAACTGTGTGTTGTGAAGATGCCCTTTGTTTCAGGAGCAAACAGCGGCAGCTCTGGTTGCCAACAGCATTCTCAAGGCTCTGCGCAAGTGTACAGATGATGCCGAGCTGATGAAAACACTGGAGTCAAATGCGAAGTGAGTCAATCCATATTCCTATATCAACCTTGAGTTGATCCTCCACATATCTCTATGTCAGGTGTTGTATAATATATCTATGAAACAGTAAGAGAACCTAGCAGAGCAGTCCAATGCATCCTATCTGCCCTGTGTCATCAGTGAGTTTGAGAACTTCTCCCCTCCTACCCTATGTCCTCAGTGAGTTTGAGGACTTCACGCCTCCTGCCCTGTGTCCCCAGTGTGTTTGAGGACTTCCCCCCTCCTGGCCTGTGTCTTCATTGAGTTTGAGGACTTCACCCCTCCTGCCCTGTGTCCCCAGTGTGTTTGAGGACTTCCCCCCTCCTGGCCTGTGTCTTCATTGAGTTTGAGGACTTCTCCCCTCCTGCCCTGTGTCTTCATTGAGTTTGAGGACTTCTCCCCTCCTGCCCTGTGTCCTCTGTGAGTTTGAGGACTTCTCCCCTCCTACCCTGTGTCTTCATTGAGTTTGAGGACTTCTCCCCTCCTACCCTGTGTCCTCAGTGAGTTTGAGGACTTCTCCCCTCCTACCCTGTGTCCTCAGTGAGTTTGAGGACTTCCCCCCTCCTACCCTGTGTCCTCAGTGAGTTTGAGGACTTCTCCCCTCCTACCCTGTGTCCTCAGTGAGTTTGAGGACTTCTCCCCTCCTGCCCTGTGTCCCCAGTGAGTTTGAGGTCTTCTCCCCTCCTGCCCTGTGTCCTCAGTGAGTTAGAGGACTTCTCCCCTCCTGCCCTGTGTCCCCAGTGAGTTTGAGGTCTTCTCCCCTCCTGCCAAGTGTCCTCAGTGAGTTTGAGGACTTCTCCCCTCCTGCCCTGTGTCCTCAGTTAGTTTGAGGACTTCTCCCCTCCTACCCCGTGTCCTCAGTGAGTTAGAGGACTTCTCCCCTCCTGCCGTGTGTCCCCAGTAAGTTTGAGGTCTTCTCCCCCCCTGCCCTGTGTCCTCAGTGAGTTTGAGGACTTCTCCCCTCCTGCCCTGTGTCCTCAGTTAGTTTGAGGACTTCTCCCCTCCTGCCCTGTGTCCTCAGTGAGTTAGAGGACTTCTCCCCTCCTGCCCTGTGTCCTCAGTGAGTTTGAGGACTCCTGCCTTGCTGCCCTGTGTCCTCAGTGAGTTTGAGGACTTCTCCCCTCCTGCCCTGTGTCCCCAGTGAGTTAGAGGACTTCTCCCCCCCCCCTGCCCTGTGTCCTCAGTGAGTTAGAGGACTTCTCCCCCCCCTGCCCTGTGTCCTCAGTGAGTTAGAGGACTTCTCCCCCCCCCCCTGCCCTGTGTCCTCAGTGAGTTAGAGGACTTCTCCCCTCCTGCCCTGTGTCCTCAGTGAGTTTGAGGACTTCTCCCCTCCTACCCTGTGTCCTCAGTGAGTTAGAGGACTTGTCCCCCCCCTGCCCTGTGTCCTCAGTGAGTTTGAGGACTTCTCCCCTCCTGCCCTGTGTCCTCAGTGAGTTAGAGGACTTCTCCCCCCCCCCCCCCCCCCTGCCCTGTGTCCTCAGTGAGTTTGAGGACTTCTCCCCCCCCCCCAGCCCTGTGTCCTCAGTGAGTTAGAGGACTTCTCCCCCCCCCCCTGCCCTGTGTCCTCAGTGAGTTAGAGGACTTCTCCCCTCCTGCCCTGTGTCCTCAGTGAGTTTGAGGACTTCTCCCCCCTGCCCTGTGTCCTCAGTGAGTTTGAGGACTTCTCCCCTCCTGCCACGTGTCCTCAGTGAGTTTGAGGACTTCTCCCCCCCTGCCCTGTGTCCTCAGTGAGTTTGAGGACTTCTCCCCTCCTACCCTGTGTCCTCAGTGAGTTAGAGGACTTCTCCCCCCCTGCCCTGTGTCCTCAGTGAGTTTGAGGACTTCTCTCCTCCTGCCCTATGTCCTCAGTGAGTGCGAGGATGTAGCAGTTTAAGTCCTCTACTCTATGCCGCATGTCCTGTGTTTCCAGTGAATTTGAAGACCTGGCAGTCGGGGTTCTCAACAGCTGCTACAACTCGGATGAGCAGAAGGCCCAGGACCTGTTGATCAGGGAGCTGGAGAACTGGGGCAGTGCCACGACCGTCCTCATCGCAGTGGAAGCAGACAGCAAGAAGTTTGTGTCGCAGACAGCATGCCAGTCTCTCCTCAACAGCATCTGGATGGGCAAAATGTCAATGGACAATGGAAAGATACTGGTATGTGGGCACATGGAAGTGATGGTTAACATGACAGTTAGTGCTGCTTGATAAAGGACCTGCACTGAAATCACCCGTTTATCACCTGTGAAGATCTTGGTTAGAATTTGTCTTCAGCAACCCATGCCTGATGGAAGAGTTGACTAACACTCCAGTGTCACCCACAAAGGGTGTCTATCTGTCAATAGACAAAGAAATAAAGTCTCACACCCGTAGCCTGTGTCTGGTCTTCCTGTATACCTACACAATCCCGGTTACACAACTTTATCTAAAAATTGAGGCATCATCTGAGTATTTACAATGTCTGTGTAATGCCCCACCCCTTGTTATAGCGAAATTCGAAAAAGTTTGGTGTCCGAAAACATATGCTCCGACAATATATTGTGTCTTGTGTTGCAGCTTGTGTCCAGCATGTTCTTCTTCCCCCTCATCTGGTTCATCATCCGGTTCCGGGAGGAGGAGAAGGCCAAGTTTGAGGCTCTCATTTCATCCCAGTCTGACGGAAAGAAGCCAGCAGGAATGGTAGGTCTCATTATGAGGGTGGAATACTTCCAGGTAACATGATGATGGCAGCACACCGTGAGAGGGGTGCACTGACAAGATAGTCATGAACTTGACATAGCACCATTGCTGTCATTGGTCAGTGATTGGAAACGTACGTCTGTATTCCTCTAGCTGCTAACAAGATGACTGTCTGGCAAAGCTATGTCACAGTTCAGTATGGAAGTAAAGATATCAATAAACTCCTCACTGAGTGTCTGCTGTACTTTGTTTGTCACAGGGCAGCCAGCCACCTCTGAGCCGGGAGAACACGATGAACCTGCAGCGAACTCCTACGCGGCTGGACATGAAGGAGCAGCAGTGAGTAGCCAGTAGCTTGAAGTCATTAGCTGGTTGCAAGTAGCTAGTAGCTTGTAGTCAGTTGCCTGTAGACAGTACCCTGTAGACAGAAGCTTGTAGACAGTAGCCTGTAGTCAGTAGCCTGTAGTCCGTAGCCTGTAGTCCGTAGCCTGTAGTCAGTAGCCTGTAGACAGTAGCCTGTAGTCAGTAGCCTGTAGTCAGTAGCCTGTAGACAGTAGCCTGTACACAGGAGCCTGTAGTCAGTAGCCTGTAGTCAGTAGCCTGTAGACAGTACCCTGTAGACAGAAGCTTGTAGACAGTAGCCTGTAGTCAGTAGCCTGTAGTCCGTAGCCTGTAGTCAGTAGCCTGTAGACAGTAGCCTGTAGTCAGTAGCCTGTACACAGGAGCCTGTAGTCAGTAGCCTCTAGTCAGTAGCCTGTAGTCAGTAGCCTGTAGACAGTAGCTTGTAGTCAGTAGCCTGTAGACAGTAGCCTGTAGTCAGTAGCCTGTAGTCAGTAGCCTGTAGTCAGTAGCTTGTAGTCAGTAGCCTGTAGACAGTAGCTTGTAGTCAGTAGCTGGTAGCAAGTAGCTTGTTGTCATTAGCCTGTAGTCAATATCTTGTAGACAGTAGCCTGTAGTTGTTAGCTTGTAGCCAGTAGCTTGTAGCAAGTAGCTTGTAGACAGTAGCTTGTAGCCAGTAGCCTGTAGCCAGGAGCTTGTAGTCAGTAGCTGGTAGCAAGTAGCTTGTAGACTGTAGCCAGTAGCTTGTAGCCAGTAGCTGGTAGTAGCTTCATTTGAAGCCTTGTATTTGCCCATATAAGGATCTATCTGTTAAGTGTATGACAGCTTGTTGGACCCTTGTAAATGTCCATATCAGGCTCTATCTGTTGAGTATCTAACAGCTTTTAGCCTTCTGTTTGTCCATATCATGCCCTATCTGTTGAGTATCTAACAGCTTTTAGCCTTCTGTATGACCAGATGAGGCTCTATCTGTTAAGTATCTAACAGCTTTTAGCCTTCTGTATGTCCATATCAAGCCCTATCTGTTGAGTATCTAACAGCTTTTAGCCTGCTGTATGTCCATATCATGCCCTATCTGTTGAGTATCTAACAGCTTTTAGCCTTCTGTATGCCTAGATGAGGCCCTATCTGTTAAGTATCTAACAGCTTTTAGCCTTCTGTATGTCCATATCAAGCCCTATCTGTTGAGTATCTAACAGCTTTTAGCCTTCTGTTTGTCCATATCATGCCCTATCTGTTGAGTATCTAACAGCTTTTAGCCTTCTGTATGCCCAGATGAGGCTCTCTCTGTTGAGTATCTAACAGCTTTTAGCCTTTTGTATGTCCATATCAAACCCTATCTGTTGAGTATCTAACAGCTTTTAGCTTTCTGTATGTCCATATCAAGCCCTATCTGTTGAGTATCTAACAGCTTTTAGCCTTCTGTATGCCCAGATGAGGCTCTCTCTGTTGAGTATTTAACAGCTTTTAGCCTTCTGTATGTCCATATCAAGCCCTATCTGTTGAGTATCTAACAGCTTTTAGCCTTCTGTATGTCCATATCAAGCCCTATCTGTTGAGTATCTAACAGCTTTTCGCCTTCTGTATACCCAGATGAGGCTCTATCTGTTGAGTATCTAACAGCTTTTAGCCTTCTGTATGCCCAGATGAGGCCCTATCTGTTGAGTATCCAACAGCTTTTAGCCTTCTGTATGCCCAGATGAGGCTCTATCTGTTGAGTATCCAACAGCTTTTAGCCTTCTGTATGTCCATATCAGGCTCTATCTGTTGAGTATCTAACAGCTTTTAGCCTTCTGTATGTCCATATCATGCCCTATCTGTTGAGTATTCAACAGCTTTTAGCCTTCTGTATGCCCAGATGTGTATCTAACAGCTTTTAGCCTTCTGTATACCCAGATGAGGCTCTATCTGTTGAGTGTTCAACAGCTTTTAGCCTTCTGTATGCCCAGATGAGGCTCTATCTGTTGAGTATTTAACAGCTTTTAGCCTTCTGTATGTCCATATCAAGCCCTATCTGTTGAGTATCTAACAACTTTCAGCCTTCTGTATGCCCAGATGAGGCTCTCTCTGTTGAGTATTTAACAGCTTTTAGCCTTCTGTATGTCCATATCAAGCCATATCTGTTGAGTATCTAACAGCTTTAGGCTTCTGTATACCCAGATGAGGCCCTATCTGTTGAGTATCTAACAGCTTTTAGCCTTCTGTATACCCAGATGAGGCCCTATCTGTTGAGTATCTAACAGCTTTTAGCCTTCTCTATGCCCAGATGAGGCTCTATCTGTTGAGTATCTAACAGCTTTTAGCCTTCTGTATGCCCAGATGAGGCCCTATCTGTTGAGTATCTAACAGCTTTTAGCCTTCTGTATGCCCAGATGAGGCTCTATCTGTTGAGTATCTAACAGCTTTTAGCCTTCTGTATACCTAGATGAGGCTCTATCTGTTGAGTATTCAACAGCTTTTAGCCTTCTGTATGTCCATATCAGGCCCTATCTGTTGAGTATTCAACAGCTTTTAGCCTTCTGTATGCCCAGATGAGGCTCTATCTGTTGAGTATTCAACAGCTTTTAGCCTTCTGTATGCCCAGATGAGGCTCTATCTGTTGAGTGTATGACAGCTTTTAGCCTTCTGTATGCCCAGATGAGGCTCTATCTGTTGAGTATCCAACAGCTTTTAGCCTTCTGTATGTCCATATCAGGCTCTATCTGTTGAGTATCTAACAGCTTTTAGCCTTCTGTATGTCCATATCATGCCCTATCTGTTGAGTATTCAACAGCTTTTAGCCTTCTGTATGCCCAGATGAGGCTCTATCTGTTGAGTATTCAACAGCTTTTAGCCTTCTGTATGCCCAGATGAGGCTCTATCTGTTGAGTATCCAACAGCTTTTAGCCTTCTGTATGTCCATATCAGGCTCTATCTGTTGAGTATCTAACAGCTTTTAGCCTTCTGTATGTCCATATCATGCCCTATCTGTTGAGTATTCAACAGCTTTTAGCCTTCTGTATGCCCAGATGAGGCTCTATCTGTTGAGTGTATGACAGCTTGTTGGACCCTTGTAAATGTCCATATCAGGCCCTATCTGTTGAGTATCCAACAGCTTTTAGCCTTCTGTATGCCCAGATGAGGCTCTATCTGTTGAGTATCCAACAGCTTTTAGCCTTCTGTATGTCCATATCAGGCTCTATCTGTTGAGTATCTAACAGCTTTTAGCCTTCTGTATGTCCATATCATGCCCTATCTGTTGAGTATTCAACAGCTTTTAGCCTTATGTATGCCCAGATGAGGCTCTATCTGTTGAGTGTTCAACAGCTTTTAGCCTTCTGTATGCCCAGATGAGGCTCTATCTGTTGTGTATCTAACAGCTTTTAGCCTTCTGTATGCCGAGATGTGTATCTAACAGCTTTTAGCCTTCTGCATGCCCAGTTGAGTATCTAACAGCTTTTAGCCTTCTCTATGCCCAGATGAGGCTCTATCTGTTGAGTGAGTCCTAACTTCACATTCTGCCATTACTCCTTTCAGAGATGAACCTAAACACAGAGTGAGACGGATCAACCCGTTCAGGAAGCTGATGCTGTTCTACACAGCGCCTGTCATCATCTTCAGCCTCAATGTGGTGAGTTGAGAGCAAGGGACTCATTCATGAAACAATGAGCGTGCGACAACTATCGTAAATCATCTAGTTTGGTATACACCCAGCAGTGTTGACGTGCCAAGATTGCTTTGTGAAACAGGGTTTGCTCAGATTTGAAAATGGCTTTATCATAAAGGCATCAGTAAAGATATACTTTAGTGGGTAAAGGAGAGCTTCAGACTGATGCGAATACTGATGGAACGTCCCCAAATCACCACCATATTAATTATTTGTGACCAGCATTGTTCAAGATGTTCAAGATCTGTTGTTCCTTCTTGACCAAAACAGTGTTGTTCCTTGTGTCCTACCTGGTGTTCCTGAACTATACAATATTGTTCCTTGTGTCCTACCTGGTGTTCCTGAACTATACAATATTGTTCCTTGTGTCCTACCTGGTGTTCCTGAACTATACAATATTGTTCCTTGTGTCCTACCTGGTGTTCCTGAACTATACAATATTTTTCCTTGTGTCCTACCTGGTGTTCCTGAACTATACAATATTGTTCCTTGTGTCCTACCTGGTGTTCCTGAACTATACAATATTGTTCTTGAAGTCCTATCTGGTGTTCCTAAACTATACAATATTGTTCCTTGTGTCCTACCTGGTGTTCCTGAACTATACAATATTGTTCCTTGTGTCCTACCAGGTGTTCCTGAACTATACAATGTTGTTCCTTGTGTCCTACCAGGTGTTCCTGAACTATACAATATTGTTCCTTGTGTCCTACCTGGTGTTCCTGAACTATACAATATTGTTCCTTGTGTCCTACCTGGTGTTCCTGAACTATACAATATTGTTCCTTGTGTCCTACCTGGTGTTCCTGAACTATACAATATTGTTCCTTGTGTCCTACCTGGTGTTCCTGAACTATACAATATTGTTCTTGAAGTCCTATCTGGTGTTCCTAAACTATACAATATTGTTCCTTGTGTCCTATCTGTTGTTCCTGGACTATCCAGTGTTGTTCCATGTGCCCTTTCTGTTTCTGACCTATCTAGTGTTGTTCCATGTGCCCTTTCTGTTTCTGACCTATCCAGTGTTGTTCCATGTGTCCTATCTGTTTCTGACCTACCCAGTGTTGTTCCATGTGTCTTTTCTGTTCCTGACCTATCCAGTGTTGTTCCATGTGTCCTATCTGTTCCTGACCTATCCAGTGTTGTTCCATGTGCCCTTTCTGTTCCTGACCTATCCAGTGTTGTTCCATGTGTCCTTTCTGTTCCTGACCTATCCAGTGTTGTTCCATGTGTCCTTTCTGTTCCTGACCTATCCAGTGTTGTTCCATGTGTCCTATCTGTTCCTGACCTACCCAGTGTTGTTCCATGTGTCCTTTCTGTTCCTGACCTATCTAGTGTTGTTCCATGTGTCCTTTCTGTTCCTGACCTATCCAGTGTTGTTCCATGTGTCCTTTCTGTTCCTGACCTATCTAGTGTTGTTCCATGTGTCCTATCTGTTCCTGACCTATACAATGTTCCATGTGTCTTTTCTGTTCCTGACCTATCCAGTGTTGTTCCATGTGTCCTTTCTGTTCCTGACCTAACCAGTGTTGTTCCATGTGCCCTTTCTGTTCCTGACCTATCCAGTGTTGTTCCATGTGCCCTTTCTGTTCCTGACCTACCCAGTGTTGTTCCATGTGTCTTTTCTGTTGACCTGACCTAACCAGTGTTGTTCCATGTGTCCTTTCTGTTCCTGACCTATCTAGTGTTGTTCCATGTGCCCTTTCTGTTCCTGACCTACCCAGTGTTGTTCCATGTGTCTTTTCTGTTGACCTGACCTAACCAGTGTTGTTCCATGTGTCCTTTCTGTTCCTGACCTATCTAGTGTTGTTCCATGTGTCCTTTCTGTTCCTGACCTATCCAGTGTTGTTCCATGTGTCCTATCTGTTTCTGACCTATCTAGTGTTGTTCCATGTGTCCTATCTGTTCCTGACCTATCCAGTGTTGTTCCATGTGTCCTTTCTGTTCCTGACCTATCCAGTGTTGTTCCATGTGCCCTTTCTGTTCCTGACCTATCCAGTGTTGTTCCATGTGTCCTTTCTGTTCCTGACCTATCTAGTGTTGTTCCATGTGTCCTTTCTGTTCCTGACCTATCCAGTGTTGTTCCATGTGTCCTTTCTGTTCCTGACCTATTTAGTGTTGTTCCATGTGTCCTTTCTGTTCCTGACCTATCCAGTGTTGTTCCATGTGTCCTTTCTGTTCCTGACCTATCCAGTGTTGTTCCATGTGTCCTTTCTGTTCCTGACCTATCTAGTGTTGTTCCATGTGTCCTTTCTGTTCCTGACCTATCCAGTGTTGTTCCATGTGTCCTTTCTGTTCCTGACCTATCCAGTGTTGTTCCATGTGTCCTTTCTGTTCCTGACCTATCCAGTGTTGTTCCATGTGTCCTTTCTGTTCCTGACCTATCCAGTGTTGTTCCATGTGTCCTTTCTGTTCCTGACCTATCCAGTGTTGTTCCATGTGTCCTATCTGTTCCTGACCTATCCAGTGTTGTTCCATGTGTCCTTTCTGTTCCTGACCTATCCAGTGTTGTTCCATGTGTCCTTTCTGTTCCTGACCTATCCAGTGTTGTTCCATGTGTCCTATCTGTTCCTGACCTATCCAGTGTTGTTCCATGTGTCCTTTCTGTTCCTGACCTATCTAGTGTTGTTCCATGTGTCCTTTCTGTTCCTGACCTATCCAGTGTTGTTCCATGTGCCCTTTCTGTTCCTGACCTATCTAGTGTTGTTCCATGTGTCCTTTCTGTTCCTGACCTATCTAGTGTTGTTCCATGTGTCCTTTCTGTTCCTGACCTATCCAGTGTTGTTCCATGTGTCCTTTCTGTTCCTGACCTATCCAGTGTTGTTCCATGTGTCCTTTCTGTTCCTGACCTATCCAGTGTTGTTCCATGTGTCCTTTCTGTTCCTGACCTAACCAGTGTTGTTCCATGTGTCCTTTCTGTTCCTGACCTATCTAGTGTTGTTCCATGTGTCCTTTCTGTTCCTGACCTATCTAGTGTTGTTCCATGTGCCCTTTCTGTTCCTGACCTATCCAGTGTTGTTCCATGTGCCCTATCTGTTCCTGACCTATCCAGTGTTGTTCCATGTGTCCTTTCTGTTCCTGACCTATCTAGTGTTGTTCCATGTGTCCTTTCTGTTCCTGACCTATCCAGTGTTGTTCCATGTGTCCTTTCTGTTCCTGACCTATCTAGTGTTGTTCCATGTGTCCTTTCTGTTCCTGACCTATCTAGTGTTGTTCCATGTGTCCTTTCTGTTCCTGACCTATCCAGTGTTGTTCCATGTGTCCTTTCTGTTCCTGACCTATCTAGTGTTGTTCCATGTGTCCTTTCTGTTCCTGACCTATCTAGTGTTGTTCCATGTGTCCTTTCTGTTCCTGACCTATCTAGTGTTGTTCCATGTGTCCTTTCTGTTCCTGACCTATCCAGTGTTGTTCCATGTGTCCTATCTGTTCCTGACCTATCCAGTGTTGTTCCATGTGTCCTTTCTGTTCCTGACCTATCCAGTGTTGTTCCATGTGCCCTATCTGTTCCTGACCTATCCAGTGTTGTTCCATGTGTCCTTTCTGTTTCTGGCCTATCTAGTGTTGTTCCATGTGTCCTATCTGTTTCTGACCTATCTAGTGTTGTTCCATGTGTCCTTTCTGTTCCTGACCTATCCAGTGTTGTTCCATGTGCCCTATCTGTTCCTGACCTATCCAGTGTTGTTCCATGTGTCCTTTCTGTTTCTGGCCTATCTAGTGTTGTTCCATGTGTCCTATCTGTTTCTGACCTATCTAGTGTTGTTCCATGTGTCCTTTCTGTTCCTGACCTATCTAGTGTTGTTCCATGTGCCCTTTCTGTTCCTGACCTATCTAGTGTTGTTCCATGTGTCCTTTCTGTTTCTGACCTATCTAGTGTTGTTCCATGTGCCCTTTCTGTTCCTGACCTATCTAGTGTTGTTCCATGTGTCCTTTCTGTTTCTGACCTATCCAGTGTTGTTCCATGTGCCCTTTCTGTTCCTGACCTATCTAGTGTTGTTCCATGTGCCCTTTCTGTTCCTGACCTATCTAGTGTTGTTCCATGTGTCCTTTCTGTTTCTGGCCTATCTAGTGTTGTTCCATGTGTCCTATCTGTTTCTGACCTACCCAGTGTTGTTCCATGTGCCCTTTCTGTTTCTGGCCTATCCAGTGTTGTTCCATGTGCCCTTTCTGTTCCTGACCTATCTAGTGTTGTTCCATGTGTCCTTTCTGTTCCTGACCTATCCAGTGTTGTTCCATGTGTCCTTTCTGTTTCTGGCCTATCTAGTGTTGTTCCATGTGTCCTATCTGTTTCTGACCTACCCAGTGTTGTTCCATGTGCCCTTTCTGTTTCTGGCCTATCCAGTGTTGTTCCATGTGTCCTATCTGTTCCTGACCTATCCAGTGTTGTTCCATGTGTCCTTTCTGTTTCTGACCTATCTAGTGTTGTTCCATGTGTCCTATCTGTTCCTGACCTATCTAGTGTTGTTCCATGTGTCTTTTCTGTTCCTGACCTATCCAGTGTTGTTCCATGTGTCCTTTCTGTTCCTGACCTAACCAGTGTTGTTCCATGTGTCCTTTCTGTTCCTGACCTATCCAGTGTTGTTCCATGTGCCCTTTCTGTTCCTGACCTATCTAGTGTTGTTCCATGTGTCTTTTCTGTTCCTGACCTATCTAGTGTTGTTCCATGTGTCCTTTCTGTTCCTGACCTATCCAGTGTTGTTCCATGTGCCCTTTCTGTTCCTGACCTATCCAGTGTTGTTCCATGTGCCCTTTCTGTTCCTGACCTACCCAGTGTTGTTCCATGTGTCTTTTCTGTTGACCTGACCTAACCAGTGTTGTTCCATGTGTCCTTTCTGTTCCTGACCTATCTAGTGTTGTTCCATGTGCCCTTTCTGTTCCTGACCTACCCAGTGTTGTTCCATGTGTCTTTTCTGTTGACCTGACCTAACCAGTGTTGTTCCATGTGTCCTTTCTGTTCCTGACCTATCTAGTGTTGTTCCATGTGTCCTTTCTGTTCCTGACCTATCCAGTGTTGTTCCATGTGTCCTATCTGTTTCTGACCTATCTAGTGTTGTTCCATGTGTCCTATCTGTTCCTGACCTATCCAGTGTTGTTCCATGTGTCCTTTCTGTTCCTGACCTATCCAGTGTTGTTCCATGTGCCCTTTCTGTTCCTGACCTATCCAGTGTTGTTCCATGTGTCCTTTCTGTTCCTGACCTATCTAGTGTTGTTCCATGTGTCCTTTCTGTTCCTGACCTATCCAGTGTTGTTCCATGTGTCCTTTCTGTTCCTGACCTATTTAGTGTTGTTCCATGTGTCCTTTCTGTTCCTGACCTATCCAGTGTTGTTCCATGTGTCCTTTCTGTTCCTGACCTATCCAGTGTTGTTCCATGTGTCCTTTCTGTTCCTGACCTATCTAGTGTTGTTCCATGTGTCCTTTCTGTTCCTGACCTATCCAGTGTTGTTCCATGTGTCCTTTCTGTTCCTGACCTATCCAGTGTTGTTCCATGTGTCCTTTCTGTTCCTGACCTATCCAGTGTTGTTCCATGTGTCCTTTCTGTTCCTGACCTATCCAGTGTTGTTCCATGTGCCCTTTCTGTTCCTGACCTATCTAGTGTTGTTCCATGTGTCCTTTCTGTTCCTGACCTATCTAGTGTTGTTCCATGTGTCCTTTCTGTTCCTGACCTATCCAGTGTTGTTCCATGTGTCCTTTCTGTTCCTGACCTATCCAGTGTTGTTCCATGTGTCCTTTCTGTTCCTGACCTATCCAGTGTTGTTCCATGTGTCCTTTCTGTTCCTGACCTAACCAGTGTTGTTCCATGTGTCCTTTCTGTTCCTGACCTATCTAGTGTTGTTCCATGTGTCCTTTCTGTTCCTGACCTATCTAGTGTTGTTCCATGTGCCCTATCTGTTCCTGACCTATCTAGTGTTGTTCCATGTGTCCTTTCTGTTCCTGACCTATCCAGTGTTGTTCCATGTGTCCTTTCTGTTCCTGACCTATCTAGTGTTGTTCCATGTGTCCTTTCTGTTCCTGACCTATCCAGTGTTGTTCCATGTGTCCTTTCTGTTCCTGACCTATCTAGTGTTGTTCCATGTGTCCTTTCTGTTCCTGACCTATCTAGTGTTGTTCCATGTGTCCTTTCTGTTCCTGACCTATCCAGTGTTGTTCCATGTGTCCTTTCTGTTCCTGACCTATCTAGTGTTGTTCCATGTGTCCTTTCTGTTCCTGACCTATCTAGTGTTGTTCCATGTGTCCTTTCTGTTCCTGACCTATCTAGTGTTGTTCCATGTGTCCTTTCTGTTCCTGACCTATCCAGTGTTGTTCCATGTGTCCTATCTGTTCCTGACCTATCCAGTGTTGTTCCATGTGTCCTTTCTGTTCCTGACCTATCCAGTGTTGTTCCATGTGCCCTATCTGTTCCTGACCTATCCAGTGTTGTTCCATGTGTCCTTTCTGTTTCTGGCCTATCTAGTGTTGTTCCATGTGTCCTATCTGTTTCTGACCTATCTAGTGTTGTTCCATGTGTCCTTTCTGTTCCTGACCTATCCAGTGTTGTTCCATGTGCCCTATCTGTTCCTGACCTATCCAGTGTTGTTCCATGTGTCCTTTCTGTTTCTGGCCTATCTAGTGTTGTTCCATGTGTCCTATCTGTTTCTGACCTATCTAGTGTTGTTCCATGTGTCCTTTCTGTTCCTGACCTATCTAGTGTTGTTCCATGTGCCCTTTCTGTTCCTGACCTATCTAGTGTTGTTCCATGTGTCCTTTCTGTTTCTGACCTATCTAGTGTTGTTCCATGTGCCCTTTCTGTTCCTGACCTATCTAGTGTTGTTCCATGTGTCCTTTCTGTTTCTGACCTATCCAGTGTTGTTCCATGTGCCCTTTCTGTTCCTGACCTATCTAGTGTTGTTCCATGTGCCCTTTCTGTTCCTGACCTATCTAGTGTTGTTCCATGTGTCCTTTCTGTTTCTGGCCTATCTAGTGTTGTTCCATGTGTCCTATCTGTTTCTGACCTACCCAGTGTTGTTCCATGTGCCCTTTCTGTTTCTGGCCTATCCAGTGTTGTTCCATGTGCCCTTTCTGTTCCTGACCTATCTAGTGTTGTTCCATGTGTCCTTTCTGTTCCTGACCTATCCAGTGTTGTTCCATGTGTCCTTTCTGTTTCTGGCCTATCTAGTGTTGTTCCATGTGTCCTATCTGTTTCTGACCTACCCAGTGTTGTTCCATGTGCCCTTTCTGTTTCTGGCCTATCCAGTGTTGTTCCATGTGTCCTATCTGTTCCTGACCTATCCAGTGTTGTTCCATGTGTCCTTTCTGTTTCTGACCTATCTAGTGTTGTTCCATGTGTCCTATCTGTTCCTGACCTATCTAGTGTTGTTCCATGTGTCTTTTCTGTTCCTGACCTATCCAGTGTTGTTCCATGTGTCCTTTCTGTTCCTGACCTAACCAGTGTTGTTCCATGTGTCCTTTCTGTTCCTGACCTATCCAGTGTTGTTCCATGTGCCCTTTCTGTTCCTGACCTATCTAGTGTTGTTCCATGTGTCTTTTCTGTTCCTGACCTATCTAGTGTTGTTCCATGTGTCCTTTCTGTTCCTGACCTATCCAGTGTTGTTCCATGTGCCCTTTCTGTTCCTGACCTATCCAGTGTTGTTCCATGTGCCCTTTCTGTTCCTGACCTATCCAGTGTTGTTCCATGTGTCTTTTCTGTTCCTGACCTATCTAGTGTTGTTCCATGTGTCCTTTCTGTTCCTGACCTATCTAGTGTTGTTCCATGTGTCCTATCTGTTTCTGACCTATCTAGTGTTGTTCCATGTGTCCTATCTGTTTCTGACCTATCTAGTGTTGTTCCATGTGTCCTATCTGTTTCTGACCTATCCAGTGTTGTTCCATGTGCCCTTTCTGTTCCTGACCTATCCAGTGTTGTTCCATGTGTCCTATCTGTTCCTGACCTATCCAGTGTTGTTCCATGTGTCCTTTCTGTTCCTGACCTATCCAGTGTTGTTCCATGTGTCCTTTCTGTTCCTGACCTATCCAGTGTTGTTCCATGTGCCCTTTCTGTTCCTGACCTATCTAGTGTTGTTCCATGTGTCCTTTCTGTTTCTGGCCTATCTAGTGTTGTTCCATGTGTCCTATCTGTTTCTGACCTATCTAGTGTTGTTCCATGTGTCCTATCTGTTTCTGACCTATCCAGTGTTGTTCCATGTGCCCTTTCTGTTCCTGACCTATCCAGTGTTGTTCCATGTGTCCTATCTGTTCCTGACCTATCCAGTGTTGTTCCATGTGTCCTTTCTGTTCCTGACCTATCCAGTGTTGTTCCATGTGTCCTTTCTGTTCCTGACCTATCCAGTGTTGTTCCATGTGCCCTTTCTGTTCCTGACCTATCTAGTGTTGTTCCATGTGCCCTATCTGTTCCTGACCTATCCAGTGTTGTTCCATGTGCCCTATCTGTTCCTGACCTATCTAGTGTTGTTCCATGTGTCCTTTCTGTTCCTGACCTATCTAGTGTTGTTCCATGTGTCCTATCTGTTTCTGACCTATCCAGTGTTGTTCCATGTGTCCTTTCTGTTCCTGACCTATCTAGTGTTGTTCCATGTGTCCTATCTGTTTCTGACCTATCCAGTGTTGTTCCATGTGCCCTTTCTGTTCCTGACCTATCCAGTGTTGTTCCATGTGCCCTTTCTGTTCCTGACCTATCTAGTGTTGTTCCATGTGTCCTTTCTGTTCCTGACCTATCTAGTGTTGTTCCATGTGTCCTTTCTGTTCCTGACCTATCCAGTGTTGTTCCATGTGTCCTTTCTGTTCCTGACCTATCCAGTGTTGTTCCATGTGTCTTTTCTGTTCCTGACCTATCCAGTGTTGTTCCATGTGTCCTTTCTGTTCCTGACCTATCCAGTGTTGTTCCATGTGTCCTTTCTGTTCCTGACCTATCTAGTGTTGTTCCATGTGTCCTTTCTGTTCCTGACCTATCTAGTGTTGTTCCATGTGTCCTTTCTGTTCCTGACCTATCCAGTGTTGTTCCATGTGTCCTTTCTGTTCCTGACCTATCCAGTGTTGTTCCATGTGTCCTTTCTGTTCCTGACCTATCCAGTGTTGTTCCATGTGTCTTTTCTGTTCCTGACCTATCTAGTGTTGTTCCATGTGTCCTTTCTGTTCCTGACCTATCCAGTGTTGTTCCATGTGTCCTTTCTGTTCCTGACCTATCCAGTGTTGTTCCATGTGTCTTTTCTGTTCCTGACCTATCTAGTGTTGTTCCATGTGTCCTTTCTGTTCCTGACCTATCTAGTGTTGTTCCATGTGTCCTATCTGTTCCTGACCTATCCAGTGTTGTTCCATGTGTCTTTTCTGTTTCTGACCTATCCAGTGTTGTTCCATGTGTCTTTTCTGTTCCTGACCTATCCAGTGTTGTTCCATGTGTCCTTTCTGTTCCTGACCTATCCAGTGTTGTTCCATGTGTCCTTTCTGTTCCTGACCTATCCAGTGTTGTTCCATGTGCCCTTTCTGTTCCTGACCTATCTAGTGTTGTTCCATGTGTCCTTTCTGTTCCTGACCTATCTAGTGTTGTTCCATGTGTCCTTTCTGTTCCTGACCTATCTAGTGTTGTTCCATGTGCCCTTTCTGTTCCTGACCTACCCAGTGTTGTTCCATGTGTCCTTTCTGTTCCTGACCTATCCAGTGTTGTTCCATGTGCCCTTTCTGTTCCTGACCTATCCAGTGTTGTTCCATGTGTCCTATCTGTTCCTGACCTATCCAGTGTTGTTCCATGTGTCCTTTCTGTTCCTGACCTATCCAGTGTTGTTCCATGTGTCCTTTCTGTTCCTGACCTATCTAGTGTTGTTCCATGTGTCCTTTCTGTTCCTGACCTATCTAGTGTTGTTCCAGGTTTCCTATCTGTTGTTCCTTGGGATCTACAGCTACATCCTACTGATCCAGTTTAACAAAACATTCTCGGTGTTGGAAGGAATTCTCATATTCTGGGTGTTTACCATAATGGTGGAGGAGTGCCGGCAGGTAAGTCATGGACAACCCTCAGGGGGTGGTGGCTGGTGGTGGGTGTGGGTGTGGGTGTGGGTGTCGGTGTGGGTGGTGCCTGGTGGATGTGGGTGGCAGCTTGTGGGTGTGGATGTGGGTGTGGGTGTGGGTGTTGGGTGTGGGTGTGGGTGGTGCCTGGTGGATGTGGGTGGCGGCTTGTGGGTGTGGATGTGGGTGTGGGTGTGGGTGTGGGTGTTGGGTGTTGGGTGTGGGTAATAGGTAGTGGGTGGTGGGTGTGGGTGTGGGCACTGGGTGGTGGGTGTGGATGTGGGTTGTGTGTGTGGGTAGTGGGTGGGGATATGGGTATTGGGTGTTGGTGTGGATGTGGCTGTGGGTGTGAGTTTTTTTAGTTGAATTCTGTACATTCTGTGATTTACACCCAAGTTGATATTCCTACTTTGACTTCCCCCATGGGGATTTATAGGTAGAGTGGAATGTCATTTAATGTCACAGCAACATTCCAAATATGTCATGAGAGCCTGTCACTTATCAAAATATTGCCCAAGCAAACACGTGACTGAAGGAACGAGCCATGGGCTATGCCATCAGGGTAAACCACATGCAGTCAGCCAATTCACAGATCCTAACCATGGAATCTTGATCTGAGTTGGCAAGAAAAGGATACTATGAACTACACTGACCTCAGTCCTACATTACAGAACCAAGGGTTTCCTATTTTTTCTAGTATTGCCTAATGTCTGAGTGAACCTAACTGAGTATTGGTTGGGTACAATGGTTGCTTTATAAATGTGGCTCAGTACACACACTGTTGCAGTCTTTAAGTTGCGTCTCAGCTTGTAAGGGAATCTGTAGAGTAAGAAATTAAAACTCAACTGATTGGTTTCAGATGATTTAGATGATTTTTCTATCCAGACTTGTTGGGATTGCAAAAAAATTGCATTGTTGTTTTAGTCTTCCTTGAATTCAATAGTTGTCCATACATCAGCTTGCTTGTCCTGCAGATTGTTGCCAACAACGCCACGTCCATCAAGTCCAAACTGTACAGCTACTTCACCGACTCCTGGAACATCCTCGACATCATCACCATCGTCCTCTTCACCACCGGGATGATCCTCCGCTTCATCCCTAACGATGAAAGCTTTAATGCAGCTCGGGTTGTCCTCAGCATCAACCTCATCTCCTTCTTCTTCCGCATCCTGCACATCTTCTCTGTCAACAAACAACTGGGGCCGAAGCTGGTCATGATCAGGAGAATGGTGGGTAGAAGCAAGAGACTCCCAGAAGGGCTGCTGCTGTTGCTGCTGCTGCTGCTGCATATGTGAACTACTCAATCAGTCTGTGACAAAAACTTTATGTTAACAATGGAATTAAACCTTTCTTTCTGATCATTCACTGAGAATAGTCATTGTCCAGAAGCTGTTTTCATTTACACGTTGCCAAGATCCATTTTCTGTTGCAGCATTAGAAATTGGCACTAGTCCTGTGGTCTTTGCCAAACTGCCCAATAGTTAAGGTATCATAAGGACTAGTAGAAATATGCCATTTTTAAGGGTTTTGCTATATGTTATTATTATAAGGACTAGTGGACTAAAAATGTCTCTACCACTGATGTTGTCCATTCCAGATTGACGACCTGATGTCATTTGTGGTGATCTTGATGGTGTTTATTGTGGCATATGCCATAGCATCAGAGGCCATCTTGTATCCCAACCAGGAGTTGACATGGGAACTCATCTACCGCCTGCCCCGGAAAGCTTACTGGACCATCTATGGAGAGCTGTTCCTGGAGGAAATTGAAGGTACTGGCTGTGAATGGAGAATGAATGGTGTTTACCATGCACATCTACCTGTGGATGGCTGTTTTGACCACCGGCTATGCCTCCAGGGAAATCTGAACTGATTGTCTATTGCCTTACACTCCTCCTTGTGGGGTACTTGGGTAGGATGGGTCCCAGGACTTGTTGTACGAAGCCACTTAATTGGAATGGATGGTCAGGCTCTGTGACATGGCTGATTCTGTCATTATGTTCTAACTGTGTGGGTCATGTTTTCAGTTACTTACCTGGTCTAAAAGTGATTATTAACAAACCACTGCTGAAAGTTCTGACTGCAGTGTAAAACAACATTCACTCACTTACTCCTTGTCCGCCATCTTGACAGATTGACAGGCAGACAAGGGGTTGACAGTGGAAGTGGCAGACAAGGGGTTGACAGTGGAAGTGGCAGGCAAGGGGTTCACAGTGGAAGTGGCAGACAAGGGGTTCACAGTGAGAGTGGCAGACAAGGGGGGTTGACAGTTGGATTGTCACATATTTTATAAGAATTCTTTTTGCAATCCACTCAATAACATACTGTGCCACTGGCAAGAACGACCGAAACAAAAGTGTGAAATGTATCAAAACTGATTGTTGTATTGCAGGGTCGGCTGAGCCAGCTTGTAGTGATGACCCGGACATGTACTTGAACGGCCAGGCCGACCGATGTCCCACCAGCTACGGAAAGTTCCTGGTGCCAATCCTAATGGGTATCTACATCCTCCTGACCAACGTCCTCCTCCTCAACCTCCTCATCGCCATGTTCAGGTACCTTGATAACATCAACAATGAACAAAATTATATGCTTTGTATCAATTCATGCAGTGATGTACTCTATTAAGAATGATTATAATTTTTTTATGATATCATATATAAAGAAGGCATCATTAATGCAAAAAAAATTGGGATTGTTTCTCATTCAGCTGTTTTTTCGAAATACAAATGGTTCTTGCTGAATCTTGGGACTTGCATTTGAAAGCACCTTGTCATTATTGATATACTGCTGTGTTGCGGGCAGGTCGTTCATAGGAGATGTTGTATGGAAGTATGGGTCTCAAAGGTTCTTGAAAGGTTGGTTTTATTGGCTGAGAGCTGCGCTATGGGAGGAACAAGAGGTCCAATATTATTTCAGCTGTCATGACCCTGGTGCTGCTATGTTTCATCTATAACTGATCATGTGACGCTGGTGCTGCTATCTTTCAGCGATAATTCATCATGTTTGTACTGGTGCTGCTATCTTTCAGCGATAATTCATCATGTTTGTACTGGTGCTGCTATCTTTCAGCGATAATTCATCATGTTTGTACTGGTGCTGGTATGTTTCAGCAATAATTCATCATGTTTGTACTGGTGCTGGTATGTTTCAGCGATAGTTCATGGTGCAACCCTGGTGCTGCTATGTTTCAGCGATAATTCATCATGTTTGTACTGGTGCTGGTATGTTTCAGCAATAATTCATCATATGACCCTGGGTGCTGCTATGTTTCAGCGATAATTCATCGTGTGACCCTTGTGCTGGTATGTTTCAGCGATAGTTCATCATATGACCCTGGTGCTGCTATGTTTCAGCTATGTGTTTGAGATGATGCAGCAGAACACTGATAGCATCTGGAAGTTCAGTCGGCTGCAGGTTGTCATGGAGTACTGTCTGCGCCCCAACCTCCCGCCACCATTTATCATTATCAGTCACCTCATTCTGCTCTGTCGCTGGTTCAAGCACTGCAGCTGTTCCAAACTTGGCACAGAAAGTTCAGGGTTTTGTAAGTTGCATGTTGTGCATGTAGCATGTCGCGCCTCCACCTCTATGGGCATGTGTGTTGTTCTTCCACTGCATACGCTGCTGCTGCTCAAACTCTTATATCGCCTCTTAAACTTGCTTCCCTCTTCCACCCCCAGGCCATCTTTGCCATGAGCGTCACGTTGATGCATGCTTGACTTCATTTCTGGGCATCAGTTTTAATTGCTTGCCTGCTGTGAAATAAGAGCTTATTGGTTGTGAATATATTTGTCCCTTCTCCTGCCCTTCCTCCTGCCCTTCCTCCTGCTCCTCTTCCTCCTGCCCTTCCTCCTGCTCCTCTTCTCCTTCTTCCGTGGCTTCTACCTCAGGTCCTGTTGTATCCCAACCTTACTTCCCCTTCTGCATCTGTTGTTTCATGTCCACTTACCTTCAAAGGCTGTATCCTGGCTTCCCATATTTGGCTTCTGCAACACCTGTGTATAACCCGCTACATTCACCTTGTGTGCCTTGAAAATCCTTGTGTTTAACCCACTGCATATAGCTTGACTGCCTTATATATGTATAACATCTATTACATTTATTGTCACTGCCTTGAAAAATCTGTGTATAACCGAATACATTGACCTTGACCAATTAGACTGCCTTGAAAATCCTTGTGTAGAACTTGCTACAATTAGACTGCCTTGAAAATCCCTGTGTAGAACTTGCTACAATTAGACTGCCTTGAAAATCCCTGTGTAGAACTTGCTACAATTAGACTGCCTTGAAAATCCCTGTGTAGAACTTGCTACAATTAGACTGCCTTGAAAATCCCTGTGTAGAACTTGCTACAATTAGACTGCCTTGAAAATCCCTGTGTCGAAATTGTTACAATTACCTTAACTGCCATGAAAGTCCCTGTGTAGAACTTGCTACAATTACCTAGACTGCCTTGAATATCCCTGTGTATAACCCACTATATTTACTTCGGCTGCCTTGAATATCCCTCTGTATAACCCACTATGTTTACCTCGACTGCCTTGAATATCCCCGTGTATAACCCACTGTTTACCTCGACTGCTTTGAATATCCCTGTGTATAACCCACTATATTTACCTCGACTGCCTTGAATATCCCCGTGTATAACCCACTATGTTTACCTTGTCTGCCTTGAATATCCCTGTGTATAACCCACTATATTTACCTCAACTGCCATGGAAGTCTCTGTGTAGAACTTGCTACAATTACCTAGACTGCCTTGAATATCCCTGTGTATAACCCACTATATTTACTTCGGCTGCCTTGAATATCCCTGTGTATAACCCACTATATTTACCTCAACTGCCTTGAATATCCCTGTGTATAACCCACTATATTACCTTGGCTGCCTTGAATATCCCTGTGTATAACCCACTATGTTTACCTCGGCTGCCTTGAATATCCCTGTGTATAACCCACTATGTTTACCTCGGCTGCCTTGAATATCCCTGTGTATAACCCACTATATTACCTCGGCTGCCTTGAATATCCTTGTGTATAACCCACTATATTTACCTCGGCTGCCTTGAATATCCCTGTGTATAACCCACTATATTTACCTTGTCTGCCTTGAATATCCCTGTGTATAACCCACTATATTTACCTTGTCTGCCTGGAATAATCCATCCCCATTTCCTTATCTCTAGCATGGTGCATGATTTGCCTTACTTAACCAAGTTTGGTTCACACTCACACAATTTAACTCTTCATTCTAAAACTGACACTATAAGAAGAAAAAATCCTGAACTTTGATTACAATATTCATTCAGCAGCAGTGCCCATCACATCCACGGTCACATTACCTCTTACCCTGTCTGCTAGTCCACACAGTGTGGTCTGAGGGAAACAGCTTGACTCAGTCGAAGTCTGAGCAGAGTGGAAGTGACCAATGAAAACAGCTGACAAAACCATGCACATTCTCCTTGTTGTGGAAGCTGCCCATAAACAATTCCCTTCATCTTCATCAGGTGCCATATTCCTGAAGAAACCTTGTCACTGGTTCAGGTATCCAGAGACAGCTTGTCTTGTGTCTTGTGAAGGCCCTCATAGAATCAGTGGGTGGGTGTCTTCCTTGCCTGCCATCTCTGAAGCTGGTAGATGTCTACACAGGGTATCTCAGCTGATGTAGCCAAGTACCCCATGCTTCTGTAGTTGTAGTTGTCAGTATATACCCCGCTGTAGTTGTCAGTATATACCCAGCTGTAGTTGTCTTCCCAGTGATATATACCCAGCTGTAGTTGTCAGTATATACCCAGCTGTAGTTGTCAGTCTATACCCAGCTGTAGTTGTCAGTATATACCCAGCTGTAGTTGTCAGTATATACCCAGCTGTAGTTGTCAGTATATACCCAGCTGTAGTTGTCAGTCTATACCCAGCTGTAGTTGTCAGTATATACCCAGCTGTAGTTGTCAGTATATACTCAGCTGTAGTTGTCAGTATACACCACGCTGTAGTTGTCAGTATATACCCAGCTGTAGTTGTCAGTATATACCCAACTGTAGTTGTCAGTATATAACCACCTGTAGTTGTCAGTATATACCCAGCTGTAGTTGTCAGTATATACTCAGCTGTAGTTGTCAGTATACACCACGCTGTAGTTGTCAGTATATACCCAGCTGTAGTTGTCAGTATATACCCAGCTGTAGTTGTCAGTATACACCCAGCTGTAGTTGTCAGTATATACCCAGCTGTAGTTGTCAGTATATACCCAGCTGTAATTGTCAGTATATACCCAGCTGTAGTTGTCTTCCCAGTGGTATATATACCCAGCTGTAGTTGTCAGTATATACCCAGCTGTAGTTGTCAGTATATACCCAGCTGTAGTTGTCAGTATATACCCAGCTGTAATTGTCAGTATATACCCAGCTGTAGTTGTCAGTATATACCCAGCTGTAGTTGTCAGTATATACCCAGCTGTAGTTGTCAGTATATACCCAGCTGTAGTTGTCAGTATATACCCAGCTGTAGTTGTCAGTATATACCCAGCTGTAGTTGTCAGTATATACCCAGCTGTAGTTGTCAGTATATACCCAGCTGTAGTTGTCAGTATATACCCAGCTGTAGTTGTCAGTATATACCCAGCTGTTGTTGTCAGTGTATACCCAGCTGTAGTTGTCAGTATATACCCAGCTGTAGTCGTCAGTATATACCCAGCTGTAGTTGTCAGTATATATACCCTTCTTCCTATGTATCCTAGTTTGTGCCTGTCTCTCTGTAGTCCTATTGTGTTGGTTCCTTGTGGTCCTTTTGTGTTTATTCCCTACTGTTGAGGAGCTTGTGTATTTCCAAGTGGTGTTTATTCCCGGTCAGGAGCTTGTTTACTATCCCTTTGTGTTTATTTGCTCTGTGAAGCAAGGTGGTTTGTTGTGGGAGTTTTGTTGTTCTGTGCTTTTTGTCATTGTTCTTCCTGTCTTTTGGTTTTCTCAGGGTCAGTTTGCCATGAATCTTAGGAATGTTAAATAGCAGTATTTCTGCTGTTAGGGCTGTTTTACAGACTCTCCAAAATTTTGATGAATTGATGAAATAACCTGTTTTTCAATGACCATGTTTCAATTATAGTTAAGAACCTTCAGTGAAAGTATGGTCAGCGGCAGGATACATGTAAGTAACATGTAGTCATGTCCAGAAACCACCTGCCCCATCTTCTCCTGGTAGTCTGTTTGTCAAATAGGCTCTTAAGTGGGGTCAGACTGGTATGTAGTTCAAGAGGCTCTTAAGTGGGGTCAGACTGGTATGTAGTTCAAAAGGCTCTTAAGCGGGGTCAAATTGGTATGTAGTTCAAATTGGTATGTAGTTCAAAAGGCTCTTAAGTGGGGTCAGATTGGTATGTAGTTCAAGAGGCTCTTAAGTGGGGTCAGATTGGTATGTAGTTCAAGAGGCTGTTAAGTGGGGTCAGATTGGTATGTAGTTCAAGAGGCTCTTAAGTGGGGTCAGATTGGTATGTAGTTTAAAAGGCTCTTAAGTGGGGTCAGACTGGTAGGTAGTTCAAGAGGCTCTTAAGTGGGGTCAGATTGGTATGTAATTCAAGAGGCTCTTAAGTGGGGTCAGATTGGTATGTAGTTTAAAAGGCTCTTAAGTGGGGTCAGATTGGTATGTAGTTCAAGAGGCTCTTAAGTGGGGTCAGACTGGTATGTAGTTCAAGAGGCTCTTAATCAAGGCCACATTGGTATGTAGTTCAAGAGGCTCTTAAGCAGGGTCAAATTGGTATGTAGTTCAAAGTTATGGTTAAGAAGTTCTGGTTTCTGAAAATGGTCCAGATTGAGGAAACATTGCATATGGAAAATAGAGATAGTATTTTGGCACTGGAAGTATTTCATGAATTTATCGATATCAATAGCTGGACTACTAAAGCTGTTGTTGAACAATCATGGTCATGGGAAACAGGAGAATGTTTTCATTGTACATCTTGATGCTGACATGGTTGGTGTGGTTTTCAGCTACACCTTCCAACACATCCAGGACAACACAGAGCTGTATTGGTACTTCCAGCGCTTCCAGCTCATCATCGAGTACCATTCCCGCCCTACCCTCCCTCCCCCCCTCATTGTCTTCAGTCATGTCTTGTACTTGTGCAAATGTTACCTCCGTCGGTGTTGTGGAAAGACAGGGGATAGTCCTGGTGGCCTGCGTAAGTAGAAGCTAGACATGGTCACAGTCAACAACAATATTCATGCTGAGTTCTCACTAACGTGAGTTTCACTCCCTGGAATGTTAACAAAGAACAAATTGATTAATGTTTCGGCATTAAGATTTGAACATATTTTTGGAAAATTACTCAGGATGAGATATATTGTTTCTGACCAGACTGAACTATTTCTCTTCTCATCTCTGCCCTAACCTTTCCTTCTGTCAGTACTTGTGTAACACGGTTATTTGTTTCAGGTATTATTCTCCTTCTAACTGACATGATATTTATTCTATAGTAGAAACATTTATTATTCACATGTATTAAATTTTTTCTTTGTCAAACACAGATGCATGTGTTAGGAAGATTGTACATATGTGTCAACAAAGTATCTGGTTTATCTAAGTAATACTTATGTGTGAGGAAAATAGTGTATTGGTGTTTGTGGTGTATATGGTTTATCTAAGTAATACTTGTATAGATGTCAGTACAGTATGTGATGTGTCTGAGTAATACGTAGGTGTTAGGAAAAGAGTTTATAGATATTAGTACATTATATGAGGGGGTACGGGTGGCCCAGTTGCCTAAGGCGAAGTAATTTTTACTGTGCAGAGTTGCATCCTTTGGGCATGCCACAAACCTATGATCGTGGGTTTGAATCCCAGTTTGACCCAATTAATCTTCTAGGTTTGTCAGCACCATACCCGTGCTCGTGGGTTTCACCAAAATGGTAAACATCTGAGACCTGCACTTTCAGGCTTTCCTCCCACATTAAGCTGACACGCCATGATATGTAATTGGAATACTGTTCAAAGCGACATTAAACCCACCTCACTCACTCACATAACATGATTAATCAAAGTAAAATATAAGTGTTAGGACAACAGTATTAGGTTGTTATTACAGTGTATGATTAAGCAGTACTTTGTTGTAAGGAAAGTAGTGTATAGGTTTCAGTTTGGAATATGGTTTATTTAACTAACCCTCTATGTTAGGAGTGAGTTGGGTTTAGCACTTCTTTTAACAGTATTCCAGTTATATCACGGCGTGTCAGCTTAATGTGGGAGGAAAGCCCGAAGTGATGCGGGTCTTAGATGTTTACCACTTCGGTGAAACCCACGAGCACAGGTATGGTGCTGACAAACCTAGAAACATAATCGGGGCGAACTGGGATTCGCTGGTAACCCACAATCATAGGTTTCTGGCGTGCCCAAGAGACGCAACTCTGCACAGTGAATCGCGTGCCTTAGACGACTGGGCCACCCGTGCCCCCTCTGTGTTAGGAAGATGGTAGATGTTTGTTTCTGGTTTAGCTAGAATGTAGCATCTTTGTTTTATCCATGTGAAGTCTCTGTGTATATGTGACGTGTCTTCAGGGAAGGAGTACAAGGACAAGAGACTGGAGGAGAAGCAGCTGGTGCAGTGGGAGAACGTCATCGCCGACGCCTTCCTTATGAAGACGGACGAGCGAGAGAAGGAGTCGGTTGAAAATCGAGTGCAGGCAACACTTACTAGGTGAGTCACAAATAGATCTCTCCTGAGCAGGTGGATGACGAGTAAGTCGGATCTATGTCAGGCGTTTTTGCAGCTACTTAAGATACATTACTAGAAGATGAATGGGTTTGATAGGATTTGCCTAGATTGGTGTGGACTAGGCTGTATGTCCAGCTATGTGGACAGGTTTAAGTATGGAAAGATTAGAAGAGTCCAAGAAACAAACCAGATGAGCAGGTGAAACTCTTAATACCTTTCCTGGCGCCAAGGCAACCATCTTCATGTGGTATTCTCTGTCCAGACTGGACCTGATCGCGACGAAGGTGGATGACCTCCAGGACACCCAGGCAGCAGGGGGCACTGTCATGGCAGCAGGGGCTGCTTTGAGAGAGGATGCTTACCCAGCCCTGTACATGCCGCCCGAGCTGGACGACAGACTCAAGCTGATTGAGGGCCAGGTAATGTGCAGTGTTAGAGATTTACAGATGTGAAATTACCACTATCTTAGATACATATCAGAATGCTTTGTGATAGCTTCAAGACGATAAACTGTCAAAATTGAAAATATATGCAGTTTATTATTGTATTATTAGAATTTGATATTACATACAGGTCATGAGAGGTGATGAAAGGGTTTATGTTAAGATTATAAAAAATGTCACACCTCCATTGACTTAGAAAAGGAGGGCACTTCTGAAAAAAAGACATCAATGCTTCAGGAATTCTTTGAGGACAACAATTATACTCAAAATGTGTCATGTGATTTGAAAATGAAGTCTTATAGATTACATTTTAGGTGCATTGACACTTAATATTGACCAGCTGTCTAAATGTATTTTCTAACATCATTATTGTGAAATGGACATTAATGAATACACTATCAATACAACACTATCTGTTGTGTGTTTCAGTGCCATGTAAAATCTTGACCTATCTGACCTTTGATCCTTGTCTGTTTTGTGGCAGTCCATTCCAACCTGACCTGAACCAGGAACTGTTGTTTTGTTTCCAGATGGTGCACACATTCAAGGCTCTGGACTGGATCATGAGGTCTCTGGCTCAAAACCAGATGGCATGCAAGGAGCCACGCCCTCAGCTGCCTGACCCGGAGCTTGCCATTAAACAACGTAGGTGTTTATTGCCCCAAGGGACCATGTACTTGTGAAGGGGTGGGGTAGGGGAGGGTCACTCAACAGACTTCAAGGAGACTTACAGCGTGGCAGTTCAGGGGCGGGCCATGAACAGCATCGACAATTGGTTTACTTACTGTTACAAGGCCAGTTAACTGTGTGCGTGCAAATGCTCAAGTTCCAGTGTTGATTGTGTGTGTGAGTGAGGGAGTGAGGTGAGGTGAGGTGAGGGAGTTAGGTGAGTGAGTGAGGTGAGGTGAGTGGGTGAGGTGAGTGAGTGAGGTGAGTGAGTGAGTGAGTGAGGAGTTAGTAAGTGAGGAGGTGAGTGAGTGAGTGAGGAGGTGAGTGAGTGAGTGAGGTGAGTGGGTGGGTGAGTGAGTGTGTGAGTGAGTGAGGAGGTGAGTGAGTGAGTGAGTGAGGAGGTGAGTGAGTGAGATGTGAGTGGGTGGGTGGGTGAGTGAGTGAGTGAGAGGAGGTGAGTGAGTGAGTGAGGTGAGTGAGTGAGTGAGGTGGTGGGTGAGTGTGTGAGTGAGTAGGTGAGTGAGTGAGGGAGTGAGGTGAGGTAGTGAGGGAGTGAGTGTGCGCATGTAAGTGTGTGTGTTCCAGGTCCACAGTTAACTGTGTGTGTGTCTGTATGCATGGTGTGACACACAGACATCTGTGTGTATGTCTGTGTGTGTGTCTGTGTGTTCCATGTCTACAGTTAACTCTGTGTGTGTGTGTTCCAGGTCAACAGCGGGAGGAGGAGGAGGCTCAACAAGACCGGGACCTGGTGCGGTCTCTCCGCATACAGCGCTACCAGTACCACTTCGAGTCTCGCAACTCCCCCTACCCAGGCTCCCGTCCCCGGGTTCAGCGTTACCCAGTGCCTGATGAGAAGGTGCCATGGACTGTGAGTGCTTTATCATGTCACTGTTGAAGTCCAGGTTGGTTTGTGGAGTGTGTCAGTGATGTTTTACACAACCATGATACTTTGGAAGATATTTCAAATATTCTGATTTCTTTGTAATTATGGAGCAGTTTTTTTTCAGTGTCACATATGCTTGGTAGGAACATTTTCTCTGTGTGTTCCAGGAACCCTTCTCTGAATATGCACCAGTTGTATACAGTCATGACTTCATCAAGGACAAGGACTGGGCTGATCCCGATCTCATGTCACTGTAAGTTAATGCCACTGTCAGAGCTGCAGTGACTTTATGCCCATTAACTTTGTCTGTTGACTTGTTGCCCCTTGACTTTGTATGTGATGACTGTATGCCCGGTGACTTTGTCTGTTGACTGTATGTCATTTGACTATATGCTTAGTGACTGTCTGTTGACTGTATGCCTTTCAATCTTATGCCCATTGACTTGATGCCTGTTGACCTCGTGCCTGTTGACCTTATGCCTGTTGACCTTATGCCTGTTGACCTTGTTCCTGTTGACGGGGGCACGGGGGGCCCAGTCGTCTAAGGCGCCGCGATTCGCTGTGCAGAGTTGCGTCCACGAAACGCCAGAAACCTATGATTGTGGGTTCGAATCCCGGTTAACCCTGATTATGTTTCTAGGTTTGTCAGCACCATACCCGTGCTCGTGGGTTTCACCGAAGTGGTCAACGTCTGAGACCTTCATCACTTCGGGCTTTCCTCCCACATTAAGCTGACACGCCGTGATATAACTGTAATACTGTTAAAAGCGGCGTTAAACCCAACTCACTCACTCACTCAATGTTCCAGTTGACCTAGTGCCTGTTGACCTTATGCCTGTTGATCTAGTGCCTGTTGACCTTATGCCTGTTGACCTTATGCCTGTTGACCTTATGCCTGTTGACCTAGTGCCTGTTTACTTTGTGCCTGTTGACCTTATGCCTGTTGACCTTAAGCCTGTTGACCTAGTGCCTGTTTACTTTGTGCCTGTTGACCTTATGCCTGTTGATCTAGTGCCTGTTGACCTTATGCCTGTTGACCTTATGCCTGTTGACCTTATGCCTGTTGACCTTATGCCTGTTGACCTTAAGCCTGTTGACCTAGTGCCTGTTTACTTTGTGCCTGTTGACCTTATGCCTGTTGATCTAGTGCCTGTTGACCTTATGCCTGTTGACCTAGTGCTTGTTTACTTTGTGCCTGTTGACCTTATGCCTGTTGATCTAGTGCCTGTTGACCTTATGCCTGTTGATCTAGTGCTTGTTTACTTTGTGCCTGTTGACCTTATGCCTGTTGATCTAGTGCCTGTTGACCTTATGCCTGTTGATCTAGTGCCTGTTGACCTTATGCCTGTTGATCTAGTGCCTGTTGACCTTATGCCTGTTGACCTAGTGCTTGTTGACCTAGTGCCTGTTGACCTTATGCCTGTTGATCTAGTGCCTGTTGACCTTATGCCTGTTGACCTAGTGCTTGTTTACTTTGTGCCTGTTGACCTTATGCCTGTTGATCTAGTGCCTGTTGACCTTATGCCTGTTGATCTAGTGCCTGTTGACCTTATGCCTGTTGATCTAGTGCCTGTTGACCTTATGCCTGTTGACCTAGTGCCTGTTTACTTTGTGCCTGTTGACCTTATGCCTGTTGATCTAGTGCCTGTTGACCTTATGCCTGTTGACCTTATGCCTGTTGATCTAGTGCCTGTTGACCTTATGCCTGTTGATCTAGTGCCTGTTGACCTTATGCCTGTTGATCTAGTGCCTGTTGACCTTATGCCTGTTGACCTAGTGCCTGTTGACCTTATGCCTGTTGATCTAGTGCCTGTTGACCTTATGCCTGTTGACCTAGTGCTTGTTTACTTTGTGCCTGTTGACCTTATGCCTGTTGATCTAGTGCCTGTTGACCTTATGCCTGTTGATCTAGTGCCTGTTGACCTTATGCCTGTTGATCTAGTGCCTGTTGACCTTATGCCTGTTGACCTAGTGCCTGTTTACTTTGTGCCTGTTGACCTTATGCCTGTTGATCTAGTGCCTGTTGACCTTATGCCTGTTGACCTTATGCCTGTTGACCTTATGCCTGATGACCTATTGCCTGTTGACCTAGTGCCTGTTGACCTTATGCCTGTTGACCTAGTGCCTGTTGACCTTATGCCTGATGACCTTATGCCTGATGACCTATTGCCTGTTTACTTTGTGCCTGTTTACTTCGGGAGGGAATTTTCCACAGCAGCTTATGCTTGTTTTAGGGGGTGATTTAGTGGATTGCAGTTAGGTGGTGAGACTCAGTGACTTGTGTCCTAGGGTGTCGCCAAACCCTGCTGGCATCGATTGTTGCTAAAAATATCAACCAGGCTGCCATTAAATAGATTGAATATTGCTGAGCTTGGCAAACCTTATGCCCATTGACTTAGTACTTATAGACCTTAGACCAAATGACTTTCTGACTACTTACTGCGTCTTTTCAGATCTTTTCCTTTACAATTTGATAATTTTGATTTTAATTGTGCATCTTGTACAACAAAGATTGTTGAAAGTTGAGTGTTGACACTGGTGAGATCAAGAGCATGATTTTACCATTGAGTTTCCCTGTTTCAGATCTGTTGCACAGCGGAACATATTGACATTCAACAGCTTTGACAAGAAATTTCGGGTGGATCGAACAAGTCATTTGGGCAAATATGATGTTGTTGATGGTCTTCCAATCAATCCTCGGGGTCGGACTGGAATAACAGGGAGAGGAAGTCTGGGCCGGTGGGGCCCCAACCATGCAGGCGACCCAGTTGTGACCAGGTGTGAGGGAGTGGGGTAGAGGGGATCTAGGTGTGAGGGAGTGGGATAGAGGGGATCTAGGTGTGAGGGGGTGGAGTAGAGGGGATCTAGGTGTGAGGGGGTGGAGTAGAGGGGATCTAGGTGTGAGGGGGTGGGGTAGAGGGGATCTAGGTGTGAGGGGTTGGGGTAGAGGGGATCTAGGTGTGAGGGAGTGGGATAGAGGGGATCTAGGTGTGAGGGGGTGGAGTAGAGGGGATCTAGGTGTGAGGGGGTGGGGTAGAGGGGATCTAGGTGTGAGGGGTTGGGGTAGAGGGGATCTAGGTGTGAGGGGTTGGGGTAGAGCGGATCTAGGTGTGAGGGGTTGGGGTAGAGGGGATCTAGGTGTGAGGGGTTGGGAAAGAGGGGATCTAGGTGTGAGGGAGTGGGATAGAGGGGATCTAGGTGTGAGGGGGTGGGGTAGAGAGGATCTAGGTGTGAGGGGGTGGGGTAGAGGGGATCTAGGTGTGGGGTAGAGGGGATCTAGGTGTGAGGTAGAGGGGATCTAGGTGTGAGGGTGTGGGGTAGAGGGGATCTCGGTGTGAGGGAGTGGGGTAGAGGGGATCTAGGTGTGAGGGGGTGGGGTAGAGGGGATCTAGGTGTGAGGGGTTGGGGTAGAGGGGATCTAGATGTGAGGGGGTGGGGAAGAGGGGATCTAGGTGTGGGGTAGATTGGGATCTAGGTGTGAGGGGGTGGGGTAGAGAGGTTTTAGGTGTGAGGGGGTGGGGTAGAGGGGATCTAGATGTGAAGGGGTGGGGTAGAGGGGATCTAGATGTGAGGGGGTGGGGTAGAGGGGATCTAGGTGTGAGGGGGTGGGGAAGAGGGGATCTAGGTGTGGGGTAGAGGGGATCTAGGTGTTAGGGAGTGGGGTAGAGGGGATCTAGGTGTGAGGGGGTGGAGTAGAGGGGATCTAGGTGTGAGGGGGTGGTGTAGAGGGGATCTAGGTGTAAGGGGGTGGTGTAGAGGGGATCTAGGTGTGAGGGGGTGGGGTAGATGGGGATCTAGGTGTGAGGGGGTGGGGTAGATGGGGATCTAGGTGTGAGGGGTTGGTGTAGAGGGGATCTAGGTTTGAGGGGGTGGGGTAAAGGGGATCTAGGTGTGAGGGGGTGGTGTAGAGGGGATCTAGATGTGAGGGGGTGGGATAGAGGGGATCTAGGTGTGGGGTAGATTGGGATCTAGGTGTTAGGGGATTGGGTAGACAGGATCTAGGTGTGAGGGGGTGGAGTAGATGGGGATCTAGGTGTGAGGGGGTGGTGTAGAGGGGATCTAGGTGTGAGGGGGTGGGGTAAAGGGGATCTAGGTGTGAGGGGGTGGTGTAGAGGGGATCTAGGTGTGAGGGAGTGGGGTAGATGGGGATATAGGTGTGGGGTAGATGGGGATCTAGGGGTGGGGTAGATGCGGATCTAGGTGTGGGGTAGATGGGATCTAGGTGTGAGGGGGTGGGATAGAGGGGATCTAGGCGTGGGGTAGATGGGGATCTAGGTGTGAGGGGGTGGGGTAGATGGGGATCTAGGTGTGAGGGAGTGGGGTAGATGGGGATCTAGGTCTGACTCAGTCGGGTTGAGTAGAAGGGAGTAGATGGTTAGGGACTGATTAAGAGAATAACCTCTCAGTTAGGTGGTAGACACTATGTAGATATTGGTTAGTGTTAACACCAGCTACTATTGCTTCTGTTGGTACATGCATGGCTCTAATAACTGAATGCACCTGGAATCATATCAGAACACATCATATGCTGGGATTATCTGCTACACACACGTGTATATAAGGAAGACTAGACCAGCAGTACTGCTGCCTGTTCCAGTCCAGATAGGACCTTGACCACAGACAGCATGACTTGACCTGTCTCTTCTGTTTCAGATGGAAGCTAGATGAGATTGGCAACAAAATGTTGATGGATGGCAAGCCCTTGCTACAGTTTGTGGTGGTGCAGAGATCAGACAACAAACAGTGGGCTCTCCCAGGGGTAGGTCCATCAGCCCGTCACCATAGTAACCAGCACCTCAAGTCTGAAAAATATATTTTACAGGCTCTTTTAATGTGGTCTCATTTAAAGTGGTCACTGGTGATACCACTGGTTATTGGTTTGTCTTTTCCATAATTGTTCATGTCGAAGGCCCGGGTTTGATTCTCCACATGGGTACAATGAGTGAAGCCCATTTCTGGTGTCCCCAGGCGTGATATTGCTGAAATATTGCTAAAAGCGGTGTAAAACAATACTCACTCACGCCAAGATTGTTCACTTGTGGTCTTAGGGACAACAATTTTGGGAGCAACATCCCTTTGATGCAGAACAAAAATGTGACTATTAAGATGCAGATACTAATGCTATTAGAAGCCTCTCTAGGTCCCATATTACACCAACTGATCCAACTGGTGTCAGCATTATAACTGACTACCGTCTACACTGCTGGAAAGCATGCCTGTTTAGTAAGAGTGCTTCACGTGGCAGTGTGATAATCAGATCCTGTGTCAAGCTTACAGGAACATGCTGCTTTGTTGCAGGCGATCTGTGAGCCCCAGCTGAGAGTGTGGGACATTCTGAAGACGGACTTCACGGCAGAGGCAATGGACTCCCTGATGGGGGAACCAGAGGAGAGGGAAAAGATCCTGGTGAAGCTGGAGGAGCTCTCCAAACTCGGGGAGGAGGTGAGTGACACACACCTGCATTCTCTTGTGACCTGGAATAATGTCAGTTGTAAATTCACTATGATGGTCTGTTGGCCGACCTGTGAAGATCTGGGGTGGAAAAGGTCTTCAGCAAAACATGCTTGCCGTAAGTGGCGACTATGCTTGTAGTAAGTGGCGACTAACAGGATCAGGTGGCTTGGTTGATGCATGTCATCATGTCCCAATTGAGTGGATCGATGCTCATAATGTCAATCACTGGATTGTCAGGTCGAGACTTGATAATTTACAGACCCTCGTCATATAGCTGGAATATTGCTGAGTGCAGTGTTAAACATCAAAACGACCAACTGTTGGCCTTAATAGCTGAAAGTTTTGTCCAGAATATGTAGGTTTATTTTTTCGGTAGACTATTATATACATGTCACAAACTCACTTCTCTGTCTCGTGTGCAGGTGTACCGAGACTACGCTGATGACTCTCGCAACACCGACAACGCTTGGCTGGAGACACGTGTGGTCAACTACCACGATGAGGAAGGCAGTATATTGAAGCACTTTGTTCTGAGGGTAAGGTCCAACACTTGCCCGTCTTTATACTCAGCATGGCTTTGTCCCAGGACAATGCTGTGACTGTTTGTAATCTTCATCATCATCACACTTGGAAGGAGTGGAAATAATAGAAACTATATACTTACATTGCAAATGTAATTGGTGATGTTCAGTATCTTTGTGGTTTAAGTATTTCTGCTTTACCAGTGCCTAATCTTTGCACAGCCTCCCTCCGTTCCTTGACCCCAGAATTCTGTGCAGTGGTCAAGTTGTTAGTGTGTTTCCTGGATAGGCAAAAGACTCACATGGATAAATGGATGTGGATTCTATAAGACACCATCAATGCTTAAAATGTTTGTTGTTTGTTAAACACAGTTCTCGGCAATATTGATTCTAAAAATATGCCAATTGCTGCCACTGAAAGGGCAAAGTTTTTCCCAATGGTTTAAACAATTGGGTAAAACAATTTGACCAGAATGTTATCAAAATTTAACAAGTAATTTAAATTTGTCGAAAATTTTGTGCAGTAGCAGCCAGTTTACGGCCAGGGACGTTACTCATATTTCTTTTCGCTGAGTCATTTTCTGTAATATTGAGTGGGTTGAAGTGAGTGAAAATTATAGAGTTTCCCCTTTGACACTTCTAATAAAACAAGAGTGAGAAATGAGCCCTGATGTAAGATAGACCGTGATATGTAGTCTTTGTTTTGTGGCAGCACCAAGGGAAGCAAGCCATCTCTGTCCTGGGAAGGTAGATGAACTGGCAACGGTTTCATTGACAGTCAGTCCCCTTAGTTTCCCGGCATTGTCAGACATCCAGTAAAGAGTAGAACCATAGTTTTACTTTCCTTTGGAATTAGGCTGATTACAGTTGGTAATCAACATCATAGAATATGTAGTTGTCCTCCAGATATTGTCCTAGGTTTAGTCCCAAACATAAGTCAGGGCAGATGTTTAAGCCCAATAATATTTCTAGTTTTCATTGTGTGTTTGTTTTCTCGCCTGTCTGTGGTGGCATGTCCCATGATGCAGTGGACGTAGAGATACCGTTATGCATGTGACGACCTGCATGTTCTAGTCTGTGTTCAGTACTATAGTCTGGAAGGTAATTTAAGGTACCGACGTTTACTACAATATCTGAAAAACTATTAGACCTACTCCAGTCAAAGTTGGTATGAGATTATTAAACAGTTATACATAACTGGATATTACATTTAAAGACAATCGGTGCATGAATAAAAAATCTGTCTATTTAGCTATCACTATATTTCATCAACAACCAGACCTGTTTGTCACGGGTTGAACGAGCATTCATTGAAACAGCCATCTGCATAATGCTACCCCTGCGTCACAGGGCCATATGACACAGTTGAACCAATCAACTCAACTTGAAAGGGTGCACGGGAATCATGCACGCATGAATATGGTGTTAGTGTTTGGCCTTCAACGTGCTGAAGATGTGTATTGCAGCTTCAACAACCAGAACTTTATTGATTATTGATTCCTTGATGACAATGTTTGGGTACGTTTCTGTATACAGAAATGTTCCCTAGCCAAAATAAAAATACAGAAAATTACAGAAACGTACCCTAGGATGAGTTCATTCTGCATTGGGCAGAGCGTTTGACTTGTCCCTCAGGCTCATTGCGCACTTAGCCTCACTTTGTCCTGCAGCCTGGAAATGCTCTGTCGGAACCCCCACCCACTCCTCTGTGCTCATACTTGGAGGGAGAGGGATCGTCCTGCTGGGCTTACTTTCTCCACTATTTATAATGTCAAACCTGACACAATTAGTTCAATTTAAAAAAAGATGTTTTCATAATGCACAAGTACTAAATTAATCTCTCTTTTTCATTTTCAACCAAATATTTTTCAATTTTCCAAGACAACAAGTTTCATGTAGTTATCTATGACAAGATATGCCATTGCAGGGGATATTGGTGACTTTGAATTCTTTTTTTTTCTGCGATGTTCTGATAAATACCAACGTTTGGACATTTGTAGAAAGATTTCAGAAGACATCCAAGCTTCTGCACCAGCATGTTATATAAGAAACGAGCATATTCCGCCATTCGCAGTATTACCTAATCAGGCGGACCAGAACAACTTGAACTGTTTCCGGTTTTGGGTTGCGGATTATGGACTTGTCTGCCGTTTAGAGAACTGGGAGAGTTTCTATAGTCTGATTTTGGTTTAGGTACATGTCTGTATATAGAAACGTACCTGGGGTACATGTCTGTATATAGAAACGTACCTGGGGTACATGTCTGTATATAGAAACGTACCTGGGGTACATGTCTGTGTATAGAAAGGTACCTGGGGTAATGTCTGTATATAGAAATGTACCTGGGGTACATGTCTGTATATAGAAACGTACCTGGGGTACATATCTGTGTATAGAAACGTACCTGGGGTACATGTCTGTGTATAGAAACGTACCTGGGGTAATGTCTGTATATAGAAACGTACCTGGGGTACATGTCTGTGTATAGAAACGTACCTGGGGTACATGTCTGTATATAGAAATGTACCTGGGGTACATGTCTGTATATAGAAACGTACCTGGGGTACATGTCTGTGTATAGAAACGTACCTGGGGTACATGTCTGTATATAGAAATGTACCTGGGGTACATGTCTGTAGTACATTTAGTAGTACCCGTGCCAACAACGACCCCTTAAGCAGAACTATCAAACTATTATATAGCCTTTTGATCATATATCATTTCAGAAGAAATTGTGCATGTAGTCCTTCTTGTGTGACAGGGATTCACAGTGAGGTCACTTAATAACTAGGAAGGACAACTCTGGGTTATCCTAAATAGTTGTCTTGACTACCTCCTTTGATACATTGTTGAATACGTGAACTATAATCTACATGGAAGGTTTATGATTTCATAATATAACTACCAACCGAATAAACTATAAACTTACCCAATACTATGTTTACACTTGACCATTGTGACATCATTTTCTATACTACCTTGACATTGTTATGATATACGAACTGTGTCAAATTATATTTTACACTTCTTAAAGGTCTTACAAATGAAAGCTTCTGCAATTTAGGATGTGATGATTTGTTCAACTGTCTTCATTTGATAAAAGGAGAGCATCCTAGAATGTCTGTTAATTGAAGAATGACAATAAATTGAAGGTTCAGCCCATGTATCTCTTCTCTTGTGTGAACCGTCTATGGGTCCATGTCATAGTTTCATGTCCAACTTCACATCCCCTTTCTTCTCTTCACAGCCGCATAAAGCACAGGTGAGCTAGTCTAGACCACATTCCCTCAACGCTCCCTCCTCCACACGTCCCTGTCAAGAACACAAGTCTATGTCAGACTGCATGGTGTCACTGTCTAGACCACATTCCCTCAACGCTCCCTCCTCCACACGTCCCTGTCCAGAACAAAAGTCTATGTCAGACTGCATGGTGTCACTGTCTAGACCACATTCCCTCAACACTCCCTCCCACACACGTCCCTGTCCAGAACACAACTCTATGTCAGACTGCATGGTGTCACTGTCTAGACCACATTCCCTCAACACTCCCTCCTCCACACGTCCCTGTCCAGAACACAAGTCTATGTCAGACTGCATGGTGTCAATGTCTAGACCACATTCCCTCAACGCTCCCTCCTACACACGTCCCTGTCCAGAACACAAGTCTATGTCAGACTGCATGGTGTCACTGTCTAGACCACATTCCCTCAACGCTCCCTCCCACACTCGTCCCTGTCCAGAACACAACTCTATGTCAGATTGCATTGTGTCACTGTCTAGACCACATTCCCTCAACGCTCCCTCCTACACACGTCCCTGTCCAGAACACAAGTCTATGTCAGATTGCATTGTGTCACTGTCTAGACCACATTCCCTCAACGCTCCCTCCTCCACACGTCCCTGTCCAGAACACAACTCTATGTCAGACTGCATGGTGTCACTGTCTAGACCACATTCCCTCAACGCTCCCTCCTCCACACGTCCCTGTCCAGAACACAACTCTATGTCAGACTGCATTGTGTCACTGTCTAGACCACATTTCCTCAACGCTCCCTCCCACACACGTCCCTGTCCAGAACACAACTCTATGTCAGACTGCATGGTGTCACTGTCTAGACCACATTCCCTCAACGCTCCCTCCCACACTCGTCCCTGTCCAGAACACAACTCTATGTCAGACTGCATGGTGTCACTGTCTAGACCACATTACCTCAATGCTCCCTCCTACACACGTCCCTGTCCAGAACACAAGTCTATGTCAGACTGCATGGTGTCACTGTCTAGACCACATTCCCTCAACGCTCCCTCCTCCACACGTCCCTGTCCAGAACACAACTCTATGTCAGACTGCATGGTGTCACTGTCTAGACCACATTCCCTCAACGCTCCCTCCTCCACACGTCCCTGTCCAGAACACAACTCTATGTCAGATTGCATTGTGTCACTGTCTAGACCACATTCCCTCAACGCTCCCTCCCACACACGTCCCTGTCCAGAACACAACTCTATGTCAGACTGCATGGTGTCACTGTCTAGACCACATTCCCTCAACGCTCCTTCCTACACACGTCCCTGTCCAGAGCACAACTCTATGTCAGACTGCATGGTGTCACTGTCTAGACCACATTCCCTCAACGCTCCCTCCTACACACGTCCCTGTCCAGAACACAACTCTATGTCAGACTGCATGGTGTCACTGTCTAGACCACATTCCCTCAACACTCCCTCCTCCACACGTCCCTGTCCAGAACACAAGTCTATGTCAGACTGCATGGTGTCAATGTCTAGACCACATTCCCTCAACGCTCCCTCCTACACACGTCCCTGTCCAGAACACAAGTCTATGTCAGACTGCATGGTGTCACTGTCTAGACCACATTCCCTCAACGCTCCCTCCCACACTCGTCCCTGTCCAGAACACAACTCTATGTCAGATTGCATTGTGTCACTGTCTAGACCACATTCCCTCAACGCTCCCTCCTACACACGTCCCTGTCCAGAACACAAGTCTATGTCAGATTGCATTGTGTCACTGTCTAGACCACATTCCCTCAACGCTCCCTCCTCCACACGTCCCTGTCCAGAACACAACTCTATGTCAGACTGCATGGTGTCACTGTCTAGACCACATTCCCTCAACGCTCCCTCCTCCACACGTCCCTGTCCAGAACACAACTCTATGTCAGACTGCATTGTGTCACTGTCTAGACCACATTTCCTCAACGCTCCCTCCCACACACGTCCCTGTCCAGAACACAACTCTATGTCAGACTGCATGGTGTCACTGTCTAGACCACATTCCCTCAACGCTCCCTCCCACACTCGTCCCTGTCCAGAACACAAGTCTATGTCAGACTGCATGGTGTCACTGTCTAGACCACATTACCTCAATGCTCCCTCCTACACACGTCCCTGTCCAGAACACAAGTCTATGTCAGACTGCATGGTGTCACTGTCTAGACCACATTCCCTCAACGCTCCCTCCTCCACACGTCCCTGTCCAGAACACAACTCTATGTCAGACTGCATGGTGTCACTGTCTAGACCACATTCCCTCAACGCTCCCTCCTCCACACGTCCCTGTCCAGAACACAACTCTATGTCAGATTGCATTGTGTCACTGTCTAGACCACATTCCCTCAACGCTCCCTCCCACACACGTCCCTGTCCAGAACACAACTCTATGTCAGACTGCATGGTGTCACTGTCTAGACCACATTCCCTCAACGCTCCTTCCTACACACGTCCCTGTCCAGAGCACAACTCTATGTCAGACTGCATGGTGTCACTGTCTAGACCACATTCCCTCAACGCTCCCTCCTACACACGTCCCTGTCCAGAACACAACTCTATGTCAGACTGCATGGTGTCACTGTCTAGACCACATTCCCTCAACGCTCCTTCCTACACACGTCCCTGTCCAGAGCACAACTCTATGTCAGACTGCATGGTGTCACTGTCTAGACCACATTCCCTCAACGCTCCCTCCCACACACGTCCCTGTCCAGAACACAACTCTATGTCAGATTGCATTGTGTCACTGTCTAGACCACATTCCTTCAATGCTCCCTCCCACACACGTCCCTGTCCAGAGCACAAGTCTATGTCAGACTGCATGTTGTCACTGTCTAGACCACATTCCCTCAACGCTCCCTCCTACACACGTCCCTGTCCAGAACACAAGTCTATGTCAGACTGCATGGTGTCACTGTCTAGACCACATTCCCTCAACGCTCCCTCCTCCACACGTCCCTGTCCAGAACACAACTCTATGTCAGATTGCATTGTGTCACTGTCGAGACCACATTCCCTCAACGCTCCCTCCCACACACGTCCCTGTCCAGAGCACAAGTCTATGTCAGATTGCATTGTGTCACTGTCGAGACCACATTCCCTCAACGCTCCCTCCTCCACACGCCCCTGTCCAGAACACAAGTCTATGTCAGACTGCATGGTGTCACTGTCTAGACCACATTCCCTCAACGCTCCCTCCTCCACACGTCCCTGTCCAGAACACAACTCTATGTCAGACTGCATGGTGTCACTATCTAGACCACATTCCCTCAACGCTCCCTCCTACACACGTCCCTGTCCAGAACACAACTCTATGTCAGACTGCATGGTGTCACTATCTAGACCACATTCCCTCAACGCTCCCTCCTCCACACGTCCCTGTCCAGAACACAACTCTATGTCAGACTGCATTGTGTCACTGTCTAGACCACATTCCCTCAACACTCCCTCCTCCACACGTCCCTGTCCAGAACACAAGTCTATGTCAGACTGCATGGTGTCACTGTCTAGACCACATTCCCTCAACGCTCCCTCCCACACACGTCCCTGTCCAGAACACAAGTCTATGTCAGACTGCATGGTGTCACTGTCTAGACCACATTCCCTCAACGCTCCCTCCCACACACGTCCCTGTCCAGAACACAACTCTATGTCAGACTGCATGGTGTCACTGTCTAGACCACATTCCCTCAACGCTCCCTCCTCCACACGTCCCTGTCCAGAACACAACTCTATGTCAGACTGCATGGTGTCACTGTCTAGACCACATTCCCTCAACGCTCCCTCCTCCACACGTCCCTGTCCAGAACACAACTCTATGTCAGACTGCATGGTGTCACTGTGTGACTGTTACCCCTCTATGTAACTGTTACCCCTCTATGTGACTGTTACCCCTCTATGTGACTGTTACCCTCTATGTGACTGTTACCCTCTATGTGACTGTTACCCTCTATGTGACTGTTACCCCTCTATGTGACTGTTACCCCTCTATGTGACTGTTACCCCTCATTATGACTGTTACCCCTCTATGTGACTGTTACCCCTCTTTATGACTGTTACCCCTCTATGTGACTGTTACCCTCTATGAGACTGTTACCCTCTATGTGACTGTTACCCCTCTATGTGACTGTTACCCCTCTATGTGACTGTTACCCCTCTATGTGACTGTTACCCCTCTATGTGACTGTTACCCTCTATGTGACTGTTACCCCTCTATGTGACTGTTACCCCTCTATGTGACTGTTACCCCTCATTATGACTGTTACCCCTCTATGTGACTGTTACCACTCTTTATGACTGTTACCCCTCTATGTGACTGTTACCCTCTATGTGACTGTTACCCTCTATGTGACTGTGTCCCCTCTATGTGACTGTTACCCCTCTATGTGACTGTTACCCCTCTATGTGACTGTTACCCCTCCATGTGACCGTGTCCCCTCTATGTGACTGTTACCCCTCTATGTGACTGTTACCCCTCATTATGACTGTTACCCCTCTATGTGACTGTTACCCCTCATTATGACTGTTACCCCTCTATGTGACTGTTACCCCTCTATGTGACTGTTGCCTCTCTATGTGACCGTGTCCCCTCTATGTGACTGTTACCCCTCTATGTGACTGTTACCCCTCTATGTGACTGTTACCCCTCCATGTGACCGTGTCCCCTCTATGTGACTGTTACCCCTCTATGTGACTGTTACCCCTCATTATGACTGTTACCCCTCTATGTGACTGTTACCCCTCATTATGACTGTTACCCCTCTATGTGACTGTTACCCCTCTATGTGACTGTTGCCTCTCTATGTGACCGTGTCCCCTCTATGTGACTGTTACCCTTCTATGTGACTGTTACCTCTCTATGGGACTGTTACCCCTCTATGTGACTGTTACCCTCTATGTGACTGTTACCCTCTATGTGACCGTGTCCCCTCTATGTGACTGTTAACCCTCTATGTGACTGTTACCCTCTATGTGACTGTTACCCTCTATGTGACCGTGTCCCCTCTATGTGACTGTTACCCCTCTATGTGACTGTTACCTCTCTATGTGACTGTTACCCCTCTATGTGACTGTTACCTCTCTATGTGACTGTTACCCCTCTATGTGACTGTTACCCCTCTATGTGACTGTTACCCTCTATGTGACTGATGCCCTCTATGTGACTGTTACCCTCTTTGTGACCGTGTCCCCTCTATGTGACTGTTACCCTCTATGTGACTGTTACCCCTCTATGTGACTGTTACCCCTCTATGTGACTGTTTCCCCTCCATGTGACGGTGTCCCCTCAATGTGACTGTTACCCCTCTATGTGACTGTTACCTCTCTATGTGACTGTTACCCTCTATGTGACTGTTGCCTCTCTATGTGACCGTGTCCCCTCTATGTGACTGTTACCTCTCTATGTGACTGTTACCTCTCTATGTGACTGTTACCCTCTATGTGACTGTTACCTCTCTATGTGACTGTTACCCTCTATGTGACTGTTACCCTCTATGTGACTGTTACCTCTCTATGTGACTGTTACCTCTCTATGTGACTGTTACCCCTCTATGTGACTGTTACCCTCTATGTGACTGTTGCCTCTCTATGTGACCGTGTCCCCTCTATGTGACTGTTACCTCTCTATGTGACTGTTACCTCTCTATGTGACTGTTACCTTCTATGTGACTGTTACCTCTCTATGTGACTGTTACCTCTCTATGTGACTGTTACCCTCTATGTGACTGTTACCTCTCTATGTGACTGTTACCTCTCTATGTGACTGTTACCTCTCTATGTGACTGTTACCCCTCTATGTGACTGTTACCCCTCTATGTGACTGTTACCCTCTATGTGACTGTTACCTCTCTATGTGACTGTTACCCTCTATGTGACTGTTACTCTCTATGTGACTGTTACCCTCTATGTGACCTTGTCCCCTCTATGTGACTGTTACCTCTCTATGTGACTGTTACCCCTCTATGTGACTGTTACCCTCTATGTGACTGTTACCTCTCTATGTGACTGTTACCTCTCTATGTGACTGTTACCCTCTATGTGACTGTTACCTCTCTATGTGACTGTTACCTCTGTATGTGACTGTTACCCCTCTATGTGACTGTTAACCTCTATGTGACTGTTACCCTCTATGTGACTGTTACCTCTCTATGTGACTGTTACCCTCTATGTGACTGTTACTCTCTATGTGACTGTTACCCTCTATGTGACCTTGTCCCCTCTATGTGACTGTTACCTCTCTATGTGACTGTTACCCCTCTATGTGACTGTGTCCCCTCTATGTGACTGTTACCCCTCTATGTGACTGTTACCCCTCTATGTGACTGTTACCCCTCCATGTGACCGTGTCCCCTCTATGTGACTGTTACCCCTCTATGTGACTGTTACCCCTCATTATGACTGTTACCCCTCTATGTGACTGTTACCCCTCATTATGACTGTTACCCCTCTATGTGACTGTTACCCCTCTATGTGTGTGTTACCCTCTATGTGACTGTTGCCTCTCTATGTGACCGTGTCCCCTCTATGTGACTGTTACCCCTCTATGTGACTGTTACCTCTCTATGTGACTGTTACCCCTCTATGTGACCGTGTCCCCTCTATGTGACCGTGTCCCCTCTATGTGACTGTTACCTCTCTATGTGACTGTTACCTCTCTATGTGACTGTTACCTCTCTATGTGACTGTTACCTCTCTATGTGACTGTTACCCTCTATGTGACTGTTGCCCCTCTATGTGACTGTGGCCCCTCTATGTGACTGTTACCTCTCTATGTGACTGTTACCTCTCTATGTGACTGTTTGCCCCTCTATGTGACAGTTACCTCTCTATGTGACGGTGTCCCCTCCATGTGACCGTGTCCCCTCTATGTGACTGTTACCCTCTATGTGACTGTGTCCCCTCTATGTGACTGTTACCCCTCCATGTGACCGTGTCCCCTCTATGTGACTGTTACCCTCTATGTCAGATATTAGCTTGGTGTCATTCTTCAAGTTTTCCTCTATGTGACTGTTGCCCCTCTATGTGACTGTTACCCCTCTATGTGACTGTTACCCCTCTATGTGACTGTTACCCTCTATGTGACTGTTACCCCTCTATGTGACTGTTACCCCTCTATGTGACTGTTACCCTCTATGTGACTGTTACCCCTCTATGTGACTGTTACCCCTCTATGTGACTGTTACCCTCTATGTGACTGTGTCCCCTCTATGTGACTGTTACCCCTCTATGTGACTGTTACCCTCTATGTGACTGTTACCCCTCTATGTGACTGTTACCCCTCCATGTGACCGTGTCCCCTCTATGTGACTGTTACCCCTCTATGTGACTGTTACCTCTCTATGTGACTGTTACCTCTCTATGTGACTGTTACCCCTCTATGTGACTGTTACCCCTCTATGTGACTGTTACCTCTCTATGTGACTGTTACCTCTCTATGTGACTGTTACCTCTCTATGTGACTGTTACCCCTCTATGTGACCGTGTCCCCTCTATGTGACTGTTACCCTCTATGTCAGATATTAGTTTGGTGTCATCCTTCAAGTTTTCGGTATGTCTTTTGTTCTTGTGTTCTCTTATTCCATTTCAGTTGAGCTATTGGAATTCCCTGGTTGGATATCAATATATCAGTGTAAAATTTACAACCTATCTTTGGTTTTTCCAGTTCTTGCAAGCTTCTTATGAATATTTCTCAGTGTTCAATCTGTTTGTGTTTTTCTAGCCATTGTTATGGAATGTTAATATTCAGTGTTCTGTAATCAATCTGGGCTCCAATGATTGCATGTTTCTTTTTGTACACTGTGCATGGTGTATTCTGATTGATTGTATGACTTTGAGGGGCAGTCACGTAGCCTTGAGGTTTAAGCATTTGCTCATCATGCCAAAGACCCGGGTTCGATTCCAGACATGGGTACAATGAGTGAAGCCCATTTCTGTTGTCCCCCACTGTGGTTGTGCTGGAATGTTGCTAGAGCAGCCTAAAACCAAACTCACTGACTCACTGTATGACTTTGAAGCCTAGTCGGGTCACCTTCACCCTGCTCACTGAGTCTCTTCAGTCGGCATGAACAGCCCTCTTGTGCACAATGTCTGCTAGCTATGTTACCTTGACCGTGTTGTGACACCCCTGTCTGGGTGTCCGGTTGTGCTCATTTCCTCTGGCTCTTCATATTGTCAGCCAGTTTGCTTTTCTGGCTAAACACAGATCATCAGAAGAACACCATTCCACAACTCAAATCTGATTTGTCACCTTCATCTAGTCCACTGCCTCATTAGAACCTAGTCAACAGCATGATGGTGTTACACTTGTCCGCGTCTTCAGGACTGATAGGGGGCGGTCGGGTAGCCTAGTGGTTAAAGCGTTAGCTCGTCACGCCGAAGACCCGGGTTCGATTCCCGACATGGGTACAATGTGTGAAGCCCATTTCTGGTGTCCCCCGCCGTGATATTGCTGGAATATTGCTAAAAGCGGCGTAAAACCATACTCACTCACTCACTCGGGACTGATGAATTGTTTGATAGGCATTACATAGAAGAAGTTGACGGATGACAAGGAGGACACAATTTATGGGTAATAACTTCTTTATTTACTGTATAGGCGACATTTCGGTACAGGTCCTCATACCGTTGTCATGAACATAGTACAGAATATATACAGTAGGTGGATGATTAACAGTAACAACAATTGCATACAAGAGAGAGATTATTAACATGAGTAGTTTAAGTAATGGCAACAGAAGGATAATTCTGTAACAACATGATGGACAGAGAACACATGACAACTAGGATCTATACCGAAACGTGGCCTTTACAGTAAATATAGAAGTTGTTATCCATAAATTGTGTCTTCTTTGTCATCATGAATGCTGGTGTTACATTGATAGGCTGGGCCACGGTTGTATGCACTAATTCTATAGATAACATAACTTCTCTTATATTTTCTTACTACAAACTAATAGACTTGCATGCTTGAGTTACCTGAGGAGGTGTCTCCAGTGTTGTAAGGGTTCTCTTGTATTGTGTCTGCATGTATTGTAGCTTTGACATAATGACATCGTAATATTTATTTCAAGGTAAATTGTATGTACCTGTCAAATTAGAATTTGAAGTTACTATCAATGTACTTGATACAACTATATTGTAACCTTGGCTAATCAGTTCATTCTTTTGAATAATTTTATCTGTCAATTCACTGGTAAGTATCTCTGATGTGTGCCCATCTCCTGACCCAGCTCTTGGGAACAGGAATGAATAATTCTAATGGGGGAGTATCAGCAGTGCGAGATCCATCTTATTGAAATACCTCATATTTTCAGATGTGCGAGTGGGATGTGGGCTACTGGGATGTGATGATGTGATGATGTGATGCATCCATGTGATGTTCTTATACTTTTGTATGTCTTTCCAGGCTGGTGACACAGTGGATGCAGCAATATGGCAGACAATGACATCATCGCTGTCACTACACGGCAGCCACTCCTACTTCTGTCAACTGGTGGCTGAGAAGCTTCGAGCTTACTTCTGAGGCAGTGCGATACCCTGGTGCATCACCTTCAATCCCCCACTCAGTTCACATCAGTTGAGGAGTCATCAGCTACACCAGAACCTGTTTAGGCCGGTTGGGTACAAGCTGATGATGAGGACAGACTGTTGTTGGACAGTGTTCATGTTGAGGGTCTCGAGCATCACTTCCTTGTGTCTTTCACACCATATTAGGTCACAGATGTCATAGGGAAGATTCCCATGGTGTGCCACTCCTCTCATGAAGAACAGGGTGTTAAGGATGCACTGCCATGTACCAATAAGGCTACATGTCATGCCATTGCAAACCCAGCCTCCTGTCATGCCATTGCAACCCTGAGCCTCCCATCATGCTATGGCAACCCTGAGCCTCCTGTGATGTCATGGCAACCCCAAGCCTCATGCGATGTCATGGCAACCCTAAGCTGCATGTGGTGTCATGGTAACCCCAAGCCTCATGTCATGTGATGGCAACCCCAAGCTTCATGTGGTGTCATGGCAACCTCAAGCCTCATGTGATGTCATGGCAACCCTCAGCTTCATCTGTCATGGAATAACTTCGATTTACGCTTGGTTGGGATTGACATTTTAACATAAGATGGGTCAGAAGACTGCTCCATTGACTCCCAACTAAACAATATTCATGCACTAGTAAATTGAACTGTAAGCCACACGAGTATTGTCACACTAAGGTCACACCAGACAACTATCAGTTGGGACCGGATAAACTAGTCAGCAAACTGCAGCTGGGAACCGTGCCCTATCTGTGTGGACTTGTGAGTCACATGTGTGTGGACTTGTGAGTCACATGTGTGTGGACTTGTGAGTCACGTGTGTGTGTTGACATGTGTCTTGCCTGTAGGACAGAATCTCAATGTTTTACGGGTCAAGGTGGCTGTTTTTCAGAGTGATTTGTCTTTGCCTGCAGTGTCTTGTACCACAGTCTGTTGGAATGTAGAGTAGTTGCTCAAAGATATGGATAGAGTCAAAGGGTTTTCACAGGAATCACTGAATCAAATGAATTGTTCTTATCGACCTGAAAAATGTGAAGGGACTCCTAGTTACGTGTCAGATTCACCTGTATGCAGGACTCCACATCTGCTTACTCTGATGGCTGGTGATGACATTGTATCATCTCTGTACCATCTCTGTACCATCACTGTACCACCTCTGTATCATCTCAGGTACAACTGTACCTTCCAGTAGATGTTGTTATTGTGTTAATAGAGATACACGGTACATTACCACATTTGGAGACAATATTTCATTTTACTGAAGATGTTTATTTATCAAATCTTTCTATTTTTATTTATTTTAGATAGCTGTTTTTTTATGATGACTTTTAGTGGGCCACTTTAAAGCTGCCTGTGATACTGCTGTGATTGCGCCAGTGGGGACCACTGACTACCTTCAAGTGCCGTTACTGCTCACTTTGTCTACATGCTGTATATACCTTGTGCCACATAAAACCTGAAGCAACTTCAGGTCATTTTTTGGTTTTGTTGAGCAAAACCTGAAACTTTCAATGGGAGTCTTCACTGGGGTAAATGATACATATGCTGTATCAGTGTATTGGATGTACTTAGCATGAAATAAGAGGAAGCTATAGGAGACACTGTCACAGTCTTTAGAACTACTGATTCCACTTGTGTGATGTCATTGTATGTACAAGCATTGTATCGATGTAGTAGTCAAAAGTGTGTCAGTTAATGACTTATCTGCCCTTGTTCAACACAATGGACTTATGTTAATGAGTTATCTCCCTTGTCTACACAAAGTGCTTAACTTATTGAGTTTTCTCCTCTTGTCCAACACAAAAAACTTGTCAAGATTATCTCCCCTTGTCTTACAAAAAGAATTTAAGTGAATGGGTTATCTCCCCTTCTCCTAAACAAAGTCAAGCTCCTCACAGCGATAGTACGTTCCCGGAGCTCTCTATACTATCCCTGCCACCAGTCAAAACTCCCCACTGTGAATAGGTGGCCACAACCATGCTTGGAGTTGAACTCGCAACCGAATGACCGTTATGTTTACAAACAAGTGACGACTGTCGTGACGCCGAATATACTTATCGCTGCTAAATTACTTTCTTCGTTTGTCAATTTGAATTTCTGTTTCATTAAAACTATCGTGTTATTGATATAGTAAGAATGTAAGGGAGAAGTTGGTTGATTATCCGATAGTCTGCAACCTCGAACCAATCTGATTATCAAAACAACAAAGTAAATTCATCTGGAAAACATGGTCAGTCGTAAACCTTTTGGCCACCTATTCACAGTGGGGAGTTTTGACTGGTGGCAGGGATAGTATAGAGAGCTCCGGGAACGTACTATCGCTGTGAGGAGCTTGTCACAAAGGGTTAAGTTTATGAGTTATCTCCCCTTGTCCTATTGTCTCCCCTTGTCCTTCACAAAGGGTAATGTTAATGTTGCTAGAACAGATAAAACTACATTGAATGTCTCTCCCCACGATGTCACAATTCAATCATAGCTATTGTAACAGTCTTCCACTTAGACTGACAATAGCAGTTATCAGTAATGCTTAAGTTATCTCTGAAACAAGGCCTAGATAACTAGTCAGTATTGCCAGTTCCAAATAATATATATGGTTGAAACATTTGTGTATGATTTCTCACAATATTGCACTGTACAACACTCTCACTGAAATCATACACAAAGTTAATTTTGATATAATTTATTTTACATGTATAATTTTATGATTTATTTGTTGATATATGATGGGTATGCATTGTTACATGTATGCATTGTTACATGTATGCATATATATTGTTAGCTGCTGATGTACATGTTGAAAGAAGATATTTTTGTATTAGCCCCAAGAGCATGGCATGACTTGTGATGAATTTCAATGAATGGAGATATATTCCCTGTCTCTGCAATGAGTGATTTCCTTATCAAAATATGGTGTTTCCCTATCTGAAAGTCTTGACAGGCCAGGACAATTATATTTATATTTTTATAATTTTCTAGGCCGATAAGAAAGTTGCAAGAAGCAACAAAGATAGACATTCAAGATATAAAAAGGAATTTTTATTTTCTTCAAATAATGTGCTTAATAAAAGATTAAGATGGCTAGTAGGGCCATGAAATAGTACTTACTTACTTACTTTTTAATTTTTGTCTTGGACAATGTGATTTGACTGTTGATACGAGTACATTGATAGCAGTGAGACAATTAACATTCCATGAGGTTCTATGGTCAGTACAATAGTCCTCTCTTATTTATATACAACTACTATGGGCAGCCGGAGAGCATTGTAGATAACCACTTGCTCTCTCCTCCCCTTCCAGACCCGTCTCTCGTATATCTGAGACCCGTCTCTCGCATTTTAGGCCTGTCACTTGTGCATTTAAGACCTGTCTCTCATTTATTTGAGGCCTGTCTCTCATTTATTTGAGACCTGTCTCTCATTCATTTGAGGCCTGTCTCTCATTTATTTGAGGCCTGTCTCTCATTCATTTTAGGCCTGTCTCTCATTCATTTTAGGCCTGTCTCTCATTTATTTGAGGCCTGTCTCATTCATTTTAGGCCTGTCTCTCATTTATTTGAGGCCTGTCTCATTCATTTTAGGCCTGTCTCTCATTTATTTGAGGCCTGTCTCTCATTTATTTGAGACCTGTCTCTCATTCATTTGAGACCTGTCTCTCATTCATTTGAGGCCTGTCTCTCATTCATTTTAGGCCTGTCTCTCATTCATTTGAGGCCTGTCTCATTCATTTTAGGCCTGTCTCTCATTCATTTGAGGCCTGTCTCTCATTCATTTTAGGCCTGTCTCTCATTCATTTGAGGCCTGTCTCTCATTCATTTGAGGCCTGTCTCTCATTCATTTGAGGCCTGTCTCTCATTCATTTGAGGCCTGTCTCTCATTCATTTTAGGCCTGTCTCTCATTCATTTGAGGCCTGTCTCTCATTCATTTGAGGCCTGTCTCTCATTCATTTGAGGCCTGTCTCTCATTCATTTTAGGCCTGTCTCTCATTCATTTGAGGCCTGTCTCTCATTTATTTGAGGCCTGTCTCTCATTCATTTTAGGCCTGTCTCTCATTTATTTGAGGCCTGTCTCATTTATTGAGACCTGTCTCATGTATCTGAGACCAATCTATCATATGTTTGAGACCTGTTTCCTGTGTATTTGAGACCTGCTTCTTGTCCATGAATATATAAATTATTAAATATTAACTAATTCATTAGCAACTACACCAAATTTGTAAATTACGTGATTTTGATGGACTGGATTGTTCCATTGCTCAGCTGACAATCAGTGCTGACCTAGATTCATGACGTGACCACTAATGGTTGAATGCGTAAATGCCAGTGCCTACATATTGTAATTGGTGTATCACTGAAGGTATGCACAACTTGATCTGGTAGCAATTTGTAATGAGAATAATATCTTGTACAGACATTGGAACCAGTAAACACTAACCGCAGACAGGTATATTTGGTAGATTAGACATCCCACTGTCTGCATGACCCCTTCTGTCATCCCCCAACCTCCCACCATCCCCCATCCTCCCACCATCCCCCATCCTCCCACATCACGACAGACATGGCCTCGGACCACTGTCATCAACAGATTTAGGCCCTGCTTTGATCAAATAAACAAAAATCATACTCTTTGACATTGTTTTGGATAAGAGGCAACCTTTAGTTGATATTTCCTTTGATCTGTGCAGGTAATTAGGGTCAGTTTGGCTCTAACTTCAAACCGATTCTTTCAAATACAGAGCTTACAATGACACACAGTAATTGTGTATTTGGTTTTGTCAGTCCCGTCAGTCCCGTATTGTACAGGGTGTTGCCCTGTCTCTAGTTCTCTGTATGTCCCACAGGCTTAGTCAGGCTGCTCAATGTACGACAATCATGTTCTTTTTGAAGATGCTGCTCAAATGGTGTGAAGCTCAATCAGCCATGTATAATTACATATGCAATGATCTGTGCATGTTGTTTCCTGAAGAGGGAGATAAGTTGCTACAAGGTTTAATGGTACTATATTAGATACAGTCAATACCTTTTTAATTTTGTAAATTTTGAAATTCACGTAAGATAAATCCAATATTATCATCTCTGGAAGAAACAGCAAAGATTTATTTATACAGCATGTTTGAACAATGACTGCGTCCAGAGGAATGGACGTTCTCGAAAACCAAGTTATACAAGCAAATTTGAAAAATTCTATCTTGATCTTCCAAAGATGTAAGATTTTGAAATCAAAAAAGGCTTAATACTTTCAGGGATATTACTACTTAATTCTGGCCATAGATAACTTACTTTCATCACGTATTACACCACACACTCAATTCAGTTTTTGTGAATCTGAGAAGGAAACTGTCAGTATGTACACTTTGTTTGATTGACTTGTTTATGACCTGAATCATGCCAATAATAATATGACTGAAATCTGTTCTGTGTTGTGTTGTTTAATGAGCAAGTGGTGACCCAGGTCAAGTAACCGATTCCCACCCGGTCGTTTCAACAGCAACATGTAGAAGCAGGTATTGGCCAACCACTGTGGCTGGCCACACTCACTTGGACCACTGTGGCTGGCTGCACTCACTTAGACCACTGTGGCTGGCTGCACTCACTTAGACCACTGTGGCTGGCTGCACTCACTTAGACCACTGTGGCTGGCTGAACTCACTTAGACCACTGTGGCTGGCTGCACTCACTTAGACCACTGTGGCTGGCTGCACTCACTTAGACCACTGTGGCTGGCCGCACTCACTTAGACCACTGTGGCTGGCCGCACTCACTTAGACCACTGTGGCTGGCCGCACTCACTTGGACCACTGTGGCTGGCTGCACTCACTTGGACAACTGTGGCTGGCTGCACTCACTTGGACCACTGTGGCTGGCCGCACTCACTTAGACCACTGTGGCTGGCCGCACTCGCTTAGACCACTGTGGCTGGCCGCACTCGCTTAGACCACTGTGGCTGGCTGCACTCGCTTAGATCACTGTGGCTGGCCGCACTCGCTTAGATCACTGTGGCTGGCCGCACTCGCTTACACCACATTGGTGTCACTTCAACCACTGTGCCCCTTGACTCATGTCAATTTGGGTTATTCCACTACCTATGTAATGCTAGTAAGCTACTTAAATGTAGCTATAGTCATCTGAAGAAAAATCAGGTGTTCTTTAGAGTAGTATACATCAAGGAGCAGGGATAGTGTGTGAAGTCACTATAAGCCAGATCCTGCATCACATATCCGTGAAGATCTGGGGTAGAATAGGTCTTCAGCAACCCATGCTTGTCCTAAGAGGCAACTAACGGGATCGGGTGGTCAGGGTCGCTGACTTGGTTGATGTATGTAATCATAACCCAATTGCGTGGATCGATGCTCATACTGTCAATCACTGGATCGTCTGGTCCAGACACGATTATTTACAGACCGTCGTCAAATAGCTGGAATAATGCTGAGTGCGGCGTTAAACAAACAAAATCCTCTTGTGTCTGATATGACCGCCATTTTGAAGACAGGTTATTCTGTGCTTAACATAAACTAGGTCTACACTTACTTGAACTCAAGCAGAATCTGAACAGGAATCACAGATTTCACCAGCTTATGTCGGGATGAAACTGGATCTAATATAGATTCCTGTCACATACTGACCTGAGACCAGCTGAGTGTGTGCCACTGGCAGCCCAAATGTCTCAACACTATTACAAAAGTAAAACGGATCTTTTTAAGTATGGCATTTATTCCCACATAACAAAGTCGTCAACATTCATGATGAAATATATATAAATAGTAGTTTATCATAAGTGAAATAACTACATTGTTTCCTGTGAAGACAGGTGACCAACACTGACTTCTACTTCAAGGCCGACCACGGTCTCATGTTAGCTAGCTGCTGTTATCAGTTTTATCCTTAATGTCAACTGTGGGTCCCATTCTTGGTTAATTGCTACCATCAATAAGAAAGTTGGATGAATGTGTGAATTAATCTACTTCAAAGACAAAGATGGCATTTTTAACAGCATGTAATTTCCAATATAAAACATATCCAGTTGTGACTTTTTGAACAAGCCGAAGAAGGCAAAGTGATAACAGTCAGTGGAGAGGGGTAACCTGAGCTGTTTTCCATGACACTCACGGTCGGTCTTCAAGCAATTCATCCTTTTGGGGGGTTTCCCCTGAAAATGTTAATGTAATATGCATTCAAAATACACAACGTCCATCAAATCTGCTGAAAAATTACACTTTTCTACACAGAACATTGGAAATGAAGCAAGTTCTCGGAACAACATGTGAGTGTTGATAATTAATTCTCCCAATATTTTCAATACATGTCGGCCTCTGTTGGAATGTCCATTCAAGGAGAATCACATCAAGCTGGGACATGCAGCTGACAGCAACACTGAAGACGTCAGTAGCAGCAGTTCACATCATCTGCAGCACAGCGATCACAGTGAGGTGACACTTCAACACATATTGTCTCTACCACATTCAGTAGGCAATGGTCACAGCCTGGACAGTTGGTCGTCTAACGGAACTGAATGGTCACAGCCTGGACAGTTGGTCGTCTAACGGAACTGAATGGGGCTTATTCTCAGTCCTATACAGTCTTTGCCGATCTCAGTCACCTTCAAGGGAATAATATTAACATCAGCATGATGGTATCATTGATTGTATGCTTAATGGTCATAAATCTAAAGTGAAAATACTACATCAGGCAATCTAATTTGAAATATTGTCCAACCATTGAGAAATTATTTCCTGAAGATTTATTTAAAAAAACGATAACATTTATACTTTAGAGGAAGCATTATAAAAAAAGATGACCTTATACATGTATGAACAGTGAAATGATGAAAATAGATAATCTTTCATTCTCATGAAATAATCTGATCTCCCATCCTTCCATCCACGTCCCTGCCAACTACAGCTACCACGCTGCAACATCCCCAACACCAGACTGACCTGTGTGACACTGCAGACTTGACCCTTGAACTCCGGCATGTAGCAGGCTCCACTGAGAGGACACTTGACGACAGGCTTGCCTCTGTAGATGGGGACGAATGTGGCCCCACAGATGTCGAAGGGGTTGTGCTGGTCGTACTTCAACTCGTGCTCATCTACAGGGTTCTTCTCACATGCAGCCAGGATCTTCCGGGTCTGCAGCATGACAACAACATGACATCTACTACTCTCAATAACATGACATTACTACTCTCAACAACATGACAACTATTACTGCTCTCAATATGACAACTATTACTGCACTCAACATGACAACTATTACTGCTCTCAACATGACAACTATTACTGCTCTCAATATGACAACTATTACTGCTCTCAACATGACAACTATTACTGCTCTCAATATGACAACTATTACTGCTCTCAACATGACAACTTTTACTGCTCTCAACATGACAACTATTACTGCACTCAACATGACAACTATTACTGCTCTCAACATGACAACTATTACTGCTCTCAATATGACAACTATTACTGCTCTCAACATGACAACTATTACTGCTCTCAACATGACAATTTTTACTGCTCTCAACATGACAACTATTACTGCACTCAACATGACAACTATTACTGCTCTCAATATGACAACTATTACTGCACTCAACATGACAACTTTTACTGCTCTCAACATGACAACTTTTACTGCACTCAACATGACAACTATTACTGCTCTCAATATGACAACTTTTACTGCTCTCAACATGACAACTATTACTGCTCTCAACATGACAACTATTACAGGGTTAGAAACTAACAGTTTTCGTCCACTAGTCCTTACAATGATAACATATAGCAATACCCTTGAAAAGGGCAAATTTCTACTGGTCCTTATGATACCTTTACCATTGGGCAGTTTGGCAAGGACTACAGGACTAGTGCCAATTTCTAACGCTGTATTACTGCTCTCAACATGACAACTATTACTGCACTCAACATGACAACTTTTACTGCACTCAACATGACAACTATTACTGCTCTCAACATGACAACTATTACAGGGTTAGAAACTAACAGTTTTCGTCCACTAGTCCTTACAATGATAACATATAGCAATACCCTTGAAAAGGGCAAATTTCTACTGGTCCTTATGATACCTTTACCATTGGGCAGTTTGGCAAGGACTACAGGACTAGTGCCAATTTCTAACGCTGTATTACTGCTCTCAACATGACAACTATTACTGCTCTCAACATGACAACTATTACAGGGTTAGAAACTAACAGTTTTCGTCCACTAGTCCTTACAATGATAACATATAGCAATACCCTTGAAAAGGGCAAATTTCTACTGGTCCTTATGATACCTTTACCATTGGGCAGTTTGGCAAGGACTACAGGACTAGTGCCAATTTCTAACGCTGTATTACTGCTCTCAACATGACAACTATTACTGCTCTCAACATGACAACTATTACAGGGTTAGAAACTAACAGTTTTCGTCCACTAGTCCTTACAATGATAACATATAGCAATACCCTTGAAAAGGGCAAATTTCTACTGGTCCTTATGATACCTTTACCATTGGGCAGTTTGGCAAGGACTACAGGACTAGTGCCAATTTCTAACGCTGTATTACTGCTCTCAACATGACAACTATTACTGCTCTCAACATGACAACTATTACAGGGTTAGAAACTAACAGTTTTCGTCCACTAGTCCTTACAATGATAACATATAGCAATACCCTTGAAAAGGGCAAATTTCTACTGGTCCTTATGATACCTTTACCATTGGGCAGTTTGGCAAGGACTACAGGACTAGTGCCAATTTCTAACGCTGTATTACTGCTCTCAACATGACAACTATTAATGCTCTCAATATGACAACTATTACAGGGTTAGAAACTAACAGTTTTCGTCCACTAGTCCTTACAATGATAACATATAGCAATACCCTTGAAAAGGGCAAATTTCTACTGGTCCTTATGATACCTTTACCATTGGGCAGTTTGGCAAGGACTACAGGACTAGTGCCAATTTCTAACGCTGTATTACTGCTCTCAACATGACAACTATTAATGCTCTCAATATGACAACTATTAATGCTCTCAACAAGAAAACAACTGCTATCTGTCCTCCACAATTTCACCCCTATGTATTCCCTGCAGTAAACACAAAATTGTTTATGCATGTCCCTGCAGGGTTAAAATAGAGTGCACATCCTGTGCACTTGCCCCCAAGTAACCAGTGTGCTGTGTATCACACAGATCCTACAACAGTGTCTGGGAGCGGTATGGGACTCACCTGGGTTGCAACATCGGGTTTGGGTCCGAGTTCCAGGAGGCGCCGAGCAAATGATGCAGCTGTTTTGTAGTTCTTGAGTTTGAAGAAGAGATTGAGCGCCGTCCTGAGTGTGAGGATGAGGTGGACTGGCTGGAGGCTGCAGTGGGTGAAGTAGGCTGCCATCTGTACAACACCAAACACGCTATAGTTTAAAGTGGTCTGCACTACATATAACTACTGAGTTACCTCCCTTTGTGAAATTGACATTCCAATAGATATTGTATGCCATACATTTCTCTGAATAAGAATTATCTCACGGTTATGGCATTGAAGTGGATGTGTGAATGTAGTTTGACAAGTTTCAGCCATATCGCAGCCTGCAAATAATTGTGTGGAACAGACAAACCAATTGACGATAGGTTTGGAAATGACATTTGAATTTGGACATTGTGAACAGCTAGCCCTCTTTCAGAAGGGGAAACCTGTACTGCCCTAGCATTCAGTTTTAGCATGAAACAAGATGAGGTCACCGAGAGGTCCGACTCACCTCACAGATTCGCTTCTGTTCCTCAAGGTTGGACTTTGGCATCTCCTTCCTCTTCGCCTCGAGGGACAGGCCTACGATGTACTCACGGCAGATCTCAATAAGCTGCTGGGCCTGAAAATATCCACATAAAATTCAAGCAACAATTCACAAACAAAACAAAATACTTGAAACAGAAGGTCTCTTAAATCCGACTGACTGATAATCTGATGATACGCTACTCAGAGAACTGACCCCTCCAATATGACCCCATCTGTACCCATCCACTGTCAGACGTACGCCACCGTGTGCACCTCTAGTCACCTACCTCAGCAATCTCCTGTTTGTTGTCCACAACCAGCAGTGGCACACTGAGGAGGATCGAGCGGAACTTCTCACACGCGTCGGCAAACTTCCCGGTGGTCGTGAGCTGGTAGGCGGCCTGGAGCTGCTGCACCAGCATGTTCAGCCTCAGCCCCACGGCAGGGACACCGTTCCGAGCTCCAGACTCCTTCCTGAACAAAGTAATTCATCAGAATCATTACTATACATCATAATGACTGCCAACAAACAACCCACCTCCAACACTGAGTAATTCTTAACAGTACTCAAGTCTTAAATGTGATGGCTTTGTTCTAGTAATGCTAAACAGAATGATTTCCTGTTCTTGATGTTTACATGTCTATAAGACCCATGAAGATCTGGGTTAGAATTGGTCTTCAGCAACCCATGCTAAGGCAACTAACGGGATCAGGTGGTCAGGCTTGCTGACTTGGTTGATGCATGTCATCGTATCCCAATTGCGTAGATCAATGCTCATGATATCAATAACTATATTGTCTGGTCCAGGCTCGATATCAACAGACCGCGGTCATATAGCTGGAATAACGCTGGACAACAACAAAGAAACATGTTCATAAAGTATCGAGGTGGTACCTCAAACTCTACTTTGAGCACAACAGATTTCATCCTGACTTTTACTTAGATGATGTTCTTCAACACGTACCAGTTTCGGTGTGGGTAGCTGAAGAGAGGTGGAATAGATGGCAGCCCAAGGTATGCTGTTCGTGAACGGGCGTACGTCTGCAGGAACAGCTGCTTGTAGCGGTCAAAGTTGACCACGCCCACCTGGTCATGCAGCAGCTGTGGGGAGACATGCAACAGTGAGAGATGGTAACAAGGAAAGCTTTTACCTATTTCACAGCTTCATGTGTCAGGAATGTTGTTGTCAAAACAAAAAAAACACTTTTACATGATTCTGCTAATGCATTTGCAAAAGTAAAAATCTTCAAATGCTGATTCTCCATGTATTGTTTTTGAGAAAATCTATTCAAATCATCCTTACTTCATCCCTGTATCACCAACAAGAGATTAAATACAAAAATGTTTTGGCCTGGCTGGAATACATTGTGATATGACTCCTCAAAAACAATAAAATATAATGTGTGGACATTTGTCTGCACTGAACGGCTTACCCTCATGGCTGTCTCGAAGGACCCGGCCAGCAGATGGTCCACTGGCAGCTGGGAATTGTTGCACCACACCTGAGGGAGGGAAAACACACATTGAAACACAGGCACTTCTTTCAGGACTTGTCTCCGTGAGTGAGTGAGGGAGTATGGCACTAGTCCACAAGTATCATGGTTGGAGACATTAGAGATGGACCTCATGTATCGATGTGGGGAATCCTGATGAAACATCTCTTTAACTCAAGTACCCATCAAACTTGTACAATACCATCACTACTGTACCACGTAACCAGTGTATAGTTTATCAGTTATCTTATACTTGTGTGGAGAGTATCGAACAGTCTCCTTGTGAGTGAGTGAGTATGGTTTTACACCGCTTTTAGAAATCTTCCAGCAATATCACGGCGGGGGACACCAGAAATGGGCTTCACTCTTTGTACCCATGTCGGGAATCGAACCCTGGTCTTCAGTGTGACGAACGAAAGCTTTAACCACTAGGCTACCCTAGGCTACCCGACCACCCCGTCTCCATGTGAAAGTCTTAACAGTAGTAAATAGCATGTGAAACAACACAAATATGCAGATGTCAAAGTTCAATATTAGCTGCCAACTTTCTCAAACTACAATTAGAATTTTGTTACAATCTTCTGATCGGGACACTAAAGACGGACAAAATGAATTGTCTGCACAGTACAATACAGCCATGTGATTTTTAAAATCAGTTCATAATTTTGGTACTTACTATATACTTAGTTTCTGTTTTGACTACAATACTTCCAATAATGTGAACTGAGTGTCTCCAGTGGACAGATACCACGCTATAAACAGACTTCATACCAGTCAATAAATAAGACACAACAGACGGTGTAAGGCTAAATAACGACCCACTCTTTACCTGTGTCTGACTGGTACCCTTGGTCGGGGGCACGAAGTAGCCTTCCTCTCCTGATGGGGTGGGGCCGACATCCTGCAATACAGAGTTCACATAGAAACAAGCAGAATAGTGCCATGGTGTCGGTCAGTTGAGTACATGTGTCCCTTTGAACAATTATTATTATTATTATTATTATTATTATTATTACATATACCACAGGTATCCAGGTACTTGTATCTGCTCAAATGCCATTTTATTTGTTCCCTGACCAGTGCAATCCAGTTATCATTCTCAACTCCCTGGGGAGTATACAATAATCCATTCATAAAAACCTAATCCTAATCAGCCTAAGTTTATACAGGTCACTGGCTAATACAAAATTGATGACAAATGGGTCAAATGAAAAACTAGTGTAACTTGACTACAAAGGGAGGCAACTCTGGTCAGCATCTGGGACCTGACTTTCAATATCCTGATATAATGTCATGACGACAGCAAGCATAAGAGTGAGAGTACATCTGGACTGCTGAATTTTGACTCGCAGCATTTATCCATGTAGAGAATCAAAGTCGGACTTTGAGCATGACAAGCTAACAATCTACTGAGCCGGTGCACGGACAGAGAACTCACCAGATCGGGTGGCAGATCCAGGTCGTCGTCACCAACATCCCAGCCACCACCTTCCCCTTCCCCACCAACAAGATCCTCATCATCAAACCCTCCGCCGGCTCCGAATCCTCCCTCTGCAAACATGTTACATCTACCGTTACTACGCCGTGGCACTGAGCTGACACTAACATGAAATTGCTGAAGAGGATGTAACGACATGGTTCATGCAGAATTCCTCTTATTTCACCAAAGTGAGTGAATGAGTGAGTGAGTGAGTGGATATTGTTTTCTGCCACCTTTAGCAATTTTCCAGCAACACTTCAGGGGACACCAGAAATGGGCTTCACACATTGTACCCATATCGGGAAATGAACCCAGGTATTCGGTGTGACGAGCAAACACTTTAACCTCTAGGCTACCCGGCCACCCCTTATTTACCAAAACTGAAGCTGAACAAGTCAATTGCTCCCAGCATCAAAATACTTAGTTAATGCCTAAAGATTACACCCATGTGTCGCAGCAATGTGTGTATCAGCGATTGCAACAACTCGCCAACCTATAAATGGGACGGAGTGTTACTTTACAAGTGGTTCAGCTCCAGGGTGACGTACCTTCATCCAACACCAGCTCTGCATCTTCTCCCCATCCTTCTCCAGCACCATCCTCGATGTCAGCCGCTGCTGCAGCCAGACCTGATGGTTTGCCTGAATCACACAGAACAGGACGTGTCACACAGAACAGGATGTGTCACACAGAACAGGACGTGTCACACAGAACAGGACGTTTCACACAGAACAGTGACTTCTACACTGCTTTTAGCAATATTCCTCCATTACAACATTGGGTTTGGGGGAAAGAGGATCACCAAAAACTGGCTTCACACATCGTACTCAAGTGGGATTCGAACTCAGATCTTCGGCAAATGCCCTTACCATTAGGCTACTCCAATGCCCCTACAGAACTAGGCTTGTCACACAAACTGTCAGAAACATAGCATGGTGGGAAAATATGGAATTAGGATGATAACATTTACCCCGTGTATTCTGAAGGGTGTTGCGCAGAGTATTTATTTTACCATACACAGTGTAAGATTGAAAGTGTTGAATGTGTTGTTACATCCCTTGTATCAAGTATCACCTCGGTACAGCTTAGTCTCTGACATAGCTAAGACTTTATGTTGAAGTATAGACCAGTAAATACCTCGGGATGCCATTGCTCCCTCAAAGAATCCTTTGGACACGGTCAGTAGTGGCCAGTTGCTCTCCTGTTGCATGATGGGAGGTGGGGGCTGGAGGAGCCTGGCGCTGGGGTACAGGTCAGGGACACGATCGTTCTCGCCAAAACTCTCCTTGATGAGCTCCGCCTCCTCGGACATGCCGTGGGTCTCGGCAGTCAGGTAGGCCAGCGACTCTGTAACACAAGACAGTCTGATGACTCAGATAGGGATAGAAGTAGCCACAATATCACATCAGTCACACATATCCAAACATTGCAGAGGTTTGCTAAGTATGTGAAACTTTTAGCTAAGTTGCAGGTATTTAGGTCATAGTGCATCAGATGAGGCAGGTCTCAGATCTCCACTGTGGCCACAGAGACTAAACACTGAACACTCACTCTGTCCCACTCCCTTGAGGATCCGGACTCTCTCGTTCACGTCTCCTAGCAACAGAGCTGTCTGGAAGTGTCCACTTGTGTCCTTGCGAATCTCAGCTGAAAGAGGAAAGAAGATTATAATACTCTTACAGCCAACCTTGCATATACAGGTTTTCTATAGGAATTTTCTGACATGAGCCCTTTATGTGAAAATTTCAAATATTCCAGAGGTATGCCCACACTTGCCCATACAGCACAATGTTAAAATGCCCCATTGTATTTGAAAATGTGGGCCTTTTTCAAACTTAGGGGCTAAAAGCACAAGGCCCCACCCTAGAATTATCCCTGCATCTCGTCGAGTCATGGATCTATGACGTCACAGGTGATGCCTTCATGAGCATTGTTCACACAACATACCCGTATGTTTATTTGTGTGTCGAACCAGTCTAATATCTCTTGAACATGAGTAAGCCTTCATATATGAACCAACATGTATGGTATTCACGTTTCTTTTGGCATTGAGAACAGCTGGAATATTTCCACCGGAGTGTGGCGTTTGACAACAAACAATCAATCTTATTTGCTGTCAGTAATAATGAATGTCACCTATTTTCAATTTCTCAATTGCTTACCAATCTTCATCATCTTGCGCAGCTTGTCCAGGTTGCCAGTGATAAGGTAGAGGAAGGAGAGCTTGTCGAAGTTCTTGGTTCGCTGATACGCCATCTCCACCACCTGGTGATTGCCCTGCAACAGGGCGGCCTCGCCCAGTTTCTCCCAGCAGATGGGGTCGTCAAGTGCACGGGCAGCCTCCAGGGCGATCTGACAACATTCAGTCACTCAGTCAGTCGGGGAGGTGAAATGGGGCTTAGCGTTACGTTCAAGATTATTGAGCTTGTATAACGACGTGCAAGCACATGTGTGAGTGTTTGGCTGCTTGTACTAGTCCGGACAAATGCTGGTTTTAGAGTGCTTACCCGTTGAGATACCATGCCGTAGTTTAACATGGATACCCCACACAGACACAGTATACTGACTGAGTGCCAAACAGGTTAACATCAGTATGATGCAGACAGATGCAGTCTAGTGAGTGAGTGTCACATCTGAATGAGGGAGTAAAGCCCTTACTTGCGAAGGTTGTAGATATTTACCACACCCAGGAAACCCTCAAGCACAGGAATCATCATCAGCAATCAGGGTCAACTGAGAAGCTCACCCTCTCAAGACGAAAACTGTTATAAAACCACATTCCTGTAACGGCTCCGTGTACAGACATGACTAGGACTTACTTCAATGTTGCCACACTCCAGGGCCAGGCCAAATCGAGTCTTCTCATCCTTGACAAAGTGCAGAGCGACCTCGGGGTAGCCCTTCTTCTGGAGGTAGGAGATGATAGACTGACCCACCAGTTTGGCATTGCGCACCATGTGCAACACCTGGACAACAGAACAAGACATGTCACAAGGGAATAACACTGTGACACTTCAGCCAAACTGTACAAGATCACAACCATTGCTAAACAGAACATAACAAAGATTACTTTGATTGATTGATTGGTTTGTTGTTTAACGCCGCACTCAGCAATATTCCAGCTATATGACAGCGGTCTATAAATAATCGAGTCTGGACCAGAAAATCCATTGATTGATATCATGAGCATCAATCCACGCATTTGGGATCGATGACATGCATCAACCAAGTCAGCGAGACTGACCACCTGATCCCGTTAGTCGCCTTCTACTACATGCATAGTCACCTTTTACGGCAAAACAAAGATTACAGCCGAACAGTAATGAAACCTGCAGTTGACATTTGTTTTTCCTGTCTGTTTCCAGGAAAAATATCAAAATCATAAAACTGACCTCTTCATATTTCCTGTTGACGAGAGCCAGTTTGAACTTGAACTCTGTGGGGTCGACCTGCAGCACACGTGGGCGAGACTCTCGGTCCAGACAGTAGACGTTGTTGCCCTTGATGCGGGTGATGTATATCGGCAGGTCCAGGGTGCGGATGATGCCGTGGTCTCTGCAGGGGGGGCAGATCAGTGAACACGAGGGTAGCATGATGGTGGCATGAACCAAACATATAACTACGGACCTCAATATATAGAGAAGGCTAATGAACATAGATTAACACTTTGTAGTTAAACACACAGACTCATGAAGCCAATGAAGTCTTCAGATTTGAAGGTGGGTGGTGGGGTAGTCTTGTGTTTAGAACATTCGCTCGTCACGGCGAAGACAGGCATGATTCCCCACATACGTACAATGTGTAAAGCCCATCTCAGGTGTCCTATGCCGTGATACTGCTGGAATATTGCTAAAAGTGGCAAAAAATAATATTCACTCACTCACTCTCTCTGATTTCAAGCTGAACATCACATGTGGACCTACCCATTGGTGAGTGCGTATTTGATGTGGTTGCTGGTGGTGTAGACGAAGACACCGCTCTCGTCCCAGGCTCCACTCTTGACACGGATATTCTCGTGTATCGTGCACAGATTCTCCAGCTTCCGGTTGCAGATGGAGATCACTGAAATTGACACAACAATTTTCACTATGTTACAGTGTCTGAAACTCTGCAGAGTAAACTGAGAGCCTTAAGGGCCAGCACATCTAAAAACCTACTCTTGCATTATAAATTACAAAACACCACCAGTCAACCAGAAGCTCTACTGCTATCACACCCAGTTCCCAGAGACTCTGTGGAGATGAAGCCGACATTTATCAGGAAATTATCAGCTTGTAGAACATCTTTGCTACACCATGTCAGACACCATTTGAAAGGTCTAAGTTATGTTTATCACATTACTTAAATAATGCTTCATAAATAATTACTAAAATAAACTGTGGGCCGTAAGGACCTGCTGAAATTTAAAACTATTAGCCCAAGAAAAAATCTGTTGGCCTTGGGCCTACGTCTATTCCGAACATCACTATGTAATATCTATGACGACCTCATGAAACACATGTAGCAAGACGCTTACTGTCTCTGGTGAAATCCCAATGTTAAAATCTAATCAACAGTGCATTCAGAATATAGTGAAGGATACGATTCAAAGACATGTTCAGCGGATCCTGGCATGACTAAGGAAGGTAACTCTGCACTGCAAATAGCTGCACCTTTGCCACATGGCCACCACAAATCCTAAGGGGGGCATAGGGCATGGGGGTTGTCTATGTCGCTACTCACACAGCTACATCAAACTGTCTGCACATGACAGCGTGATTACTTTTTTTACTTTCATACTGTACTGAGGAATATTCCGTCTATATAATGGCAGCCTGTTGACTACAAGAGCATTGATCCAATCCTGATATTACGACAAGCATAGTCGCCTTTTATGGCAAGCATGAGTTGCTGAAGTCCTGTTTTACGCGGGATCTTCACGGGTGGTATGCCATCGTGAGGGAAGTCAACATAGGTACCACTGTGTGGATGAAAGTGCCCAGACCTACCGTGCTTGCTGAACAGGGCCACTGTCGACATGTCGTTAGCCCACACGACGTACTTCACCTTGGAGATCTTCTGTGTGGCCAGGGTTCTGAAGTATAACACAAGTACATAAACTCAGGCGGACCAAACAAGCAACAGGAAGCGCTTCAACACAGTCACATGAACCTGATACTGGTCTGTGGTGCTGACTTAAACTCCCAGACTGCAATATTACAGATATGTCATGGCAGCTCCTACTGTAACTGGGCCTGGGCCGGACAGACAGTGAGAGCAGCGTACTTTGTTCCCCTTTCATTGAGACAATCGTATGAATGGAATACAAACTACTGGTTTAGAGCACACTTTATCGAATCTGAATCTTTACATCCATAAATGTAGCTCTGGAAGCAAGTATTAATTGATCATAATCAGTTTTCTCCTCACAATGGGGGTTGCCAGGGCACTTCTGCTGATCAGATGGGATAATTGCTTTTACAATTAGCAATGTTTCAATCAAATCATTTTGAATGTCACAATCAATTCACTGACCGATTATCGAATCCATCACTACACCACGACTGGTACTGAACTCACCTCTTCTGCTGCACATCAAAGAGTGTGACAGAGTCATTGTCCTTGAGTAGCAGACAGCCAGTGCCAGCGTAGAAGATGTCCTCACAGTTGGGGGCCTGAACCTTCTTGGTGATCTCGTTCTTCAGATTCTTGATGATAATCTGCAACACAGACGTACAAAAACTGTTTACTGTCGTTTGTATGATGATTATATGGCCAAGAAGACAAATTGAAATTGGGATTATTTTTCTGCACCACTTACAGAATATTTCCATACAACATTGCCGTAATTTAACACTTAATTTTGTTCACACTGTGACATACTCCTACTTAAATACAGAGACATAACTTGATTATCCAATGTCACATGTTTTGCAACTGTTCCATGGTAATATTTATTTGAATACTATTTCAATTTTTTCCTCTCCTGCTTCATATCATATTACGTGAACCAGCACTTGTAATAACCAGTACTGACGTACAATTGTTTTCGTGGTTTGGGTGGTGTCTTAGCCATTTATAAAAGATGATCAATGTCAGTTGCACATAGGACAACAAGGTTCGGGATGGATGAAAATAAAGGGGTGATTGTTAACTTATTTTCATGTGTATGCATGGTGTATTTCAACATCTACGTCTACTACAACATGGCTGTATGTCTCACCGAATGCGTTCTGTCGAGGACAGCGAATCTGTTCCGTGCCACCCACACAGCTGTCAGACCAGACGACCGCTTCCCTTCTGGGGCTGAAAGATGGAGTATTACGTAAATGATGTCAAAATTTACAGTACTCAACAGCTACATATCGCTCACAGGGAAGATGCATAAATGTTTGAATACTTAATTAAAAGTTAATTTGGAAAGAAATTCTGCCAGCAATTATTACTTATATGTAACCAACCATGAGATGAGGGACCCTATGGAGGGAAAAATCAGATTTTGACATTTCATAATATTCTAAAACTACAGCATCTTTCAGAACACAAAAATACAATTCAGTTCATATTTATTACAGAGATAAACAAGCAGTGATGTATTTCAGCACGTGTACCGTCTTGTACTGATACTGAAAAAGAGGAATTGTGTACCATATCTGCACATTAAAACTCATGATGGACTGTGCGTCGATGTATCGTTTCACCTCTACCCTACACAAGCCAAAGCAGTTTCTGAGAGGCTGATATTGTACTTTCTCATAAACATGATTGAACGAAGATAAAGGTGTTCTTATTTGAGGGAAAATTTCAACCCAGTCTTGATCATGTCCTTTTATCAATACTTACAATCTGGGTTCTGAGAGTCCGAATCCTTGGGAATGGCGTACAAGTCGTAAGTCGAGTTCTCAACGTTACTGGTTCTCTGAAAGTCAAAGTTGAATATTAGGAATATGTGAGTGGGTTCGATAAAATGCCACTTGTCAAGGAGTTTCAGCTAGTTTGAGAATAGGCTTAAGTGATGCAGGTCTTAAATGCCTACTGCAATGGTTAAACACATGAGCATTGGTATGGCTGTGACCAACCTACAAACATAATCTGGGCAAACATGGATTTGAATCCTCGAGCAAAGATTTCTGGCTTTACTGTGAGAAGCAATTTGGGGGATTCATTTTACCCAGACTGAGCTACTTGTGTCCGATCAGGAATAAGGAATATCTACGTCTACATCTTATCAACAGGACATACAGTGCAGCCTTGTGAAGAGGGGGTAAAATTGGTCTTTGGCAACTCATGCTTGTCGTAAGTGAAGGCTAACAGGATCGGGTGGTCAGGCTCTCAGACTTTGTCGATGCATGTCATTGTATGTCAGTTTGCATGGAACTATGATGTTGATTATTTACTAACCACTATCATATGGTGGAATCAATGAAATTGTGCAGAGTGCAACATAAACCAAGAAACAAACAAACAACTTACTGTGCAGAGCAGAACACCATTTTCTGCGGGGTTGTACGACATGCTGTACACTGGAGTTCGGGAGCCACTGCAACCAACATCATCTATCACACATCTAGCAGGGCAATACATCATTTTGGACATCACAAGACATCCCTAGTCATTATAACATCAGTATTATCGTGTCAGTATTCCCAGGGTGAGTGGTCATCTCCTACAAACCAGTGAGATGACGACAACTGAGACAAATCTCACAGCTGCATACTGAGGGTCAAGGTCAATCCAAGCCCTCACATTGATTAATTTAGTGCAATTAATCAAAGCCTATTACTACATTGCATGTTACATAACACTAAGGCAGACATCTTCTGTTAACACTACCCTAGACTGTTACCAACTACTCAGACACCACATCTATAAGTACAGATAAGTAGGCTGACAAATGGTTTGACTGTCCAGATCAACTGAGTGATGAGAATGTGGGTTAATTACTCATCACTTAGTGAGAGAGTAAACCTACCCTCTCAGCTGCATGACAGGGACGTCCTTGGACGTGGTGAAGTCCAGTTTGCGGAGGTATCGCTCCTTTACATAGTACAGGATGTTCTGATGAACAGCGTAGGCCGGGCGTTCTCTCTCCAGCTTGTAGATGATCATCCCGCTGTCGTGTCCTGCATCACAGTCAGTCAAGGTAAACAAACAGCGTGAGACAGTGAGTGGGGCGTAACACTGGTGTATGACAGACACTGTCAGCGTAATGGGGGGGGGGGGAGAACCCGAAATAATGCTGATTCTTGATGTTTACCACTTTCGTGACGCACCAAGGAATCATAATCAGAGTCAAGCTGGGATTCAAACAGAAACACAGTCAGCGAATTCTGGCCAACTGAGAACTCCCCACAGCCCACAGCGACTCTTTTGATTGTGAAACGATTACAGTTTGACATTTGTATGTTTTTCAAGAGATTGTGTGCTTGCTTGCATTCATCAAACATACAGCATTTTTCTTAAACATTGGTAACTATAAATGACATTTACTTACGAAAGTTTTTATTACAAGCACAAGCCCCCAAAACAACGATAAACTAGTAAAACTAATAAAAAGGGCCGCTGAAGAACAAAGAAACCATTCCTATGGAAGGGCCTTGAGCACACCCGCTACCAAATGGTGGAAGGTATCCGGTATACTGTAATCTAGCCAACACATGCCATGACAAACACACTAAACACAACTGACCTGCCGCGAACAGGTTGAGAGTGGGATGTGCCGACATCACCCAGAACCGGTCATGCTCCCGGCGGAAGGTCTGGACACCAGTTCTTGTAACAGAAACACATTTATCCATCAGCCACAGGAAGCAACATACCACAGAATACATAGTCCTCCTCATGCCAAGGAGGAAGTCAGAAGAGGGACAAAAGTACATGGCTCTTTACATACATATTTACTGTAGTTAATAAAGTATGTAGTGTTGAATTCTTTATTCAGTACAGTACAGGCCACAGCCCCTTTGTACAAAATGTATGGCATATTTATGGCAACAGTTACAATGATAAAATATGTATTCTCTCTTCTTTAATTTATTGTGTTAATAGTAAGAAACTCAGGAGGTAGGTGAGTGAGTGAGTGAGTGAGTGAGTGAGTGAGTGAGTGAGTGAGTGAGTGAGTGAGTGAGTGAGTGAGTGAGTGAGTGAGTGAGTTTAATTCCGCTTTTAACAGTATTCCAGTTTATATCACGGTGTGTCAGCTTAATGTGGGAGGAAAGCCCGAAGTGATGCAGGTCTCAGACGTTTACCACTTCGGTGAAACCCACGAGCACGGGTATGGTGCTGACAAACCTAGAAACATAATCAGGGCGAACCGGGATTTAAACCCACAATCATAGGTTTCTAGCGTACCCAAGGGACGCAGCTCTGCACAGCGAATTGCGGCGCCTTAGACGACTGGGCCACCCGTGACCCCCTCAGGAGATGAAAGTAGCTTATCTTTGAAAGGGACTTAGAAGTGATACACATGAGGAAGAGACTTTATGGATATCAACTTCTTTATTATGAGCAACACAACGTGAATCTTTTGTTCCCTACCTCTTGCTCATGTCCCACACGCGAATACTCTTGTCCTCCGAGTTGCTGAGAATCAGCTCCTGTCGGGGGTGGAACAACACACAGGACACGTTGTTGTAGTGACCACGGCAAGTGTCCACTTCCCACGCCTTGGAATCTGAACAGAAAACATCTAGTTACAAAAACTAGAAATCAAAGAAATCATATACTCGGAATAATGTCTGTTTTCAAAAGTTTAGTGTGCATGTCAAACCACAACGGCTTATGAAACGGCGTGCTTCATCAATCCGATGTAAAACGGCTTATGAAACAGGGTGTGCTTCATCAATCCTATGTAAATCGGCTTATGAAACAGGGGGTGATCAATAAGATGTTAAACAGCTTATGAAACAGGGTGTGCTTCATCAATCACATGTAAAATGGCCTATAAAACAGGATGTGCTTTGTTAATCTGATTGAAAAGAGAGTCTGAACTCAGTCGTCATCAAAGTTAAGGGGTCCTTGTCACAAACCCAAAGTTAAACATGACACTAATCTACAGTTTGAGGGGTTCCCGAGATTCAAATATAACAGAAGGTATCAAGGACCCCAGGACTCCCCTTAAATCAAACACTGTCAAATTATTAACCAAACATTTTCAAACATGCATAACATTACTGATAATGTATATGGAGTGACAGGAACACCCTCCTTTTGTATATCTGTGTTGCAGAATGTTGCTAGGCAACTACCAGTAATGTTTGCCTCTAATTGTCCTCACCATTCATTCTCCAGAGCTTGATCTGCCTGTCATCGGCCCCCGACACAATGAGGGGCAGGGTTGGGTGGAAGGCCGCCCAGTTGACCCCACGGTCATGGCCCTCAAGGACGTGTTTCACGATGGCATCAGATGTTCCGAACAAGTCGGTCTGACCTGGGTTGCGAATTCGCTCTTCTATTCCACCAGGTCCTGGAGATACATTCTTCTTACGAAGTCCTAGGAAACAGAAGACACACTTTAAACTAAAGGCTCCAGTGTTTTATTACGATTTGTGAAGGTAACCCTGATCAAGTTTAATTTTTTATTTTAAAATTCCTTTCTGACACCACACATGTTAGCATTTGTAGTTCCATTACAATAGATAATTTCGGCATCAGTCAATTCCTTGAACAATATTTATTACTGTGAAGTGATTCTCCATCACTCGTGCACCTACCGGAGATATCCCAGACCCTGACAGTCTGGTCCAGGGATGCTGACACCACCATGTCATTTGTAGTTCCATTACAATAGATAATTTCGGCATCAGTCAATTCCTTGAACAATATTTATTACTGTGAAGTGATTCTCCATCACTCGTGCACCTACCGGAGATATCCCAGACCCTGACAGTCTGGTCCAGGGATGCCGACACCACCATGTCCTCGGAGCAGTGGAACTGTGCACACATCACATAGTGACTGTGACCTGTCAGCACTCTGTAACACACCAATACAGGATCACCACCTTACACATGGTAACACTCATAGGCAACATCGGGGAATAGTATTTGATGCCGGTAATAAAACCAAACATTAAATATCCATGACAAAAATATGAACTAGCTATCAATTATAACCTATGGAAAAGCAAAAATGTTCAGCATTACATCATATCCTAACTGTTTTGTTCGTTTGTTGTTCAACACCTCACACAGCAACATTCCAGCTATATGGTCAGTAAATAATTGAGTCTGGATCAGACAATCCAGTGACTGACATCATGAGCACTAATATACGCAATTGGGATACAACCACGCCAGTAAGATGGCCCCCTGATCCTGTTAGTCGCCTCTTAAAACAAGCATGGGTTGCTATAGATCAAATTTACTTGGAACACTGATATTATTGGTGCTAAACTTACGAAACACAATTCCTGGACTGCCAGTTCCAAATGCGGATCGTCTGATCATCTGATGAACTAAGAATCCATGGGTACTCCTGAAATTCACATACAACCATGAAGGATTTGGCATTTACTGATCAATGCATTAACACAAAACCAGCTCACATTTACATATTACAACAGATATGTCAATACCATAAAAAGTTCACAATGTGCAGCATATTTGTTTTGAACATGAGTAACCACCATGCTGACAAATCATGTTACATTATGTTATCTATAACTGAGCTGAAAAAGCTTTGATAGGATTGCAGCTTGCAGCTTACATGGTGAAACACTGTTGTTCTGATGTAGTCCAGATGCCCCAGCAGCGTGAACAAACATCGCCTTTGTTTGTAGTTCCAAACCTGGAAGATGAACAGGAAAACAGTACTGACAAGCTGCTGACCAGGCTGGCAAAGGCTATCTGTAACAATCATTCCGTGATGTTGTTCTATGATATTGAGCACCATTAGAATTCAGCACCACTCTGTCATGAGGACAAGCTCTTCCTCATGACACTTGAGTGAGTGAGTGAGTGGGTTGGGTTTTACGCCGCTTTTAACAGTATTCCAGTTATATCGCAGCGTGTCAGCTTAATGTGGGAGGAAAGCCCGAAGTGATGCAGGTCTCAGACGTTTACCACTTCGGTGAAACCCACGAGCACGGGTATGGTGCTGACAAGCCTAGAAACATAATTGGGGCGAACCGGGATTCGAACCCACAATCATAGGTTTCTGGCGTGCCCAAGGGACGCAACTCTGCACAGCGAATCGCGGCGCCTTAGACGACTGGGCCACCCGTGCCCCCTCAAGACACTTGAGACAAGCAAACATTCTTTATGATGATCAATTTCGTGAACTTCGGATTGTTAGTCCACCAAGCCAACCGACCTCAGTGCAAACAGTTAAACCAAGTGTAAATGTACTTTTTAGTGTTGAAGGAAATGGGATTCATCCTTTGGTATCTCTTCTACTCGGCTGGGACGAGTAACTCGGGTACTTGGGTCAGGTGGGTACTGAGTGATATATTGATTAATGTAAAAAATTATCTAAAACTCTATGGTTACACTATAAGTCAGTAATGTTCCCATTTCTTTCTGACTATGCACACATTCCATCTGACTTTTATATATTTTAATAAAGACAAAAATTCATGCAGTAAAATTCAGTGCATGCATGGCCAGATCGTTTTACAAGTGTATCTAAATACGTTTTGCCAGGGCTACGGTCAAACTTTTCCCAAACAGAGAGTTTGTACCTACCTCTTGATCATGTTGATATCTACAGTGGGTACACAGGTAGGGTCGGGTAATAGGTAACTGGGTAGTGAATTTGGACTATTCCCTCTATTCTACTTCAAGAATTAGAATATATTTAGCAATATGTATAAAATAACAGAAACCTCATCTGAGAGTCCCTGTTATGCCAGTGATGTATTCCTGCCCCAGTGATGTATTCCTGCCCTACCTTGATCTTATAGTCATCACCACCGGACACGAACAGCGGCTGTTGGTTGTGGAAACAGATACCACGCACTGGACCTGTACATTGTTGAAATAATGAGCACAATTAAATGATGGTCATTTTCATTGCAAAAAGGTTACATGAATATGATGGAAATAAATGGCAAATAATAAACAATGGTAAAATTGCACACAAAAGAGTATGGTAAATATCTTTGGCAAACATTTTTGTCAATTTTAAGCTTTATCTTTAGAAGCTTGCATTTGTGCAATACTGATCAACAAATATCATGTATAACAAGTCTTACATGTTTACATACCAGGCCCAGCTATGGATGTTTGGTAATCTTATGAAACTATGAGACGAGCTGTGCTGTCATAGACATTTATCTGTTCAATTTAATTATTCGTGAATAATAATGAAGCCAATAAGAGTGTGAGTACATGTACTAATTATGTGCCTTTGAATGTCCATATTGGCAGCTGGGGCAAACGAATTCAATATCTTGTTATTACGTACCATCGTGTTCATCAAACTTGTCAATCAAAGTACACATTCGATAATCCCAAAGTTGGATGACTCCATTGTGTAGACTTGCCAAAATCCATGGCCTCTTCGGGTGAAAGGAGAGACCTAGAATATAAAATATATTCTCATAAATAAGCAATGATGACGTTTCAGATTAGGAATCCAGTATAGTACAGAATAGGCCTAATATTGACAAGTCGGAGTTGACTGTTGACAAGACACCGGTTACGTTTCAAGAACTTACCTTTCACTCTTGCCGACTTAGTTTCAAATTTTGTCAACATTTTGCCTAAATCATAGGAAGAATTCTTGACCCTAACGGGATTTCAGTACTGCCTTTACTCGACAGATCGTTCACACTTAGATATGTATTTCTCTGCAACGAAACAGAGCCAGCGTGGAAGTAAGATGTCTTCCGGACACGTAGCCGACAATAAGCCAGTGTAACGGGTTCTCTGATTGGCTGAATGAACAATCTGGGGAGTATTTATTAATAACTACTGTACACAACTGCTATAACTCATATAATGTTTCATTTGCCCCATATCCTCCCCCAACCATAAAAATAAATTAATACTTATATCACAATAAGTAGCTGACCAAAATAAGTCAATATTAGCAAACCTCAAGGGGCCCCTTTTGCATGGGGCCATATTCTCCCTCACTGTACACCGAAATGAGGTTCTGTTAGGGTGTTTAGCTAAAGAGTGTAAGAGTATGTCGTCCTTGATATAACATACTGTCTGTTTTCTACCTATTTACTACACATTATGAATAATGGAACCTACGACGTATGTATATATAACCACTCATTCATAGATGTTAGCCCAATGGTGTCTAGGTATAAATCACCGCCCTATCAGAACCCCTACGAATGCTTTGATAAACAGTAGTCCAAATAACAGAAGCGTGAGTTTCGTGTTCATTGATGCTTATTTGTTTGTCACATATGTGTTTCTAATATCAGATATTAACTAAGAAGAAATGAAGCTGATACGCCGTGATATAACTGAAACATTGTTCAAAGTGGCGTTAAACCCAACTCACTCACTGTCAGCAAGTCTCGTTATTTTATGTTCAATATTATAGTCCTTCGGCTCAGAGTATAGGTTGTAAGCATGGGAGGCACGAAAGTAAATTATATGAAACATTTTACATATGGATAATAAATTACCAATCACTATATCAGATATATACCACAAGGCACTACAAAGTAGTTCAGTTATCTCCCTTTGACTGTTAAGATTGTAGTCATGCGTAATAAACTCATATTGCACTTTTACGTGACTCCACAGTCATGTTCGACCTATATCCTTCTGTAAAAGCTACAGGTACATCCGGTTATCATGTTTCGTGTACACAGCTGGAATAAGCATTTGATAATAAAATTGTGTGAAACTATTTATCCATTGAGTTATATTCACAATGAGGTATATGTAAGAAAACGAGATTTCATAACTTGTGAACAGCTGTCCATAAATTATCTCCCTTTAACTGTCACCAGGCAGTATTTAACAAAGGTGTCCATATTATACTGATGGATGGTTGCTACTGATGACACAATCTCGTCTGGCTGTTGTTTATACAATAGACATGCAGTAATAAAATGCACTCTTAAGTTTTTACTTGCATAGGTGAATAAATATTATTTCTGGTTCTAGAATGGATTTAACCTCACTGCTATTTCTGAATCTAAAAGCGGTTTGTCCAGTAAGTGGAATCTGAATATCATTTTTGTTTACAATGTCTATATTATGACAGTTTGAGACGTAATGTTTACCTTATTACTTTTAAACAAATGTAACTTTTGATAAATTTGTAACACTCTGGACATTTAGAACCCCATGCATAATTAATGCTTTAGCTAAATTTATATTTCTTGCTTTTAAAAAGCGTAAAATACTTTCTCATTGGCGCTAAAATTGCCCAATTCTGATACCATGTATTGTATAATGGGCTGGTGGCCCCTTTACTGAAATAAAGCTCTCCCCCATCACCAGTCCAGGTTTGTCTCCAGCAGCCCTGTAATCTTTGTTCACAGATTCCGATGGACTGAGAAGCACCTCCTTGTTCTCGCAAAACTGAGCCAAATCTCAAATAATTTAACAATTTCTCTTCACATGTCGCCCGGGTAAATCCGCCTACTAATTCCAAATAATTGGACATTAAATAATAGCTTTTGGATACCTGGTAGAGGGCATATGCAATAATTTCAACCAGTATTTTTTAAACTTTATGCATGTAAGAATCGTGAAATAGAAATCTTCCCAGTTCACCGTAAAACGCTGCTTGGTTTGTGCTTGAACTGACACAACAGTTTTGGTAAGAATTTAATATTTACATGTTCAACACTCAAAACACTAAAAACCAAAACTTCTACCCATAACAAAACACCGGGTGAACCATTCTATCAAACAGAATTTGTACATTTTCGTTCACAGAATAGCGAGGGGCATGACAAGGCCATGGTTGCCGGATCGATGGTGATCTTTGGTTACAACATACGTTGCCGCAGCAACAGCAATGGGTTTCAGCGCCGGGAATTTAAGGGTAACGGTGCCTTTCCAAATAATGTTTGCTGGGGTGTCATCAAAGGTGCATGTCACCGACCAGCCTGTAGGTATCCACACACGTGTGGGAAGTGTGGAACAACGCCCATGTGCTTTCGGGGCACAGGACCTCGCGATCGTCTGGTCCAACACTACTCTACAACAAGCAGCATTCACCCCGGAAGTAGAGGTCACCAGCACCAACTCCAGTCAAGCTAAGTAATTCCTCCTGTATCTGCTAGCTTATACCAGTGTAAATACGTTTCATGCATTAAGTTGTCTGAAGGTTTTCAATCGGGTTTTCGCCTAGGCTATCAGGGACCCCGTCTGTTTAGATCTGCGTGTAACTTGTCGTCGGTCAGAGAGACTGGGTCACAATCCATAGTCAAGGCCACTTTGGACAAAGAGACTATGTTGGGTAGGATTTCTGGGCCCTACTACGACCAACCCTTCCAAAATTTGCATGTGTCGCCGATTGCTTGGTCCCAATTAAGCAAGACACCACATACGCCGATAGGCCCGTTGAGGATACCTAAGGTTGGGTTTAACGCCACCTTGACCATCATCTTTCCTTCCCGTGACGTCGTACAGCATGGCCAAGCACCTCAGTTAGAAAATTCGACATTAAGTCAGCTTTCAGGATAATTCCCGTACATCCGGCGGACTTTAAACTACTGGGCATACTTCCAGGGTTTTTGTTATTTTGATAAATGTTTGCCCTTTGGCTGTGCAAGTTCATGTTTAATCTTTGAAAAGTTTAGTTCCTTTTTACAGTGATGTATGCAGCAGGACCCTCCATACGGCCAATTTATGCACTATTTGGACTGTTTTCTGACAGGGGGTAAGATGACAACGTTTTATCACGACGTTACCAATCCACAACCTTTCCACAATGTTGTGACAACGTCGTGTGTTAGCTGGGAGCTGAATGTGACCAAACCCTGCCTGCTTGTCTCAACCTTTTGAATCAGCTTGGTGTTCCTGTAGCTCCCGAGAAAACAGTGGCACTCACTACCTTTAATATACCTTTCTGTTCATTTTAACCAAACACCTGTCACCAGATATCAATTTCAGGAAGTCTTGAAAAAACCCTCATTCATTGTGGCGTGGAGTTCTCACATTCTTTTCGCATAGGCGCCGCTACATCCGCGTCAGCAAATGGCTTGAACCAGGAAGTAATTCAACACTCGGGTAGATAGGGTACAGATTGCTTTAAATCATATATTTGCCTTCCGCATTAGCTATTAGTTCATAGCTTAGCCATATTTTCATTTCTACCCCCTTTTAATTCCTTCGCGTTGCAGTATGAAGTGGGATCACGTCACATTGCAAGGGCTACCCGCGAAGATCCGGGTTATAGAATAGGTCTTCAGCAACCCATGCTTGTTGTATTTTTTTATGGCGACTATGCTTGTCGTAAGAGGCGACTGACGGTAACGGGTGGTCAGGCTCTCAGGTTGATGCATGTCATCGTATCCCAATTGCGTGGATGGATGCTCATGATGACAATCACTGGATTGTCTGGTCCAGACTCGATTATTTACAGGCCGCCGTCATATAGATGGAATATTGCCGAGTGCGGCGTTAAACAACAAACGAACATACATTGCAAGGGCCGTACAGTTTCTCTCCCGGCAAGAGATATTCCAGCTGATTGTCTGGGGCTGGGGAGAGGTGACCGGAAGTGGGAGGAATATTGAACTATGAGGTGGAGTCAGAGATGACGACACGGCAACACCCAAGAGCGATGGTCAGTCATCCACCTCGGATCCAACAACCTGGTCTATGACAATATAAACTCGCTTTGTCTACAGATCTGCACGTCCCCTCTCCTGATATACGGATGATGTAGTCGACCCAATCACCTGGTCCAACACGCTGCCTAGGAGGCACTGGATGGGGCGCGTTCTTAATCCGCCATCGACAAGGCCAGGTCGACCATACACCTGCGTGTCGGCAACAGAGTGCACGTGGTGCTCAGGGGTATGCCGATATATCCCATGTGGATATATATATATATAATGATATGTACATTTGGTATGGTGTCCGTCTCTCCAGTGCAGGTGAGCGGCTCTTTGTCCACCACCTAGTGCCAGCTGTCAAGTTACTAAAATATGTTCCGCTTTTGGCAATATAGGGTCTTTACATGCAGTTTGGTTTTAGGTCTGGGTGGGCAATGCACGTTCGTTCGTGTTTTAGCATGGCACTTGTGGGGTCAATCAATGTATGCTACCTTCGAGATTTCATTTCCATCACCAAATATATAGTCTTGCTCTTCATTGGGAACCTCCCACCCCTCTGCTTTTCAGCGGCTGGGAATCCACATCTTTGGCTGGATTGTCTGCCCGGTTTTCAGCGGGATATATTATTTTCTTGTTATCGCTATTCCTGCTGGCGAAACTACTCACCCATCACTGCTGGTGGTAACTCCAGTTGTCCATTTAACTACCCCTGCCTAATTACCCACAAGTCCTGCCTCACCTAGTCCTTTAACCAGACATATTCTACGCTTATTTATTCGGCCTGTCGGGGCAATATGTTGTCCTTTCAGGACGGTTCGGGGAGGGTGTGTGTCAATAAATATGAATGCAGATAGTTCGTCCCAGCCTATTCTGATCTATATCGGTATGCAAATAGATCGTCCCAGTCTACTCTGTGCAGTGGCCAGTGCATAGTGATATAAATATGTGTGTGTTCCGAAATGATGCATTCTGTGAAGAGAGTCTTTGCTCCACGCCAAAAACACACTTCCGCGTTGCTAACAGTATTATGTCTCATCATAAAAGGAGCGGGGGTTCTTCCTGGTTCGGCTGTTGCTATACTTGATGTTTTTGTTGATTTACGGTTAATGAATTCAAGTTTAGTAAGACGATTACTTTGTGCTCCTGGTATAGACTGAGTATATTGTGGTCCAGTGGCGCCGCTCGTCTCGACTTACACATCACCCCATATCCTCTCAACCTATTACAGGTACTCAAGCTCATGGGTTTATAAGAAAATGATCAACGCCGCACTTACATACATTTAAATTCCATAGTGATTCCGGGTTAGAATTGGGTCCCCCAGCAACTGATACTGGTTGCGGGTGGGGTCCTCCAGCAACTCATACTGGTTGTGGGCGGGGTCCCCAAGCAACTCATACTGGTTATGGGCGGGGTCCTCCAGAAACTCATACTGGTTGTGGGCGGGGTCCTCCAGCAACTCATACTGGTTGTGGGCGGGGTCCCCCAGCAACTCGTACTGGTTGTGGGCGGGGTCCCCAAGCAACTCATACTGGTTGTGGGCGGGGTCCCCCAGCAACTTATACTGGTTGTAGGCGGGGTCCTCCAGCAACCCATACTGGTTGTGGGCGGGGTCCCCCAGCAACTCATACTGGTTGTGGGCAGGGTCCCCCATCAACTTAAACTGGTTGTGGGCGGGGTCCTCCAGCAACTAATACTGGTTGTGGGCGGGGTCCCCCATCAACTTATACTGGTTGTGGGCGGGGTCATCCAGCAACTAATTCTGGTTGTGGGCGGGGTCCTACAGCAACCCATACTGGTTGTGAGCGGGGTCGCCGAGCAACTCATACTGGTTGTGGGCGGGGTCATCCAGCAACTTAAATTGGTTGTAGGCGGGGTCATCCAGCAACTCATACTGGTTGTGGGCGGGGTCATCAAGCAACTTATACTGGTTGTGGGCGGGGTCCTCCAGCAACTCATACTGGTTGTGGGCGGGGTCATCCAGCAACTTATACTGGTTGTAGGCGGGGTCCTCCAGCAACTCATACTGGTTGTAGGCGGGGTCCTCCAGCAACTTATACTGGTTGTAGGCGGGGTCCTCCAGCAACTTATACTGGTTTTGGGCGGGGTCATCCAGCAACTTATACTGGTTGTGGGCGGGGTCATCCAGAAACTCATACTGGTTGTGGGCGGGGTCCTCCAGCAACTCATACTGGTTGTGGGCGGGGTCCCCCATCAACTTATACCGGTTGTGGGCGGGGTCCTCCAGCAACTAATTCTGGTTGTGGGCGGGGTCCTACAGCAACCCATACTGGTTGTGGGCGGGGTCCCCGAGCAACTCATACTGGTTGTGGGCGGGGTCATCCAGCAACTTATACTGGTTGTAGGCGGGGTCCTCCAGCAACTCATACTGGTTGTGGGCGGGGTCATCCAGCAACTTATACTGGTTGTGGGCGGGGTCCTCCAGCAACTCATACTGGTTGTGGGCGGGGTCACACCGAGCACCCAGGTTCGCCTTCCCACATGAATACAATGTGTGAAGCCTATTTCTGGTGTCCCCCGCTGTTATATTGCTGGAATATTGCTAAAAGCGGCGTAAAACCATACTCACTCGCTCATTATACTGGTCGTAAAAGGTAATTTATGAAAAAGGGTCAGGTTCGATTGACAGCATGTCACCGTTCCTAAACTGCAGCGTCTTAATACCCCGTTCACCTGCACCTCTGTACATATGTGTGTATATTTGCATGTTTGTAATCATGCATACGTGATTATACTTGTCACGTGGACGCGTTTACTTACATGTGTAAAATTACACCAGGAGCAATTTGCATTGTCTGGAGCAGGTGCAAATGTAAATTTATGGGTTGTAACGTGAACGTTTATGCCAAAGTCAGAGGATGGTCTAATTGATATATCTGTTGATTTGTCAACACCAAACAAATTGTCAACAGTTCTGTATCCTGAAAATGACACTATTCAGTGTACAGCAATGCCAACTTTCAATTGGACATCCAGAGCTGGGCGGACGGTGTTTTCTTTGTATTTCAAGGAGTTAAACAATCGTGAACAGATTAAATCAAAGACATGTTGCTTTATGCGAAGATTTCTCCAAAGTAACTATCTTCTCATTCGACTTTGATTGGAAAACAAGCTCTTCATGTTGAAAGTCGGGAACAGACTGATGAGTATGTGAACCGTACACCATTTACATACTTTATTTACACACATGAGTAAATCTTCACGTGAACACATAATAAATGTACATATACACACGTGTGTTTAGTTACATATGTGGAACATTAGTTACGTGACTGAATGTTGTGCATGTGAACGGAGTATTAGACGACTGGGCCACCCATGTTTGAGTTTTCCGAGTGCACGATAAGCAATCAATCGTTTCATTGAGTCGGAGAATAGCTCAAGGAACAAGCCCGACGCGTTTAGAGTCTAAACATGTTTAGAATTGTGTTTAACAGCTAGACGTGGGATATACCCGTAACCACATGTACACCTATAGACTGTCTCACAATCTCTGATCCATATTATTTTCCCTTCTAAGTGAAGCAAGTCTAGATTTCTTTCACGTTCTGAATCTCCCATCCCATATTGGAGTTATATGTTTCTATCAAAATTATATTTTTTCGGAGACTAAACGTTAGGCTACCACACCTACACCCACACCAAACTCCTCACCCCTTGAAATTAATCGCTACCACCCGTGCTCTGGAGACCGTCGCTACCACCCGTGCTACGGAGACCGTCTCTACCACCCATGCTACGGAGACTGTGGCTACCACGCGCGCGTGCTACGGAGACCGTCGCTACCAGCCGTGCTCCGGAGACCGTCGCTACCACCCGTGCTACGGAGACTGACGCTACCACCCGTGCTAAGGAGACTGTCGCTACCACCGGTGCTATACGGAGACTGTCGCTACCACCCGTGCTCCGGAGACCGTCGCTACCGCCCGTGCTACGGAGACTGTCGCTACCCTCGGTGCTACGGAGACTGTCGCTACCACCCGTGCTACAGAGACTGTCGCTACCACCCGTGCTACGGAGACTGTCTCTACCACCCGTGCTACGGAGACTGTCGCTACCACGCGCGCGTGCTACGGAGACTGTCGCTACCACGCGCGCGTGCTACGGAGACTGTCGCTACCACCCGTGCTACGGAGACTGTCGCTCCGACCCGTGCTACGGAGACTGTCGCTACCACCCGTGCTACGGAGACTGTCGCTACCACCCGTACTACGGAGACTGTCTCTATCACCCGTGCTACGGAGACTGTCTCTACCACCCGTGCTCTGGAGACTGTCGCTACCACCCGTGCTCTGGAGACCGTCGCTACCACCCGCGCTACGGAGACTGTCTCTACCACCCGTGCTACGGAGACTGTCGCTACCACGCGGGCGTGCTACGGAGACTGTCGCTACCAGCCGTACTGCGGAGACTGTCGCTACCACCCGTGCTACGGAGACTGACGCTACCACCCGTGCTAAGGAGACTGTCGCTACCACCGGTGCTATACGGAGACTGTCGCTACCACCCGTGCTCCGGAGACCGTCGCTACCGCCCGTGCTACGGAGACTGTCGCTACCCTCGGTGCTACGGAGACTGTCGCTACCACCCGTGCTACAGAGACTGTCGCTACCACCCGTGCTACGGAGACTGTCTCTACCACCCGTGCTACGGAGACTGTCGCTACCACGCGCGCGTGCTACGGAGACTGTCGCTACCACGCGCGCGTGCTACGGAGACTGTCGCTCCGACCCGTGCTACGGAGACTGTCGCTACCACCCGTGCTACGGAGACTGTCGCTACCACCCGTACTACGGAGACTGTCTCTATCACCCGTGCTACGGAGACTGTCTCTACCACCCGTGCTCTGGAGACTGTCGCTACCACCCGTGCTCTGGAGACCGTCGCTACCACCCGCGCTACGGAGACTGTCTCTACCACCCGTGCTACGGAGACTGTCGCTACCACGCGGGCGTGCTACGGAGACTGTCGCTACCACCGGTGCTCCGGAGACCGTCGCTACCAGCCGTACTGCGGAGACTGTCGCTACCACCCGTGCTCCGGGGACCGTCGCTACCACCCGTGCTACGGAGACTGTCGCTCCCACCCGTGCTACGGAGACCGTCGCTACCAGCCGTGCTACGGAGACTGTCGCTACCACCCGTGCTACGGAGACTGTCGCTCCCACCCGTGCTACGGAGACTGTCGCTACCCTCGGTACTACGGAGACTGTCTCTTCCACCCGTGCTACGGAGACTGTCGCTACCACCCGTGCTCTGGAGACTGTCGCTACCCTCGGTGCTACGGAGACTGTCGCTACCACCCGTGCTACGGAGACTGTCCCTACCACCCGTGCTACGGAGACTGTCGCTACCACCCGTGCTACGGAGACTGTCTCTACCACCCGTGCTACGGAGACTGTCGCTACCACCCGTGCTACGGAGACTGTCTCTACAACCGGTGCCACGGAGACTGTCGCTACCACGCGCGCGTGCTACGGAGACTGTCGCTACCACCCGTTCTACGGAGACTGTCGCTACCAGCCGTGCTACGGAGACTGTCTCTACAACCGGTGCCATATAGACTGTCGCTACCACGCGCGCGTGCTACGGAGACTGTCGTTTCCCCCGCTGCTACGGAGACTGTCGCTACCACCGGTGCTTCGGAGGTGGGGTAGTCTAGTGGTTAAAGCGTTCGCTCGTCATGCCGAAGATCCGGGTTCGATTCCCTACATGGGTACAATGTTTCTGGTGTTCCCAGCCGTGATATTGCTGTAATATTGCTGAAAGCGGCGTAAAACTATACTCACTCACTTACTCATTATTATTGTGAGGAACCAATTTTGTTGAAAATTGAATACGCACTTTACTCACAAATAATAACTTCCTGCAGTCATACGTGTCCACTATTGCAAGAGTCTTGCAGTCATAAACCATCTTACAAGCTTCATTGATTCTAACCGTTCCTAGCTATATTCGATGTGTTCCAGTGTGTTTTTTGTGTGTTAATTCTTTGTCCCTGCCTGACACCGCTGCCAATCTGTAGCAATAAAACAAAACAGTTTATTGCTTGTGAGTTATACCTGCTGTAAAATGTTTACAGCTTGAAACGTAAACTGTTTATTATGCCAGTGTAAACATTTATGGCACTCAAAACCGGCGAAGCGTGTCGAGCTTCCTTCAAAAACATCTTGGCATTTATGGAGCGTGGGGCAGTCTTGAATTAGAAGAATTAAACAAACAGTGCAAACAAAAAGTAATCACATGAAAACACTGTTTATGAAATGCTCTAAATTATGTTAATAAATAATTTAGTCTTTTTTATTGCATTCGGAACATACCAGTGACGAGAAATAAATATACCAGGGATTTTACACACTTTTATAAAAAAATCCTATGGAAACGGAAACTACGGAAGCCTTTTAGGGCAATTTGTTTTTGTTTTTTTATTGTTTTCCATACCATCTTGAAATTTCAAGATACTAAGTTGAAATTTCAAGAAACTAAGTTGAAATTTCAAGATACTAAGTTGAAATATCAAGATACTATCTTCAAATTTCAAGATACTAAGTTGAAATATCAAGATACAGAAGTTGAAATTTCAAGATATAGAAGTTGAAAATTCAGGATACAAAAGTTGAAATTTCAAGATACTAAGTAGAAATGTCAAGATCATAGGTTGAAATTTCAACTTAGTATCTTGAAATTTCTAGATAGTATCGGAAAAAAACCCAAAAAACCAAATGGCCCTAAAAGGCTCCCGTAGGAAACAGTTTAATTCTGTCATGTGTAACTGAACCAGGGGTCACCAGCACCAATAACTTTCACTGGGCTTTAGTTTTGACATTTTATCTTTTATTGGAAATATATAATTGAATTGTATATTTACATGAACAATTTAACTATGATAGCAAATATACTGGTTTTCCATTTAAGGTTATGACTACGTATCTCGTAGTTGCAATAATTAAATTCTCATTGAAGGCCAACTCATTATTCCGTTATGGAATTTCTTGTATATGTGCGTGTATTTTCAAACAATTTTTCTACACGATCTCTTCATGAGCGATAAATATGTACCATGAAGATGACATATATCAGAGACCATATACCATATATGGTCTCTGCATATATCAAGTGTTTTAATTGATTTGGGATATATTTTGATCACGCAACATTGTACGTGGTGGAAAAACAATCTTTAAAAAAATATATA